GGTAATCAAAGGAAGCAGTGCTTCAAGACATTGCTTTAATAGGTCTGTAGGCAGTGGATCAAGCTCACAGGACTTTGATTGCGAGGTCATGATAATGTTGCGCAACTCGTCCTGGGTTGATGGTGAGAGATTTGCCAATGTTTCCCCATCAAATGCAATGTCAGCAGTCATGACAGAGATATCAATGTCAGCAGAGGTGTTCACTTTGGTAATATTTTTCCTGATTGAGCTGATTTTATTCAGAAAGTAATCACTGAACTTGCTTGCTAAGTCTTTTTCAGAATTACAGCTTCGTAGGATAATTTCACCTTTCTGTCCCATTAGGTTTTTGGTGAGTCTAAAATGCTGTCTATTCTACTTGCCGCATTCTTTGATTCTTTCCGAATAATAAGCCTTCTTTGAGTGAAAGAGTAGTGAACCAACTAGCCGACATTGCTCTCTATACATCTGTTGGTGAACGGTTAATTTGGTCCGTCGCCACTGTCTCTCTGCTTTTCTATGGTTCTGTATTTGTATCATTTTGATGCTTAAAGAAAAGGTGTTAAATCTTAATATTTGATCATCTTGATAGGTTTGATTTCCACAAATTAATTTTATGAAGCTATCTATACGCTAAACCCTCATAGAAAATAGTCCTGTCTAAACGTTGTTATTTAACACCGGTTAACATGTTAATACAGCATTTAAGGCTATATTGTATATCGTGATTTATGTCCTACTTAAAATAACGCCAATAGTTGTTAAATGCTCCCGGCTTTCTTAACGCCAAAATGTCAAAGGATCGAATGGTGTCATATATTTTCCCCTGTAATTGCTGTTAATGACATATTAATGACATATTCCATACGTTTAAAGGCGTGTGTATCGTATATGGAGAGCTTTAATCGAGATTTCGTGAGTGTGTGCTTGTGATAATCGGTAATCCCTTGAAATGTGATTATATTTTATTATTTATACATGATTTCTTTTGATTTTTTACTGGATCGGGAGACACAAAAGCACACAAAATCCGTTTATGTAACGTTTTTATACACTCTTGGTCAAAATAAGGATCACCCTACCTCGGCTAAAAGTCTCTTTTTTGTATCGGAAACTGGTTTGTTGGCTTGACTTTGGCATTCTGAAGAGATTTGATGAATTCATAAAAACGTTGCTCGTCTTATACATTATGTACAGGAAGTATGCCGACTTGGAGCTTTCAAACCCAGCGTAACATATATCATTAAATTAAAGGTTAGCATTCGATAAAACAATAGTTCTTTTTAACGGATAAAATACTAAACAGTATTAAAGTTTATAAAATATTACGCTATGAGCGAGTTGTTAAATGTCATTTAAGAGTAATATTTATAATTATTAAACCTCTGGTGAAACTCCTAATATCTGATTGGTCGAGGCACATTGTTCATTTCACACTGTCTCATTCACTTTAACGTCAATAGAAGGCAACGAATAACAGTGTGTGCGACCGTGTAAAATAGTGACCGCGCAAAGGAGATGCGCGCACGATTTTAGCCGTCATATTTTACTTTCGGTATAATAAAATAAATATTACATTCAATAGAGTGCGACAGTGCCTGAGGTCACCCTTTAATGAATGTAGTATTTATGTATTTATAAAAAGTTGCTCATTCACCTAGCTTACGTATTCATTGATCTGTCCGTTTCTGTCATTTATAAGTTGCATTGAACTCTTTAAAAGTTTTAAAGAAAATTGTAGAAATTGATTTAAACGTTTCTTTATTATTTGAAAGTTCAACAAAGTTGGATCACAGAAAATAATATCCAACCCTATCATGAAATATCACGTTCTAAATAATTAACATCGACCGTACCCTTTGTGCCCAGCAACTGCGATGTTGGTAAAGGCGCCATCAGAAAATTAATCGTAGTGAAAGGTGATTGTATTTGGAAGGACATTACAAATATATGTTCTTAAAGATAAACATCGTCATTGAAACATATTAATGTTTGCATAAGGAAACAATTTTTTCACAAAAGAAACATTTTTACTGCCATAATCAGAAATGTATTTTTCTGCAAAGAATATATCAAGAATTATTTAAGAGGACTCCCTAAATTCATTTTTTTGGCAAATTTTATGCTATTAATGTTTGTCTTGGTCCTATCTATACCAGCATAACATGACCTAAATAAGGATATTATTATAACTGACATAACTACTGTAAAATGAAATTTAATAACTATGCTCCCGGTCTTTCATTGGCTTGCGTAACTTTGGAACTATGCTACTTAAGGATCCCTGTCCAGTCCAACAGAACTGTGTGTTTCCTATATACAGTAACTTCCCCTTAACTTACGCTTGTCCTGGCTAAACTGTAGATAACCTAAGATATAAAATAAAGACAGGACATTGCACCCTTTTGATAGAGATTAGTAACATCCTCTATATGGAGATTGTAAATCTTCGAACTAAAACTGTTTATCTCAAAATAGACAATATCATCATGCTTTATTATTAATTAATTATTGAAACTGTAAGGCGGTTGACCGGTCATTGTAAACACTAGTTTAATGTACCAATATGATATCTCCTTTCCAGGCGCCTGCACTATCTGGTCTCCCAAAACTCCATCAGCATTGATCGGTTGATAAAAATACTAGTTTAATATATCAAAATATTTTCTCCTTTCCTTTCCAGGCGCCTGCCCTATCTGGTCTCCCAAAACTCCATCAGCATTGATCGGTTGATAAAAATACTAGTTTAATATATCAAAGTATTTTCTCCTTTCCTTTCCAGGCGCCTGTCCTGTCTGGTCTCCCAACCTCCATCAGCGTGGGAGAGTTGGAGACGGCCAACAGACTTATATACACAATCACAGTTACCGATCCCGACAATGACGCCTATGTTTGTGATGTAAGCAGTACCGTTCCGGCCAATGGACCATTTGTCGGCATCAAAGACACAGACACGAACAGTAAGTATTCAATATACATTATTGACGTTGTGGTGTCCTATTGTAACGTTCCATTGCCAAAACGCTGTAACTCAGCATTGGAAACATATTTGCCGGCATTACAATACATTTGATAAGACATTTTTTTAAAGAAAATCATACCTTATGGATCTTATATGAAGAAAATATCATAAAGATAAAATAAACAAAACAAGATTCTACAACAGTGTTCTAAATGTAAAAATGCAACGAAGCCAGGCTGCGATTCGAACCCTCGACCGGAGATCGTTATACATGTACTGTCGTTCTAACCAACTGAGTTGCCTGGTCGACGCTTGTACAGTAACCCTAGCCCAGTTGTGCTGCAATTGAACAAATATTTAGTTGAGGGGATGTTAGTGTGCACGGAAAACTACAATTGGAAACTCTAGTGTTTAGCATGGAGTAGGACAGGGATCCTTGATGGTAGGTTTTGTGTCATGAAAGTGCATGCTTAATGCACACCACGACCAGCCGTTTCATTCTATGGAAACTATGCTAAATGTGTAAATAAAACAGACGAACATAAGAATGACATGATAATGCACCTATGGAAAGTGATAATAGATACAGTATGCCATAAAGGAAATACATTGCACCATGCAGCTGTTTCGTCCTCATTGATGAATTAGGGGACAACATGTGGAATCTGTTTCAATTTTTATTGAAATCCAAATCATCAATAATATCTATTGAAACAGAAAAGGGGGACGGGGAGGGTGCGTACACTCATTAATTCGATTTTGTTATTGGTTTTACGTGAGATTTATAACACAATACTGGTTAATACATTAATTTCATTTTGACTTCAAACGTCAATGTGAAAGTGTGACAAAAAAAACCTTTCTGTATGTCTCTCGAGACTTAACTAATATTGCAAATGTCCAAATCTCTGCTTCAGAGTATGGCATCTACACGGATACACCGACATTCAGCTATGCCACTACCACCGTGCATACCGTAAATATTGAGTGTACAGACACTGGAGGGTTGATAGGGACGGGAGTTCTCAGTGTAGACGTCATAGAGGGAGACGCGCTCACCTTTAATAATCTACCAGGTAATTATGTCGAGTATAAATCGTTCTTCTTTCATTAATACTGAACCTTATTTAAACAATAATGTACTAAGAATCTCCGAAAAGGTTTTAAATAAGCCTGAAGTGAAGATTTATTTTCGGCTTTGAAATCTATACAGGGTAAGTTCAAACCTATACTAAAAATAGTAAACGATTTTAAGGTTAGTAGTATATTAACAAATTGATAGCTGTTGTATCATCTCTTTTGCTTTTTGATTTTTTGTTTTTGTTTTTCTTCCTTTTCCTTCCTTTCTTCTTTGTTGATATAGATATTTTTGATAAATATATTTGTTGTTGTTTTCATGTAATTTATATAATGAATTAATTGGGAGAAAGCGTTTCCTAGTTCAGACAACTTGTGCCTAATCCTTTTTGTTGGATGACAACTAAAACATGTTTAAATCAATCAAACTCACAGGGCCTTCATATTCAGTTTCAAATGTAGATGAAGCGACGGCAGAATAAATGGTTGTTTTGTTCAACTTTGCAATTTACAGTATGGTATGTACATAGCTACCCAATTGATATTGGTTTTTGTTGAGACATTTTACCAGAATATAGTAGTTTATGACAGAATTGTGCTGCGTGACTCATTCTTAATGGCGCTCTGCCTTGTCCACAAACGTGACGACATTAAAAATTGGCGCCAATTATCATGCTACAAATTCCAGCGCTTTTTGATGCTGCAGTATCGATGTCTGTTATATGTAGTGAGAAATGGCTTTTAAAAGGTTGGAACTAAAATTGTGTGAAAGTGAGCCTGGGGGCTCTAAATCTTACATCACAAATCAACTGAGGTGGGAAATGAGATCTGAATCATATTTGTAACGTGTCGTGCATTTCCGTCCCCAACAGCTTCAACTACCCATGACGCCTCTACAACGCTAAATGGTGCCGGAATCTACACTGTCACGACAACGGATGCCAAAGGTCACACAACAAAGACGTACACCATGACATCTACCCCTTCTACAACAAGTTTTGTAATCGACGCTGGTAAAATATTTTAGTCTTCACATTCAGCATACTAAAGGAATTTTTAAACGAACATCAAATAACACTGATTTGAAAACTACAATTAACAAAAATTTGTATGTGAACTATAAAACGCGAACTATATATCACCATTTTTAAGCGGACTTTTGATAACGTTATTTTCATGCGAACGTAAAATTTAACATGCAAATTTTCTCCCTTTTTCTTCGTTCTGATTTATATTTTAATGGTTTTCCTAAATTCCAATTTTAATTAATGTTTAACACAGATTTTAAAAACGTTCTAGTAAATGTTTTTACGCAATCTTTTATTAGCGTTATTTGATATAAAATGTTATAGTGATATTGTTTGCGAACGTCTTATTATGCAATTTTTGTACGAAATGTTAAAAGTACTTTTCACAATGATAACTTTCAACTATAACGCTATGTTACATATGTTTATAAAATTCTAATAACATCCTTTCCCTATAATGTGTTGATATATTTGCATAGTATACCTCTCGTTCCACTTGCCATATCGTTATGTTCCTTTTTTCAACGAATTTCTTTGTTCCTTTCCCGTCACATATCACCAAACCCTTCATAACGTTAAACATAACATGGTGGGGGATTATAATGAGGCATTTGTCTAATTGTATATACTGTTGTAGGTACTGGCGCAGTGACGGCCGACAGAGACCTGAAGTATGAGATCTACACCAGTGTTAAGCTGTACATCACTGTGTCTGACGGTAGTATCGCGGCCGTGGAGGTCCTCACCGTAGTTCTCACCAGTAAGTAATGCAATGCCTCACCGTAGTTCTCACCAGTAAGTAATGCAATGCCTCACCGTAGTTCTCACCAGTAAGTAATGCAATGCCTCACCGTAGTTCTCACCAGTAAGTAATGCAATGCCTCACCGTAGTTCTCACCAGTAAGTAATGCAATGCCTCACCGTAGTTCTCACCAGTAAGTAATGCAATGCCTCACCGTAGTTCTCACCAGTAAGTAATGCAATGCCTCACCGTAGTTCTCACCAGTAAGTAATGCAATGCCTCACCGTAGTTCTCACCAGTAAGTAATGCAATGCCTCACCGTAGTTCTCACCAGTAAGTAATGCAATGCCTCACCGTAGTTCTCACCAGTAAGTAATGCAATGCCTCACCGTAGTTCTCACCAGTAAGTAATGCAATGCCTCACCGTAGTTCTCACCAGTAAGTAATGCAATGCCTCACCGTAGTTCTCACCAGTAAGTAATGCAATGCCTCACCGTAGTTCTCACCAGTAAGTAATGCAATGCCTCACCGTAGTTCTCACCAGTAAGTAATGCAATGCCTCACCGTAGTTCTCACCAGTAAGTAATGCAATGCCTCACCGTAGTTCTCACCAGTAAGTAATGCAATGCCTCACCGTAGTTCTCACCAGTAAGTAATGCAATGCCTCACCGTAGTTCTCACCAGTAAGTAATGCAATGCCTCACCGTAGTTCTCACCAGTAAGTAATGCAATGCCTCACCGTAGTTCTCACCAGTAAGTAATGCAATGCCTCACCGTAGTTCTCACCAGTAAGTAATGCAATGCCTCACCGTAGTTCTCACCAGTAAGTAATGCAATGCCTCACCGTAGTTCTCACCAGTAAGTAATGCAATGCCTCACCGTAGTTCTCACCAGTAAGTAATGCAATGCCTCACCGTAGTTCTCACCAGTAAGTAATGCAATGCCTCACCGTAGTTCTCACCAGTAAGTAATGCAATGCCTCACCGTAGTTCTCACCAGTAAGTAATGCAATGCCTCACCGTAGTTCTCACCAGTAAGTAATGCAATGCCTCACCGTAGTTCTCACCAGTAAGTAATGCAATGCCTCACCGTAGTTCTCACCAGTAAGTAATGCAATGCCTCACCGTAGTTCTCACCAGTAAGTAATGCAATGCCTCACCGTAGTTCTCACCAGTAAGTAATGCAATGCCTCACCGTAGTTCTCACCAGTAAGTAATGCAATGCCTCACCGTAGTTCTCACCAGTAAGTAATGCAATGCCTCACCGTAGTTCTCACCAGTAAGTAATGCAATGCCTCACCGTAGTTCTCACCAGTAAGTAATGCAATGCCTCACCGTAGTTCTCACCAGTAAGTAATGCAATGCCTCACCGTAGTTCTCACCAGTAAGTAATGCAATGCCTCACCGTAGTTCTCACCAGTAAGTAATGCAATGCCTCACCGTAGTTCTCACCAGTAAGTAATGCAATGCCTCACCGTAGTTCTCACCAGTAAGTAATGCAATGCCTCACCGTAGTTCTCACCAGTAAGTAATGCAATGCCTCACCGTAGTTCTCACCAGTAAGTAATGCAATGCCTCACCGTAGTTCTCACCAGTAAGTAATGCAATGCCTCACCGTAGTTCTCACCAGTAAGTAATGCAATGCCTCACCGTAGTTCTCACCAGTAAGTAATGCAATGCCTCACCGTAGTTCTCACCAGTAAGTAATGCAATGCCTCACCGTAGTTCTCACCAGTAAGTAATGCAATGCCTCACCGTAGTTCTCACCAGTAAGTAATGCAATGCCTCACCGTAGTTCTCACCAGTAAGTAATGCAATGCCTCACCGTAGTTCTCACCAGTAAGTAATGCAATGCCTCACCGTAGTTCTCACCAGTAAGTAATGCAATGCCTCACCGTAGTTCTCACCAGTAAGTAATGCAATGCCTCACCGTAGTTCTCACCAGTAAGTAATGCAATGCCTCACCGTAGTTCTCACCAGTAAGTAATGCAATGCCTCACCGTAGTTCTCACCAGTAAGTAATGCAATGCCTCACCGTAGTTCTCACCAGTAAGTAATGCAATGCCTCACCGTAGTTCTCACCAGTAAGTAATGCAATGCCTCACCGTAGTTCTCACCAGTAAGTAATGCAATGCCTCACCGTAGTTCTCACCAGTAAGTAATGCAATGCCTCACCGTAGTTCTCACCAGTAAGTAATGCAATGCCTCACCGTAGTTCTCACCAGTAAGTAATGCAATGCCTCACCGTAGTTCTCACCAGTAAGTAATGCAATGCCTCACCGTAGTTCTCACCAGTAAGTAATGCAATGCCTCACCGTAGTTCTCACCAGTAAGTAATGCAATGCCTCACCGTAGTTCTCACCAGTAAGTAATGCAATGCCTCACCGTAGTTCTCACCAGTAAGTAATGCAATGCCTCACCGTAGTTCTCACCAGTAAGTAATGCAATGCCTCACCGTAGTTCTCACCAGTAAGTAATGCAATGCCTCACCGTAGTTCTCACCAGTAAGTAATGCAATGCCTCACCGTAGTTCTCACCAGTAAGTAATGCAATGCCTCACCGTAGTTCTCACCAGTAAGTAATGCAATGCCTCACCGTAGTTCTCACCAGTAAGTAATGCAATGCCTCACCGTAGTTCTCACCAGTAAGTAATGCAATGCCTCACCGTAGTTCTCACCAGTAAGTAATGCAATGCCTCACCGTAGTTCTCACCAGTAAGTAATGCAATGCCTCACCGTAGTTCTCACCAGTAAGTAATGCAATGCCTCACCGTAGTTCTCACCAGTAAGTAATGCAATGCCTCACCGTAGTTCTCACCAGTAAGTAATGCAATGCCTCACCGTAGTTCTCACCAGTAAGTAATGCAATGCCTCACCGTAGTTCTCACCAGTAAGTAATGCAATGCCTCACCGTAGTTCTCACCAGTAAGTAATGCAATGCCTCACCGTAGTTCTCACCAGTAAGTAATGCAATGCCTCACCGTAGTTCTCACCAGTAAGTAATGCAATGCCTCACCGTAGTTCTCACCAGTAAGTAATGCAATGCCTCACCGTAGTTCTCACCAGTAAGTAATGCAATGCCTCACCGTAGTTCTCACCAGTAAGTAATGCAATGCCTCACCGTAGTTCTCACCAGTAAGTAATGCAATGCCTCACCGTAGTTCTCACCAGTAAGTAATGCAATGCCTCACCGTAGTTCTCACCAGTAAGTAATGCAATGCCTCACCGTAGTTCTCACCAGTAAGTAATGCAATGCCTCACCGTAGTTCTCACCAGTAAGTAATGCAATGCCTCACCGTAGTTCTCACCAGTAAGTAATGCAATGCCTCACCGTAGTTCTCACCAGTAAGTAATGCAATGCCTCACCGTAGTTCTCACCAGTAAGTAATGCAATGCCTCACCGTAGTTCTCACCAGTAAGTAATGCAATGCCTCACCGTAGTTCTCACCAGTAAGTAATGCAATGCCTCACCGTAGTTCTCACCAGTAAGTAATGCAATGCCTCACCGTAGTTCTCACCAGTAAGTAATGCAATGCCTCACCGTAGTTCTCACCAGTAAGTAATGCAATGCCTCACCGTAGTTCTCACCAGTAAGTAATGCAATGCCTCACCGTAGTTCTCACCAGTAAGTAATGCAATGCCTCACCGTAGTTCTCACCAGTAAGTAATGCAATGCCTCACCGTAGTTCTCACCAGTAAGTAATGCAATGCCTCACCGTAGTTCTCACCAGTAAGTAATGCAATGCCTCACCGTAGTTCTCACCAGTAAGTAATGCAATGCCTCACCGTAGTTCTCACCAGTAAGTAATGCAATGCCTCACCGTAGTTCTCACCAGTAAGTAATGCAATGCCTCACCGTAGTTCTCACCAGTAAGTAATGCAATGCCTCACCGTAGTTCTCACCAGTAAGTAATGCAATGCCTCACCGTAGTTCTCACCAGTAAGTAATGCAATGCCTCACCGTAGTTCTCACCAGTAAGTAATGCAATGCCTCACCGTAGTTCTCACCAGTAAGTAATGCAATGCCTCACCGTAGTTCTCACCAGTAAGTAATGCAATGCCTCACCGTAGTTCTCACCAGTAAGTAATGCAATGCCTCACCGTAGTTCTCACCAGTAAGTAATGCAATGCCTCACCGTAGTTCTCACCAGTAAGTAATGCAATGCCTCACCGTAGTTCTCACCAGCAAGTAATGCAATGCCTCACAGTAGTTCTCACCAGTAAGTAAAACAATGCCTCACCGTAGTTCTCACCAGCAAGTAAAACAATGCCTCACCGTAGTTCTCACCAGTAAGTAATACAATGCTTTATAATGTACCGTAACATTAAAATTTTCGAATACGAGAACTTCACTTCGGCAATGTTTCTAGTATCTATAATTTGAAATATTTTTATGAATATAATGTATAAATAAATATTCGTGTGTGGATATTTTTGCGTTATTTTCCCGAACACAAAAAACGCAAACATTTCCAACACGCAACAAAATCCACGTTTACAGTTCTAACAGTGTAGTCGACCAAAAATTCAACTACAAACACGATATCTTAAACATTGTTTACATCGTAGCATTTATCCAGTCAGTATATGAAATTAATATTTGTTTAGGGCGCATTATGCAACACTCTCAATGATCAGTGTCATTCTCTGTAAAGTTCATTATTTCTATTAATTGCAAATTAAATCAATACCTGTCATCAATGTAAAATTAAGATATGTCATTATTCTACTATGCTTCGATCTACAGACGTCAACAATGTCCCGACGTTCACCAACCTGCCAGCGTCTATAGACGTGGTGGAGTCGGCAGCTGCCGGAACCGTCCTTATAACGCTGACTCCCAACGACGCCGACGCGGGCGCGTCTCTCACCTATACAATGTCTGTGGATCCGGTAGCGTCGGCCAACCTATTCGCCTACAATACAAACAGTACGTCTTTAATTGAATTACATAATGTAGTTATATCGTATTTACATAAAGCGTAATAATAGCTTATATATAAGAATACAAAACCAATGTTTATGTGCCTCCAACTTTGTTATGGTATGAAGTTTTGGATAAAACAATTATTCTGATAAAGGTTAATTGATGTGTTTTGGACTTTTATGTGTACAACCTCAGTATGTCGGGTCGGAGAAGTAAGAGTAGTGTCCACTGGTTTATTTTAAATGTACCATGTTTCATTTGGGAAATTAACACAAGAAATGTCAAAATAACAGACAAAACTCTATATCATTTTTATCAAGTTTTACGAGAAACTGTTGTCGTTATTACCGAAAATATTTCATAACGGGAATATGGTACTGTCCTTCAGCTGATACAAACAAAATCCAAATTATCTTCCAGTGACATTTATAAGTTGGATGACAGTCTATTATGCCTTTAACAGCATTGGTCAAAGTCTTCCCGAACAATTAATGTCAATTCCATGTTTTGCTTGGTTTTATGTTATCTCTTTATGTTCTGAAGCATCAAATCCTATGATTGTATGTTTGCTTAGACTTTTAGTTGATATTTTGCCCTATTGAATGATTAAAGTTCATTATTATTTTTAGGTTTTTGTTTTTCGCGGTTTTTGTGGATACCATCGTCCACGAATTAAGATCCTCACAACAAAGGACTGATTCGTATTATCACAATTTGGTTTTGAAAAGTCCATGCATTCAAAAACTTACAAAGTAGCCATTTTTTACAAATTCACAAAATAGGGTGACCACGACAACTAATGAATCTGCAGTAAGGATTTTGTATTTCCTTTTTAGCCCAGCAAGTGACCTTGGCTACCGGACAAAACTTCAACTACGAGTCTGTTATCTACTTCAACGTGACGTTTACAGTCTTTGATCAGTTAGCCACGGGAGGACCGTTTGTATTGGACGTTCACATCAAGGACGACGACGAGCCCTGTTACTTTGACAAAAGCTACTACTCACTCAGCACGAGTGAGGGAGCAGTACGTTACAGATTTAGGCTGTTTACAGCATTAGATAAAAAAAATATGAGTAAAGTATCAAAGAAACCACGTCTTTGCTCGTAAAAATATTTAATATTTTTATATAAAAATGATTTTCTGAAAATGATGAATTGAATTAAATGTAACTGATAATTAATATCTATTTTGTGATTAACACTGCAGTGTGTATTGAGTATTGAAGAATAAATGATAAGAGCAAAAACAATAACAGTATACAGGCAAATCAATGAAATTATTCTGGCAATAAACTGACAGCATTCTGGTAACACATCGAGATATACTGCTAGTGTATTGCAAGGGATGTAACCTGAAATAGCCTTATAGTATACTAACAAAACACTAAAAATATACTGCCGAACAATAAGGAGTATACTGGTAATACACTGTGCTGTGAAATTGGGAAATTGCTTATTTTTACGTATGCTTTTTGTTGTCAAACCTAAAAACAAATTCAAATTTAACCCAATGTCTAACAATTTGAATACTTCTGCGTGGAGCTAATATTACCCAATGCTGGATATAAACATTTGTTATTTGAACGATAAAAAGGGTGTAACTATTTGTTACTTCATGATGCTAAATTTAACATTGAGTTTACTACGATCTGAACAGAACTGAACGTCAAAATGATTTTTCAGAATGATCGATAATTTAATTGATCTACTTGAATCAAAGCTGATGTCTCACCGTTAAAATGTAAAATAATTATCTCCCTTTGTAGTCCGGCAGCATCAGTCTGAATCCGAACTTTATCATCAGCGACTATGACGGTATATCCTCCTACTCATTGTCCTTCACCACAGCTAACAACAGCGAAAGGTACACCATCATCTTTCCTTCTACAGGCAAAGGAACATCAAAACTGCGTTTTACTGAGTCACACATAGATATGACCTCGTGTGAAATTAGAAACTCCATGATGTGTTAACTGAAAAAATACACATTTAAAACATGGTTATTAAAGGGTTTTTTGGTTTTTTTCATTTGCTTTTTTTTCAAGAAAATAATAATAGTTTACTAAATGATTTATTTATTTTCTAACGTTCCTAATTTGCACTGTTTACAACTTTGAAAATTAAAATATCATAATACCTAGAAAATCTACGCGACTTGTTAATAACTTGAATCTAATACTCATGATATAATTTGCCAAAGACATTTTGCTTTTAGCTATTCTATATTGTATCAGTGTTGTTTAGTATGTTGATACTATAACGTATTGTTGGAATTAACCTACATTTATACAATTGCATGTTAATTTACGTTTCTCCAATATTAATACGTTTTATATTAGTGATTTTCGCCTATATCCATACTTTTCAATGTCATTGACTTTATCATATACAATGTATTTAACCTATATCTAAATTGACATGTAAATGACAATGATTATATTCATGCTATTACATTTTAATAAATTTAAGCTATATACAGACTACTGTATAATAATGACAATTTGCCTACATTGTATATACTTACTATAATTTCTGAATGGTAACCCGTATTCATATATTTGAATCATAACGTTATATACTACTATGCTGTCGATATTCTCAAATTTGTGTTTTTAATCATAGAAAGATGTCAACAACGAAGAGGGTTTTTGTGTTGTTAATTTGTATTTTTTATCCTTTTGCTCACTCATCCATTAGGTTTTATTAGAGTCGATAAATGTTTATTCATATGATAAGGGCAGATGTTCACAGGATTCCTGCGTTGTTTATTATGATGTTTTTAAACGAAATGGGTTTTTTATGCACCAGATTCACCATCGATGCCTCGACAGGTGTGATAGGGTTCGCCGTGAACTATGACATAGACAACAGTGCCATGCCGTCTACCGTCATTCTAACTGTCGAGTGTAAGGACGCCACCAGCCAGACAGGGACAACCAATGTACAGATCAGCATCGCGGTCAGTTTATTTGGTTACATTGTATATTTGGTCATCAAGGTTTAATCAACACGAAGATTAAAAGCAATATCTAGAAATGTGTTTCCTTTCCAGTTAAATACATTGTAGGAACTGACCTATTGTAATTTTTCCGGCCGTTATTCTTTCCCTTCAATGTCACAAATTTGCTGCAAAACATAGTAGTAATCTTTAGTGTATTAATGAAGTCATGTGAATTCAAATGTGCTTAAATTGCACATTTTTTGTATCACAACGAATTTGTACAACATTTATAAATAATAAATGCTGTTTATAATAGGTAGATGACCGAAAAACACCTGTTCAAGTCATGTAGATATTGTGAAAAAGGACCCATGCTGATTATATTATACACTTATGATAAAGCTAGTCTGTACAGTTAAAACAAATTAGGTATTGATACATTTGTGCACTAAAATAAACATGTTCAATGCAGTTCTCTACTTTGCTATAGGACGTGAACGACAACGCGCCAACATTTGGTAGTGCTAGCTACATCCTAACTGTGGATCAGTATTCAAGCGCAGGGACGCTGATAGGTTCGTTAGCGCCTACAGACGCCGACTCGGGTAGTAATGCTGACTACACGTGCAGGTGAGCGTTATTCGATCCGTTATTATGCATGTTTTATTGAAATGTGTATATCCACAGAACTACTCATGAAATTTTATAAAAACCATGGCATAGTGATGTAGCGTAGGATTAATGAAATATATATAGCATCTTACATGAGTTTCCATTTCATATGAGATTTATGAAACGAGTCTAAGAGTTTTTTAATTTAGCTAGCCTCTGGCGAGTTAAAATGAAAAAGACGTGATGAGTTTCAAATTTTTTTTATAAATGAAAACGAGTGTAAGATCCTTTTTATCACATAATCAAGAATTTTGGTATTTATTCATGTAAAACAACAATTTTCATGCAACCTTAAAAATGAAAAAAGACGCCATTTTGACTCCTGTGCGTTAGTTTGTGACGTCATGTAATTTCCTAGGCGTGACGTCAAAATTGAAACTATTGAATCTTACAACCAATCACAGGGCTGATAGGTCATATTACATGGGTTAATACACAAAAATATGACATTGGTATGTTCACTGGATAACACAGCACATTATGTGATATAATCATATGTACCATTGATGAGTCATAAATGGACAAAATGGCCTAAAAAAGCAATACAATGTCCACGTTGACGTTCTGCACCAACACATTTCATCTTAAATAGGAGCTTCATTACTTTTCATTTTTGATGATTGATATACCAGGTATATTAACTACCAAACTTACATAGATATCATTTGGAATGTGGCTTTGTTTACCTAACGATGATATCTACTAGTGACCGATGTCTTAAATGCCATGTCTCAACATATTTCAACTCGCAATCAGGACGAATAAAACAATACTTCATCCTGTCGCTTTGTTTTAACGACTAGTAAACTGGAGACATCCAAAAAACACTACCAAACCGAACAAAATAGGGAAGAAAGCATACATAAAAACCATGACTGCTGCATATATGGGTAGTGATTACACCTTGATATCGTTGGCGAGCATAAAAGCTCTAATGAGTCAATATGTCTTTGTACGTAGAGTACACGATGGAACAAATAATGTTTAACATCTCCGAACACGCAGGGGTGTTCTTGTTATGATCACTTCAATGATTATCCAGTGATTCTGCTGTGGATTACAGCATTTGTCAATAATGCCAGTAAAAGTAGTAATTTTGCATTTTGTCCTTTTTTTCTTTAGTGCAACAACCACTTCCGCAACAGGATCTACATACTATAACATCGGATCCGACTGTGGCGTATACCTGATCGCCACCCCGTACGGAAATATAGACTACGGGACAATGGTTCGATTCTCAGTTACGGCGACAGACAAGGGATCAACGCCTCTGAGTGGAACGACGTTCGTCGACATTATCTTCAAGGAAGCAACGACAACGACGACGACAACGACGGCAGCGACAACAACTGCCTCCAACTTCTTTGACGACCCAGGGAGTCTGGCGGCGTTTGTTGTCGCGGTTGTGCTAGGTGCGATTATCCTTGCATTATTGCTGTACATGTGTCTGCGCTGGTGGGTTACAGGCGCGTGCTGTGGGCCGGACCCTTGTGACTTCTGTTATTGGTGTCGGGGTGATGGACGAGATCAATGCTGTCAACGTAAACAGTAAGTCTTAGAGCTTTGTTGTAGGCATAAAAGGTGCAGGACATTTTTAAAACATTCCACATAAGAATTAAGTATAATAAACTTATTAAAGAAATAATGATATGCTTACTTAATCAATTGAAAATTGTAAATACGAATATACATATGTTAAATAAGATTTATCAGTTTGGAAATATGTAATACCAAAGTTTAACTTAATAAACAAACAATGTTAACACGTATATTGGTTTTGTATGAAGTAAAACTTTGGTATTATGGATATATATGTTTTTTTTAATTAACATAAAGAATCCGTTAAGAAAATTGTACATTTTTTTCGTAGGAACAGAAAAACATTATTAACAGCGTATTTTCATTGAATTTTTTTTAATGTTTAAGCAAGACGTACAAAATGTGACAACTTTATAAGACATTTCAATATATACTGAACAAAAAAAGAAACGCACAAAGTTACCCCCCTGCAGTACACCTTAGCTGTAAGGAAATAATGGAATATTTGGTCAGGAATTACATCAAGAACGATTTCCCTTCTTTAGTCCTAATCACCCGGAGTGATCAAGCCAAGCCGGAGTTTTTCAAACAAATAATCTCAACGGATACTCCAAGTTCAGCCACATACATTTTTCACGTTGGCATTTTGATTTCGCCATTGACTGAGATGCCACGCTGAATGCAAATTCCGAGGGGTAGAGCAATTGCGATGTTGATGGATGGTCATAGCCAAACTGCTGTCGCACGGCAGTTTGGTGTTGGCCCGTGTACAATTAACCGTCTCTGTACACGTTTCCGTGCTACTGGGTTAGTTTCAGATCGTCCCAGGAGCGGTCGTCCGCGCGCAACGACCGCACGACAAGACAGGGCGATTCGATTGTCGCACTTGCGCAACAGTTTCTGCTGTAGAGACTGCGTCGCATACCTTAGGTACTCATGGCAGACCCATAAGTCCTCAAACTGCCAGGAACCGCTTGCGTGCCGAAAGAATCATTGCGCGCTGACCTTATGTCGGGCCACCTCTGACACCACGGAGGCGGCAAGTGCGTCTTGACTGGATCCGTAGACATGGCCCGAATAGGTTTGGGATGCGTCGATGGAGGCGTGTGATGTTCACCGACGAGTCTAGATTCTGTCTGTATCGCTCAGACGGAAGAAAAAGGGTATATCGCAGACGCGGTGAGCGTTTCGCCGACGCATGCGTGGTTGAACGCGATAGATTCGGTGGGGCTTCTGTAATGGTTTGGGGAGGCATCTCCCATGGAGTAAAATCCCCCTTAGTGGTCCTGGATCAAAACCTCAATGCCGTTCGATACAGAGACCAGATCCTCCAACCACATGTCCTTCCACTTCTCAGACGTCATAACCTAATTTTCCAGCAAGACAATGCTCGACCGCATGTTGCCAGAGTCTGTCGTGATTTTCTCACGGCAAACAACGTTCAGCCTCTGGAATGGCCCCCATATAGCCCCGACATGTCTCCCATTGAGCATCTGTGGGATGAGCTGGACAGGCGTATTAGGAAACGTCAAAACCCCCCAACTAACCGCGCCCAGTTGATCGCAGCATTAACACAAGAATGGAACAACATTCCCTTTAGGCGAATAAATTTTCTCATGAATTCAATGCATAGGAAAATCCGTGCAGGGATTCGTGCAAAAGGTGCCCACACTACTGATGACACGAGTGACGTCACACAGACTTTTCTTCTACAGTATTGTAAAGAGTAGACTTGTCCCTTCATATTGATATAAAATTTTGTACAAATTTCCCCAAAATATCATAACCTATTGGTTGCATAATTTAAATGTGCGTTTCTTTTTTTGTTCAGTATACTATAACCAAATACATGAATAAGCCAAAAAACAGAACGCTGACTTCTGAGTTATGTCAATCAAAGCTGGCATTTTAGTAATGCAAATATCATGCCCCTGATACAACATCTTTTTTTAATCATTTTAATCTGATAACGAATTATTTTGAAATTATTCATCCTAATTAATATTTTCTGATTGTCCCTCCAGACGTCGACACAGGAAAAGAGTGGTTACCCCAGAAACGCCGTAAGTAAATTATTTATTCTCTGAATTGAGATCCTGTGACCTCCATGATAATGACGTGAAATCAAAACGTATACCTAATATATGTGAAAAACCTTATCAAATATGAAGTATAATTATTAATGGGTCAGTTCGGGTGAGTAATACAACGCTAAATCTGCCACCTCACCATTTTTTATTTTTTTATTTTATGGCACGTTGATCCAAATGCAAATGATTAGTAAGTTGAAACCAGAAATATGTATGTGCTTTTGGTGGGGAAGTGACAAATGTGAATTCAATAAGCTTTCTTTTGTTCACTTTGTGGCGTAATTCTGTCGAATCCCCACCTAAGGATGTAAATTGACAGTAAACATCATTTTCATAGTTTGTGTCATGATGTCATTATAATAAGTGTCATCTTATGATGGCCTTATTCAATTCTATATATGTGTTGAGTTTTATGTGGAGTAGGCATAAATGCAAGTTATATACATAGCTGATTTTATGTCTGTTAGACTGTTTGACAAGTATTGTTAAAAGGTTGCTATGAACATCGCCCCCCTTAGGGTGCGCCTCTCCCCTTCTTGGTGGATCCATTGTTTTGAGGTTTTTGATTGGCTAACATCCCACGCTACAATCTGATTGGCTGTAGGCCTCTTTCTTCATCTTTAAGAGAAAAAAAATAACGGCGCCATTTTGTGGCAGCATATTTTTAGAAATTTATACCAAATTTGCCTTATTGAAAAACCCACCCTTACATGCCACCCTTTTTACGATTGTTTGTTTTGTGATTTATATATAAACTGTTGGTGTGCCCGGGCGTAAGCGTAATTCTGTCGAATCCCCACCTAAGGATGTAAATTGACAGTAAACATAATTTTCATAGTTTGTGTCATGATGTCATTATACTAAATTGTCATCTTATGATGGCATTATTCAATTCTATATATGTGATGAGTTTTATGCGGAGTAGGCATAAAGGTAAATGATGAAAATGTTACCTTACGGCGAAACTTTAAACAAGCAGGTTTCAATAAATGCAATGAGTTGATGGTCATTGATAATCAATATGTAGAATATCAAAGAGTTTAAGTTCCTATCCGTGGCTAAAATAAAAATAACTAGCTTTCAAAGGTGTATTTAAAATCGTTTAAGTTTTTCTTTTCTTTCAGAGAGAGGCCCAAGAGAAAGAGCAAGGGGGAGTTTGAGTACTGGAAGGAAGGTACGTAATTGCACCAATGTCCATTTCAAAATATTTATTGAATATTCATACCATCAGTTCCGTATGCAGTTTGCATGTGACTGCTCAGAAATGAAGTTAGCAAGGTTCTTTTACACGCCGAAATTTATTCTTTTTATATATGAACATTTCATTTCGTTTTGATGTTTCCTTAAAAACCCTGAAATAACAAAAATCATTCGCCTATGTTTTATAATCAGGAAATTAATTGTAATTTGAAGAGTAGAAAGAAAATGATATTTTGTAACAAATCAAAAGTCAAATGACTGACATGCAATTCATACTGAGATATCACAAGTGGAATTAAAGGTTATTTTTGTACGAGTTAATCGTAAATAGAATTGTACTTCAAAAAAATGAAAAAGATGATAAACATTTCACATGTACGCTAAAGAATTGTCCAGTTCTGTGAACAAAACGTGCAAGGACTTTATTTTTCACAAAACAAATTTACAAAAACAAGATGTAAATATATCAAAAAAACGAAACAATAATGATTTTAGTAAATTGCGTCTTGAAAACATAACGGAAGGAAATTTGCTTTTTTTCATTACGTTCAAAATTTTGTATTGTTTTGTGAAACGATTGAAATATCTGTTACTATCTTTTAAAACATCGTGACCTGATAAGACCTGTGCTAATCACTGCCAGTATGTTTTATTATTAATACTTAAAGTTAATATGTGCGGATATGATAAATGTATCATGTGGTAGTATGTTAACGTTAATATGTGCGGATATGATAAATTCATCATGTGGTAGTATGATAACGTTAATATGTGTGGATATGATAAATGTATCATGTGGTAGTATGATAACGTTAATATGTGCGGATATGATAAATATATCATGTGGTAGTATGTTAACGTTAATATGTGCGCATATGATAAATTTATCATGTGGTAGTATGTTAAAGTTAATATGTGCGGATATGATAAATTCGTCATGTGGTAGTATGATAACGTTAATATGTGTTGATATGATAAATGTATCATGTGGTAGTATGTTAACGTTAATATGTGCGGATGTGATAAATTATCAAATGGGAGTATCTTAAAAAAGTCTGGTTGCTATGATAAATTTATTTTGTAGGAGTACATGATAGGATTCCTTCACCGTCAAACATTCTAAATCATAGTAAATCCTTACACCGTTTTTCACTAACCAATCTTGGCCTAAATTAATGTTCCTGTTAATTGGCGATACAACAAAGAAGGAATGACAACACTCCACCTTGCCTATAGTAAACTTTATGTTTACAAGTCCATCAATGTAAATACGTTTACCATTAACAGATCGCAGACTAATTGTTTTCTTACTCAATTTCGGTTTTTGTTTCAAAGTTTTATCAATCCTCCTATGCATTAATGAAATTTCCGCTCCGGAATCTACGAGTTCCCTAAGCCTCTGGTTATATTTTTAACATAAGTATGGGGGATATATTATATACCCCAATACTTATGTTAATATACATATCTATTAAGTAGGAGTATGAAAACAGAAGTATTTAGGCGTATGTTAAAAAACGTAAGTATGATGGACTCTTTTAGTTTTAGTTCATGTGGGCTTGCTACCTTTAGTCTTTGGTATCCAATGGGAATATATATTAACATAAGTATATAGGGGTATGTAAATAGTATTTTTGGGATATATATACTTAATGATGTTGAGATATGGTATATATATAAGCTGTAGGATATGAAGATATGGGGATATGCAAACTTTCTAACTCTATATTATAGATGATGGTGGGCCGATAAGAAAATCGAAAATTATCCGACACTATTATGGTTAAAGGGAGGTAACTATCTATATATTTCTTTATGCAAAACATTTTGCTTGATCTAATGCATGTATACATATCATATTATCAACCATAATAAAATTATAAAACGACCTGTCTGTATACTGTAGCTTATATTTTGTCCAGTCTATCCCTGGTTTGAAATGAATACAGGGAAAATTCATTTTCTGTGAATGTAACACACATTGTAGATAATAGGAGGTTATAATGTGCCAAGTACTGCTAAGAGACTGAGAAAAAGTGTATATGTATAAATGTAATTATTTTGATACAGCAGTTTTATATTTCAGTGACAGATATTCTAACGGCATTAATTTTTTTAAATTATTTGTAATCAAAACTTAGATAGTTTCATCCCTTTAATCATATGTTTTTGAGCTGTAATACATTTGTATATGTTTTCGTTTGGCAAAAATATAAATTACAATTGAAAACCATTACATGTTAGACAACTTGTATAGACTGTCAAATACATTTTGTACAACATGATTAAATGATTGTATTATCATTTTGAAACGTTTTTACGGTAAGAAATAGTTTAACTCGTTGTCTGATAGATACATTAAAGTGTAAATGTACCAACGCATTATATTCGATAATCAGGCAAGTTAATGTTATACACTAGTTTCAGAGGGACTGGAAAGCAAGATTGATATGACAAATAATGACATGGAAAGCTTAAACATACAAACTTTATATTTAGTTTGTGGTTCATCTGTCAGGTCTTTGTCAATATGTCGAAAACAAATGTAATACATGATACGCATGTTGATAACGAACCTTTAGACACTTATCATACGGTACTTATGGTGTGCTTTCATTACCCATTTGCATATGCTTGTAGCTACCACCGATACTACAGGTATTTACAGATGTTTATTGTACTAGATACTATCTGATGATTGCACCAACAAATCTGATTAGTTTACTTTGAAGTCTATTTCATAACGCCATGATGTATTTTATCTAATTGTTAAATCGTTTTTTTATTTAAGTTATTTTTCTTTGTATAAAACGAACTTTACCCAAAAATAAGTTTTTTTGTCTGAACATTTCCTTGAAATTCCTCATGATTTTTTGGCTTTCCAATATCTTTACATTTCCTTACTACATAATGAAATGATATTCCCAGCATTCACAGACAGTGTAATTCGTATTATTGTTTTTACAGACAGCGACTACGGTTCACTCAGCAGGGCTGACGTTAAGCAGAATAGAAGGTTTGTACACTATTTTAAATTATCTGAGAACTCCTGTTATGTGTGTTGGGTATATGCTGTCTTCTCTTTTCCTTAACTGTTGGTTAAATTGTCATCATTGGTATCATCTTTGAGTTATCACAATGGTTTATTAATCTTTATGTCAAGTTAAAACTTATATAAGATATGTATATCAAATATTTATATTTATACAGCGTTCATTAAAATGTAACTATTAACAGAAAAATACCTTTCAAAAGAAATCCATGTACATGTATGTAGGTATTATTATCAAGGGAAATTATGTAGTGCTCAATAGAGATTTCATTTTATAAATTATGTAAGACATATTTCATTAAAACATATAACTTTTGTGACTACATATGATATAAAGCTTTTCAAATATATGAATAAATATGTAAATAGAAATATAATTCAACTTAACATAACAAATGTTGCTCTATTCGTAACTATATAAAAGAGGAAGATGAAACATTATTAAGTTATATCATGTACGCAGTACTAATTAAACGATTGAAAATAAGGAATCCAGTTCATCTCCAAGGACAGGCAGTGTTCGTTTTTATCTTTATTATTCTTTAGATTAATATTTATTTGTCATTTGATGTCTTTCTTAATGTTTATTTCTTTCCATTTCTAATAAAGCAAAGTATAATGAAAATAAATATAATGAATCCGACGAACGTTTGGTGTTTAACAAGGATGATAAAGACTTACATTGGTAAGGGGAGAACATAGTAGACAAGTAATATATCCATGTTATCTCACTTCATACAGTTCTCGTATGACCGGACATCGTGACTACCCCGATTTCCCGCGGTCTTCCTCAAAAGCCATCCCACCTACTGATATCGGTATTGGGTACAGCCGTCCTGCTACAAGGATTATTCCTACCGGATACTACTAACGCTGCTGGAATTAGTGTTCTCCGAACGGGCTCAATCATGAAGTCTCTGTACTACTAACGCTGCTGGAATCAGTGTTCTCCGAACGGGCTCAAGCATGGATTCTCTGTACTTCTAACGGTTATCATGGAATCAGTGTTATAGCCGCATCTAAACATTGAATTACGTCCCTTTGTTATATATTGCTAGTTCAGAATTGAATTGTTTTCGAACTATAAATAGCATTAAAGTACTCGTGTTTATTGGAAAGGATATGTAATCGGACGGACATACACAGGTGTATTACATGTGCATTGGTGTATATTACTAATTCTTGTGTCAAACATTGTCTCAGTACTTTTTATAAGCTCGAGAGAGACTGTAGTCTCATTATTAATTATTGGATTATTTATTACCGCAAACGAACTTGTCATATTAAAACTGCTTTGTCTGACAGAATGAGCTCTATTTAAAGAAATAGAACACTTCAGTAATGTTATACCAATATTTTGGTTAGACCGTTATAAGTATGTTGTGAATGCGAGATTTTGAATAACTTTATGTAACGAAATTTTGGTTTTCAGATCTAAGGTGAGATTGTGAACAGAACGTTCAACTGACAAAGTCTTACCTGATTTTATTTTTAAAAGGAATATATACGATACACACATATCAATTTCCTACCTGTCGACTGTCAAAAAGTACCGTTAAGTGTGGTATACTAATAAATAGTCCAATAATTAATACATTGCATTCTAATTGTCGACCATCAACAACGTACCGCTATGATTAAGTTTACCTCGTAAATATCCTACCTGTTCGAAAGCCGAAAGACGTATATACTTCCTTTGAACTTTCAAAATAATGACCGAAATATAGTGTACATGTCAACTATCAAAGGAACTATCGCTATATAATGTTTCACCAATGAATATCCTATTGGCGACTATCAATAAAACGATTCTAATTGTTCAAGGCGATTTTACTGTGTTCATCATAAATCATAATGTTAGTGTTGCCTCTTATTTTTGTTTTATTTATATTTTGTTACTTTTTCCTAATTGTTTGTTGATTCTATCCTTAAAGTATAATTTGTAAATTATTCTTTTTATTAAAGATTGATTCAAGCAGTTTTTTGCTATATTCTATTTTCATTCAAATATCAAATATGTTTGTTTTTTATTTTACCAAAAGATAGCATCACAAATGTCCAGTTCTTGCGATTTCTCTCGAACCGTACAAAATGTTTTTTAAGTTTGATTAAAGCGTAAACTATCCCTATATTACTTTCCATAGTATTTATATCCAAATAAGCCTTATTGGATAACTATCAAGAAAATCACGATAACACTTAAAATACCAATCAAATAATTGTGAGAGTATATTACTAAGATCAAGAAGAAGAAATGGCAGTGGTGTGACAAAAAAATATGTTATAATTTTCAGCCAATCGCTTTCGAGATAAAACAAAGTATTGTCATTTCCGCACTGAAGTTACAGATATTACCGGAGGAATTTAGTCTGTAGTGGTATTAGGAAGTATTACAGAATTCAACCTATATGACTATTTCAAAGAATTAGTGGGTTATTATACGGTTTAAGTATGGGCTTTGGGAATGAAACACATTCTTGGAACCACGAAAACAGGTATGTTTTCCGTGGCTAAAAAGAGAGAAATAGGCAAGTTCAATTGGAAAAACAGAATTACTACATCACTATATTGATGCATAAAGCAAGGACTGATATACTGAACTGTCAATGTAAACAATAAGTTATTCTAAACATATGTTAGACATAAACACAAACAGGATGTTTTAGAATTTTCAATTTAAAAGTCTTTCTACAGTTCACACTCGTCTCGTTCTGAAAGCCTATTCTGCGTTAGCGTCTTTTGAAAGATTTGTCTCGGAATCAAAACAAACTATGAGTGGACAGGTAAATATAATATCAATTGGTTGTATGTAGTTTGTAAGGGTGTTTTGGTTTACAGACCAACACACGGATAATACACGACTTTTTCCTTGGGCTGCGAAGTCATGGCGAGGGAAGGGAGATCGCGAATCTAATGATTTTCGTTAAAGCGGGAATATTGTGTCAACCTATAGAAGCTAAAAATAATTATCATAAACTGGAAGGGTGCCAACACGACTTCAAAATAAACAGGTATTCGTTTTATGAAACTTCATAATAAAATAATTGAAATTTTTGCTTATATTTGTATTGTCAACAGTATTTTAATTGCAATTAAACACTGTTGACAATACAAATATAAGCAAACATTCCAATTATTTTATTATGAAGTATGCATACATTTACCATGCAAGGAGCGAATTCTAATTTATGTCAAGAAATGTCATTTAGCAAAATTCATAAGTTTATGAAAAAAACACTTTTTATAGATATTGGTCTCAGATTTTAAATAATGGACAATTACTTCATTAGATTTTATGAGTCTGTGAAACCTGACGTCGATGATGTTTCAAGGTCAGAGACTTGTATTACTTTGAAATATTTAATTATGCTAATCAACCTCTTTGTCTCGTGATAATGGCCAAGGCACCCGTCACTGTCATTATATATCAAAACAAATCGATAAATCGGAAGAAATCAATTTTAAATGTTTCTGAAGTTACCTGTGTATTTCGTGTAGCTATAGCTAGTTCATAAAATTCATCAATGAAAGCTTTAACTGACATAACGATCCGCTGAACATATGATATAGGTACACACCAGGTAATGAATAAATTTTCGAGGGATGGATTGAATGATTTCAATTATAACGGAATCTCTGAAGCATTATGGACATCGCATTATAGGTGTGTTTACATAGACTATGATGTTCTCGTTATACCATGATTTAATACGGGTTTATAGGTAAGGGATTATCCAGCAGCGTCATGTTACCGAACAATGACTTGAGGTGCAACGTGTGCGGCAGGAAACGCGTTCCCTTCTGGAACACCTAGTTGCGCGACCACGTTTAGAAAGGGGTTCTCCGTGCATTCTGTTTTGTTTTACGTATCATATCAGTTCCTTATTCTGCCTGTCTTGTTACCGAGCAATAAATTTACTCATATTTTGCATATGCCACGTGTGTGGCAGGAAATGCTTCCCATTGAGGAACACCTAATTTCCCCCTTGATGTTTTAGCGAGGAGGTTTAAGTACATCTTCGCTTGTTTTAGCATTTTTTTCTGTGCTATAATATAGACCTCGAGTTTAGATAATTACATTTATATTGGATGATGTGGTACATTCTGTATCGACGTTGAGTTCATATTATAACTTTCAGCAAAGGCAATGTGGCACACTTTGTTCCACTATCAGCTGGAATCTTGCTTTTGCGTATTGAGTTGACGCTGTGGTCATGTTGGGTTCTTTTATGTTCATTTTGTCACTTTCCTTATTTAAAATGTGTTACGGGTGTTTTTCTTTAATTCTCTCTTTTTTTGTTGGGGCAGGGGGGTATTATAATTTACATTTACTCTATCCAATACATGATTGTTGTCTAGTGATGATGGATATTTCTATAATTCCATAATGTCACATTTAGCTAGTTGTAGCTATCATTAGTGTATGCATGTGTACATATAGCATACTAATGCGAAATATTTATTTCCTGTCCTAAAACAGAATGACTCTAATCAACCTATGAGTTTAAACCTGAGAAATGCTTTCCCTATTGGATTATCAAGTGAGGAAAACAATTCAGGAAAAGGTGTGTCATGAGGCTGCTTTTCAGTTTCACATATAGTAGCGTACGGGTTATTGATAACAAATATATGCATCTGCAATTTATTTGTTAAATAGTAAAAGCAAGATCCCTTTATAACGCACTCATGTCCTCTTTCACAGGTTGATATTGTATCCAAGACATGTATTTTGGTAATCGGATAAACATTAACATGCATAACAGTATGCTGTCATTTTTTGGGTGTTTGCATACAGGTTTACGGTTCTGTATTCAAGATATCATGTACTCGGTCGATTCGTGTAAATATTATCGGTAGAAGGAGGTACCATGTGCATAATCTGTAAGCATAAATGGCGTACGCTGGCTTACTATAACAAAGGTGTGTGGTTTATTTTTGTCTACATTGAGCTCTCTACTTGTACTATAAGAGGTCGATGGTGGTGTGGATTTTCTTATTTGCTCTCTGCACAAGTATAGTTCATAATTTTAGACTTGTAACTTTTTTCGATATTTTGTATATCTTTGTTATGTCTATGTGGTTGGGATTTTTTCTAATCGAAACGTGCATGATGTTTTAAATTTCCATATTGGTACGAACTATTGTGGTTTGTAAACAAACTCTATAATTATAATTTAAAATTTTATAATTTTTATTTATTTGTTCTTTATTTTTTATTGTAATAATTATTATTTTGTCATCTTCTGGTCGTTTGTAGATACAAATAATGTTGATAACGTATTGTTATTTCTCTGCAAAGTTTATCTGAATAACTACTGTAGATATCATATATTACTTACACGACCATATACCCAACTTTTAAAATGACATTTTGAAACCATTAAGAGTACATACTTGGACTTTTTTGTCCCAAAAAAAGATACGGATGCATATGCTGCCTTTCCTTCAGACGTCATCATTGGTTACTGCTTCGGTAAAATAAACATTTGATCATGTTGTACTTAAATCGCTGCTGGAAACGTTTGAACATTTTCTTTATTCATGCAGAACTTCTCATAAAAAGCGTTTTGATTTTGAAACTCCGGCTGAACAACTTACATTTATATCAACCCCACCGAATTTTAAGAATATGTATTAGTAAGAAATTCAAACAGCTTTTAATTGACAGATTTTCTTTTAATTGGTATTCATTTATGAAATATTGAAAATGTTATGTCATTACAATTAGCATATAATAATATTATTTGTAATAATATATACGAATGCTGTGTTAAGCACCCACTACTTTGTATTCGCGGGTATACGGTATCATGACTGGCTCTCTTTGGACGAACCTATGTTCCTCTCTACGTAAACCTAGTAATCCTTTCATTAACATCAACAGCCTGTACATGCTTCATGCTAACATCATCAATACAAGAACGACGGACATCAACATGATTCCAATATACGTTCATGCCTGATTAATTACATTTGCTTAAACTATATATTCTTTTCAAAGATGATCTTGTCAACATGTCTAACTCGTGTCAATATATTTGCTGAAGATATCGTCACAAATATATAACGTACGTTTATTATCTACATCATCAAGTGATATTTTCACATCTCACGCTGAGAAAGTGTATAACAAATTCACCTGAGTGTAAACTGATACTGAATAGATTCTTTTTTCTTCCGGTGTTAATAAATATGAATAGATAGAAGTTCACGGAGTTTATTACAACATTAAAGTCATACATCTTATCATATTTCCCTCGTGAGCAGTGCAAGAGGACTCCTTTACGGAATTTGTGACAAGCGTATGTGTCTATAAAAAAACTCTTAAGAAGACTACGCGACAAATATATTGGAATATATTTCATATCATATTGCATCTCGTTTTTACCGTGCGTGATTTATATCAGGGAGATACAGACAAAAGACTTTGATTTAATAAGTATATATAACAAGTGTTAAAACAAGATAGTTCATCAAAGAAGAACTTAATACAGTGATAACTTTGAGACTAAGACTGTGAAATAGCAGCTATATTGTAATACACAGACAAATTACAATATATTCAAAATACACTCACAATTCGACAAAGACCAGATAACGACAACCGAGCTTTAACGAAAAACTGCGGAATCAGTTTAACACTGAGGGGTTTATTCGTTGATAGATACGATGGATTTTGACAATTTTCGAAAGATGTTTGCTATTATTATCTATGTGATGGCCTATGTTATCCTGAGCGTTGAAGGTGCTGTAAGTATGAAACTTTAAATATTGTTACCTCTGTAATAACTTTTCAAAGGAAAACATTGAAATGACTGGTTTGGTGTCATTTTATACTAACAAGTATTACTCATGTTAAGTGTAATATTCAAAGTAATTGAAAATAAAATTCGACGGATTAAACAAATGGAGAAGCAAGATGGTGAATAGATTTAAAACGATGAAGAGAAAAGACAAAAGGCAGATTCATAAAACCTTGTTGAGCTAATTATATAAGAATAAAACAAAAAGGTGATTTATTAGTTTCATTTTTTTTATAATTCGCTTTATGTTTTATTGGTTGTCATGGCATCGTAAACATACAAAGTCAATATCATAAAATGTTTTATCACATGTGGATTTGAAAGAAAACAATTGAAACGCGTTCGTACGAGTTTCATTCTAATCATGTGTAATGTTTTGACATAAATTCACAACGGCAAGGGCACTTATCATCATAATGTCCTTCCTAGGGACATATACCGAATGTGATCATGATGACTTTTCACAACTTTTAACCTTGCTTACCGCAGTCAACATATTAGTATTCGTATTAAATTGAAAGGTATGTTTGTCTATATAGACTATTTGAAGTAGCAAAAATATGGATATAATACTTTTACTCAATAAAATAAAAATATAACTAAAGTTTTAAAGCAAGAATTAAATCTACACTGTTGATAAATCGGTTGTTACTATGTCAAAGGGATTTCTAAAGCTACCACAGCTAAAGTTATTTTAAAACATACATTTAATTAATATTGAAGATAATTAATTCTTCTGTTTGGAGACATTGGAAAATTATTGTTCTACTATATTTTACTACATTGTTTAATAAGAAGTGTCGGGTCAACTTCTTAACATTTGGCTTCATATTTGTCCTCTTATTCAGAATGGAACTCTTTGATACTCTCCCTCTCTGAGCTCCTCTTACTTACTGGTAGGCTAAAATACCTACACAGTACCATTTCACTTCACTTTACTGTGTTTTTCTATACTGCGACTGATCGGGTCACCATATCTTGGTCATAATCCTGCCCAAATGGGCGCAGATTGGTCAATTCAATCTACGTATCATTAGTTTGGTTTGAGCTTGTGTTTCGGGCTTGTTTATATTGGAAACCAATGTGATAGGATCGGTCGGAGGTGATTAGGAGGAATGTATTATAGTGAACTTTTTGGAATCAATTTGGAGGCTTTTTAAAAGAAACCAACATGTCGAGCAACTGTTTGAAAAAGGCGTTATTAAGTTAAACAAGTAATACACAATCAGCAGAACATTTTCCATGGTCCCAAAAGTACATTGTTATTAGGAAGAAACAGAATATTGACCTTTTTCCCTGAAAATTGCTAAACCGTCAACTTGGAAAGGAATAATCCCGTTGGGGATATCAATGTCATCAACCAAATAGAATGATTGGTAAACCTGTTATGTTGTTCAAGTGGCGCTGCCCAAACCATCTGTGTTCGCAGCGTCCTACAACCGTAGCTGTTCAGACGACATCAAAATTCGAACGAATTCGCATCACGGAGAGATCCAAATATGTAGAGTTTTATAAAAACTAGGCACTCGTCACAATTTTACGTATTGTTTTGATGAGATTTTAAGGACTCCTTGATCAATTAAAAAGAAATAGTTTATGTTCCTTATTATCTATGGTTGTGAAAATTATGAACAATCGATAGGTTGTTCAATTTGTTCCCTCAGTACGGAGACTTGCACCTTTTTTTTCATTGAGATGGCAGTTTTCTTGCAATAAGCACATTTGACGTGCATTTCTATTTACAAAATAAATATCATTTCTAAAAAGCTAAAAAGTTTGTATTATGTCGGGAAATTATTTCCAATAGTACGAAATTATTAATTTCTTTTATGCAACTCGTATTCAAAATGGCATTGACTCTCTCCTATTTTCATTATCATGCTTATGTTTATCACTGACAATTGTTTTTACAATATAAGTATATTTTTCCTTCTCGCATTTTCTTTGTGTATCAGCATCAATCATGTTGATGCACTGGGGAGACATTTTCAACCGGTATTTGACCAGTAAAATATTTTCTATTGATAGTCAAGGAAAAAATGCGCATAACTTATATATACGTCAACTTATCGCTGACATGAACGGCTTCTTACTGAAAAGGGATTTCTACCGAATCAATGTGAAATTACTTAAGTCTTTTAAACGCACGACATAAGGTGGGGCACTGATGTGCGCTCTGTTAGCAGATTATTCAGACATATGATTGGATTAAGTCGACGTCAATAAACTATGTAATCCAGAGTTAAGTCAGTCTAACCATACAGTTTAAAGTTTGACCAGTTAGCTATGTCAATGACCTTTCATTATGAAAAATCACAAACAAATTATTCGTTCTCGAATGTAAAGTTCATACAATCGGATTTTTAATTTACTTACCAATTATTTTAATATCGAATGTGTTAGCGGCAAAGCCAGGGACACCATTTATAGTTATTTAAGTGTTAGGTCAATGACTGCATGTGAAGCATCATACCTCTAGAGTAACAAGTTCCAACTATTTAAAGCCTGGTTAACTTAACGGCTAATCAATAGAAATCCGAGATCTACTCTTGCTTAAAAACATTTAGATGAAAATTGGAATTCCATAATAAAGAAAGTAAGGGATACTACTAAGAAGACTTGAAACACAGAAATGTTTGTAATATGTCTTTCGGAATGTTTGCAAGACATGTATATTGTAGATTTCATTTAAACCGTTAAGTTAATCGGCATTTGAACAGCTAGTATTAATCTTTTGTTGTTACGTCTCCGAAGTTCGCATCGTCGTTGAAGCAACTGAAAGTTGTTTTGCCTCTTGTATCACTGCCTGTATGAAGTTTTTCTTAAAGTCAAGAATTCGTGTTTCAATGCAATAGTGTGGATACATTGCAACACTCACACGCAATCTGCAGGATATTTCGTTAAAATCAATACAAAGCGTCTTCAATTATTAGCTATGATCATAGGACCACAACTGTGTAATTCCGACAGTTTGCACACTTTTGAGATTTCTAAAGTTATTTATATGGACAGACAATTAGCTTATTAACTTTATGAAAACGTTTGACCCATTCTTTCAAAGTATGGTAATGTAAGTTTGGACCTAGTTTTTAGCAAAAACATCCACATAGAAATAAAGTTTAATAAAATGCAGAATTTCATTTATTTATTTTTTGAGAAATTCTTGTTAAGCTAACCTAACTTTGCAAAACCTGATAAAAGATTGTTTGTTTATTCTCTGACTATGGTGACCTATGTTGGTATTAAATATGTCAGAGGAAATCGTTCGAAATGACATTTACCTCGATCGTATAGTGGGTAATGAAATGAAGCGCCATGGTACCAGTTATACATAGTAATGATATAGTTTTGTGTTATGTTTAATTTACTGTAATACGCGTCTCATTGATATACCTGTCACAATAAATGTTTTTCAAAACTACTCACGCGACTGGCAAGTCAATGGGAATAATCCGGAGCGTAATCATGCTTGAAATATGTTTTACATAAACATTTTCATAGTGGATTGCCTAACGCTCCCATCCAAGAACTGTATTCAAGCCTAGCTCCCTTGAAATAACAAAACCATGATTTACGGAAAACATGTTCACATAAACGTTGTTTAATACAGTGAAAGTAGATATGTCTTCCCTTTTCTTGATAGTAACAACCCTGTCTCATGTGTCGTTAATACGATTGACCTTCAAGAACACATGCTATCTTATTCTACATGTTATTTCGATCTTCCGTATTTGCAGTTCTTTTTAACATATTTTTCACCAGTTTCAACGATTTTGAGATCAAACTAATGTTTAGTTGACATTTTGGTATTGTCTTGCTTTTCCTTCAGAAAATATATGCATAGACTTATCTTTACATTCGATCAATTTGATACTTGTGTTTTCACCGGTTTAATCCCTTCTCCCAATTATTTGTATTCTACTTTCAACTTCCGAAACACCCGAGGTTTTTTAAAATTTATTTCTCAATGATTTTATATTTCAAAACCTTAACCACATATTTCCATATATTATACATTGAAAACATAAAATAAAATTATCGGCTTGCTTTATGATGGAAAACCCGACTGCTTCATTTAAAATTCGACTGATTTTTTTTATCTTTTGGTAAAATATATCTTTCTTTTTCGATAACAAATTTGAAGTCGTAGCTCGTTAAATAGGCTCATTATGTACTTGTGAAAGTTATTGGAATATAATTACTGAAACACTTTTGCACTACGTTTTATTAACCAGACTCGTAAGCAATGTCCGTTTTTCCTTTCATAAGATGAGGTGGTGAATTTAATAGTCGGTAATAAAATGCATAACCATGAGATTGAAAAATGATGTAGTCCTTCGTATACAGGTGTTTATGATCTGAATACCGATGAGTGAACGAAACGGTAAATCTAATTCAAAATCGATAAAACTTACCTAATATGAACAGAGGAATACTTACAAGAATACCATTGAAAGGTGAAAGGAGAAAAAGACCAGTTAATGAAAGATGTAATTGATATCTAGGGGGATAAATGATTATTATTATAACTACGAATATAGTCTAATGAGTTATTTTAAAGTACATGTACAACTTAACAGATCAACGAGTTGGTTATACCGTTAAAGTATTTATTTAAGCGGAATCGCATTTTAGCGCATTATTGAATTTTAAAAGACAAGCACAATGATGAATTGATGCAATCGCAATATATACAATAACATTTTATGCAAAATCTTTTATTAGCGCAGTCATAATTAAGTTCAATATTTAGAGCGCAAATACCGCTAAAACATATGCGTTCACAGTACCATATTTTGTACATTATAAGCATCATGGGATGACGTGTTTTTTATCCAGTGACACAATAGTTAGACGATGTAAAGCAAAACGCGCGAAATTAATTTTACAGCGAAAAATTATCATCAACCCGGAAAAAAAGCTCACACACAGAACACAAACAATGGCGCTATGAACCCTATTCTTATCAACGACATATATATTCAATGGAACAAAGACCACTGAAATATAAGCCTGCTGAATTGCACTGTAATCTTGTTACATACTCGTAATTCAATCTGTATTTTTCTTCAAATACATGTATTGTCTCATTCATTCATTGACGCACGTTTTAAACGGGTTGTCTTCCTTATCACCAAAATTTAACCCATTTACCAGTGATTCGCCATACATTCCAATATTTTTGTATAATCATATCGGTCAATCAATATCTGTGTTTTTCCCAGGCGCCACAGTTCCAAGGGATGCCGACGTCAGTTAATGTTGGCGAACAGGAGTACAACGGTCGTCTCATCTACGTTCTTACCGTCACAGACGCCGATCCGTTCGTCTGCACGCTCAACCCTATCACTGCGATGAACTCTGATAAGTTCCGGGTACTCATTGATCCTATCACTGGCAGTAAGTGCATTGCACAAACAAGATGAACCCCGATTAAGCATTCAAATGATAAAATGATATGTGTGTACCCCTCGTCTAGCTAATCTAGTTTCAAAACAGTACCATCAAACTTAAATTATAAAATTATTCTCTTCAATTTACAAAAACGAATGAATGAACAATGTATTACAAAATTCGATGTATTCTGATAGGAACGAGCATTCAAACAACGTGCATTAGTGTTATGGATGAATGACAATTCAATCAATCAATCAATTGAATGATTGAATAATGTGAATTAGTAAATTAATGAATGAATTAAGCAAATAAATAATCAAAAGTTATAATGAGGTATTTTGTACTCTTACAGGCTACGGTGTGTACACCCACAATTCTAACCCGGGGACTGCAGCATCTCCAAATGTCCTGTTCGACTTCGCAGCCAACAGCTCCTGGACTGTTGACGTAGACTGTACGGATAAGAGCAACCAAGTCAATACCGAGACTCTCACTGTCAATATTATAGATAACGACCGACTGGAATTTACTAATCTGCCGGGTATGTCTGTTTAAGTATAAATACTCAATAATTGTTATTCCATGAATTGACCCTGGTAAATGTTTATATATATTTCTATATAAAGAGATTTTTAAATATTTTCATGTGATCTGTAAAAACTACATAAATAAATAGATGAAAAGATAAATACATAAATTAAGATAAATAAATAGATAAATGAATAAATAAAAACGAAAATAAGTAAACAAAAATAAGAAGTAAAGTAGATAAATGTATAAAATCCAAATCGTTTCTTGGATGTTAACTTCGTCTGTCAGGGGAAGGAAGTCAACTTGCAACAGACGATTTGTATTTGTTTGTTTTTGTTTCTTTTATTTTTTCTTGAAAACCTGGTTTTCTTTTCAAAATTATAGTCATGCCTGTATAAAGCAGTTTCTTTTACATTTTAACAGTGTAATGGAACGGGGATCTTAAAAAGTTAGTTTGTTCAATTTGTCATCTAGTGATCACTTGAGAGATCATTAAGGGTATTATTGCTGTAAATACTATATCTAGAATTTGTGTAATATGTAATGTGTAACCATAGGTGGATAAAACAAAAATGTGATCAATTGTATTCAATATTAATGTTTTAAGATACTACAACACCAACAGACGCATTGAACACAGCGTCAGGAGTACAATTGTTTACCGTCGACTCGACATCGCTGCTTAACCGAGGCCCATTGTCTTACTCCTACACAACCAGCCCGACAACCACTAGTTTCTCCTTAGATGTCGGTATGTATCTCCGTTATATTACGTATTTACCGTACCTGCCATAAACGACCAGCCCTTAAACCATTCAGTTTTCCTTATGTGTTGCAATATTTTCCTGGTAGGTATTAACAATGTAACTGCACTTGTTTTATGTGTCTTTGGAGTAAGCGTTATCATCTAACTTTTTCTACCCTCTGTCTTGTTTAAACGTAAATTCAAGGCAATAAAATAAAATACACCCTGTTTAATTTGTATCGAATGAGTCGGAACCTATTTACTCCAATCCGTTGACGTAGCTGACCATATGGTGTAGTAAACAGGTTTTTTTTCTGGCTTCCTGCACCTACTAAATCTTCTAGTGACCATACCCCCTGATAGAATAAAATCTCCCGCCATTACTTTTTCATAAATGGATGTTCCGTCCTTCTAGGACACATCCGTGGTGATTCCTAGAAGGATGAAACAGCTGTATGATGTAGTGAAATTAATATTTGACATACTGTAAATATTACCAAACGTTTAAGGTGCAATCATCTGTGCATGTGTTACGTTCATTTTAAGATACAAGATGGTAAACTGTGCTGGTGGAGTTTTTAGTCCCCTAGATTTGCTGTTACCTTGACGGCCAAAGTAATCCCTTTTGAGTAGTTGCACAGTTCATTAAACATTTACACACACTTCACTTTTAATTTGAAATTAACCAGCACACATCTAAATATTTAAATATATAAAGATGGGGGCTTTACGCATCTGCCCCTCTCTTTCGACAGTAGTTTAGGTAATATTTTCATTTTTTTTAGTCGCCAGCTTCACCGATAAGTCATAGAAGGACAAAACAGCTTCATGATGCAGTGTAGTGTATTTTTGGCATACTGTATATATTACCAAACTTTAAAGGTACACTTACCAGTGTGCGTAATAGGTTCATCTTTAAAATGCCCTTCAGTGCCTGAATTTTACATAAAGCACTACACTGGTTTTCTTCCTAGGTTCCGGAATCATGTCCACTGCCCGGGCTCTTAAACATGAGATATACAGCTCGGTTGACCTCTTGGTCACTGTCAGTGACGGCATCATAGCAGTAAGGGAGACGCTTCGGATTGATCTTATAAGTAAGTACAATTGTCAAATATTGCTACACTAGTGAAATACATCACAAGTAATGCTGTCAATTATAACCCCACCCCTCACATATCGCTATGCATGTTGATATACCTCACAAGTAATGTTGTCAAGCATAACCACCTCCCCCCTCAGACATCGATACACAAGTGTATATACCTATGTCATTGAAATATGGTATATCATGCAATTGTACATGTCTAATAGCATTGCCGTCTTTTCGTATTCTTATTTTTCTAGATTTGAATAGCGTTCCTACTATAACCAACCTACCAGCGGAGGTGAGCGTGTTAGAATCTCTCGCCAGTGGGTCAGCCTTCTACACTCTGACCACCAATGATAACGATGCTACTGATGTTCTATCCTTTACAACTAATGTGAACCCTGTCACGGAAACCGGACTCTTCACGCTTGACACACTCAGTAGGTATCTGGGACCGTAAACTGCGTTAGTAGGTGACCTTATGAGCAATGGTACAGTGTTCTCTTCTATATGCTATTTTAAGCGTTATCTTCGAATAGGATCAGCTGATATTCGGTACAATCTGAAAATTGTACATGTAGCACATCCAGTGATTAAATTCGATTGCAACCTGCAATTAAACAAACCTTTTGACATAATAATAGCGTGTTTTATTTTGTTCTGTTGTTTTCTGTCATAGTTATGATGCTTTTTCGATCACTATTCAGGAAAAGGTGGTAAAACAAGTTTTCTATATTTGACACATGAATGTATCACTCGTTGTCTATGCTTTGCTGGCAACTAATAAGTTACTCAGCCGAGGTTTTCTACCAGAGAAACGTCTAGCTACACCGTTTAACAGTTTAACAGTTTATATGTATTACGGGGTTCAAGTGTGTTTTGTTTTTGGTTTTGGTTTGGGTTTTTTTTTTTTTTTTGGGGGGGGGGGGGTTACATCGCCTATGAATTCTGTCCTTATGTGGGTAATGACGACGTGATCCATTGTTTATTGTTCTTTCTATAACTGAATGATTGGCCATTGGAACAAGTATAATAAACGCTGTCATATGCTTTTGCAGCTTTGGAGGTGAAGCTCAGTACAGGAAGTACTTTTAATTACGAACAAAGCACGCGGACGTACAACTTGACCTTCCTCATCTCTGATACAAAGACGGACACAGGACCTTACTCTTTGATTGTTAACATACTTAACGCCAACGAGCCCTGCTACTTTCAAAACAGTTTATACTCTGTGGCGATGAGTGAAGCCGGGGTAAGCAAGACTAAGAAGCTATTATTTATTGTTTTGAAAGTTATTGGGTATCTGTCTTGGAAAATCCCCGTTATAAATGATTAAGAAAAACAAAACGATAAAAAACAACCATAAATAAAAAAAATAAAAAAATAAAAATCATAGATAAAATCCAATCAGTCACTCCTCTCGATATCTAGTATTTTTATATACTACGAACATGGAATCTTATTATACATTCTCTCATAAATGCCATCTGTTACTTGGCTTAACATGTCTCTGTTATTGTTTCATCATGATTTAACACGCCTTACGCTTGCCGCAATATTGTAAGAATAAATGCAAAAAATAAGCATCTTCCTGTTTCGGCTTCTTCATTCTTGCATACATAGGTTAGTTAATCTATTAAATATGTAAATGCCTTTGATGTATCGGGTTTTTTTTCTTTCTTTCATATTTTGCACTTTTCATATCGATTTAGAGTTCAAACTATGGTATTGGTGACACAGTTTTTATACTCTAACTATACTTATCCATAATTTAAATATTTTGAATAACTTGTGTGCCTAAACAACTACCAGCACTGGACGATCATTGACTGTGTTATATCTATGTACAATTCCTTCCGATAAAGTCGTTTTCTATTCGTAATTATACGAAACAGATAGGAGGGTATCCTGTTGATCCGAACTTCGTGGTGAACGACTTTGATGGTACCTCTACCTACACTCTCGGTCTGTTAGCCGGAAACAGCAGCGGCTTCAGTATCGACTCCAGCTCTGGGATAATCAATTTCGCCACTGTGTATGATGTTGACCAGAACTCCATGCCATCTACCGTTCAGCTGACCGTCCAATGTATTGACCCTACCTCGCTGACTGGCACAACGGTTCTCCTCATCACGATTGCGGTAAGATACGGCTACGTTTCATAATCTCGGCCCTGAAGCGCTTCAGTGCTTTATTCCTGGTCACATGTGTGATACGTTTATATTTTCAGGCATAAAGTAGTATATTCTGCTAGTAAATTTCTTGGTCTTCAAGATTTTCCATAACTTTGATGTTCACAATAAACTCTTTTGAGTTGTGGTATGTCTCATATCATACTCACTCAACTCATTATTTATTTGAAACTACGTGTAACTAGTACTTCTATAATTTTTGAAAATCATATAATTAATGTTTTTTATGCACACTTTATTCTGTTTCAACAGTAGGTTAGATCAGTTTGGATCTCCACGTTTAAGGCCCCTAGCTTTACTGACGAGTCCCAGATGGAAAACATCTGTATTATGCAGTGTAATTCGTTTTTTGGTTTACTGTATTTATTACCTAATCCGATAGCTGTAATCATTTGTTTTTGTCTTACGTTAATCTCTTAACAGGACGTAAACGACAATGACCCAGTGTTTAGCCAGAGCAGTTACTCGTTCACCATCAACCAGAACACTGCTCTGGGTACACAGCTAGGGGTACTAGCAGTCACCGACAACGACTCGGGGACAAACGCGGATTACACGTGTAGTGCCACAGCGACCAACAACGCCCTGGCTACATCCTATTATAACATAGGCACGTCCGATTGTGGAGTGTACCTCCTGTCCACCACTGGTCTAACGGAAAATCAGATCGTAAGTTGTTTGTGTCTTCTTTGAGTGTTCTTGGAAGAAAGTATTTTGATATCCAACTCACAACTGATATATTTTGATATCCAACTCAAATCAATCAGTAGTGAATTACATACTTGGTGTACCTTGCAGTACACCCTCGATATTCCAGGGGCTACGCTCACTTAGGCTCGCAGCAACTCATGGATATGTCATGACCAAATCGAAGGCACGCAAACTGCTATTTGATTGGTTTCAGGTATAAAAACCTGATAAATCACTAGGCTGATCCCTGCCCTTCGAAGAACACAGAGGAACTACATGCAGCATCGAACCCTGTCGATCTTATAAAATAAGCTGACGCATAATTCTTTGATCTTCTTCTAAGTCTTTAGGCTAGTTTTCTTGTATCAAGTTGTCGAGTAAATAGCCTTTAATATCGTACTGACTTATACTTGGCTTCCGTGGATGACTTTCTGTCAAAACGCAAAATGTGTATCGTCGATGACCTTTATGCCATTCAACAGTAAATCGGTTTAATTGGCTATATATTATGGTCACATGGAACGTTGAAGTTTCATTTAATAATGTTAAAAACATGACTTTCTCAGTTGATGTGGCGTGTAAAGCCATCTATTTGAGTAATAATTTGGGGAAACTTATTTTACACGCCATCTATTTGGATATTATTTTGGAGAAACTTATTTTTTCCAAACTGATGCTAGTTTGGAGAACAAATTTGATAAGAACCTGCATTGAGTTTAAAACATTGAAAAACAAAAACATTTTTAAGAGCAAACATGGCCCTAATAGTATTTCGCGACCTATTTATAGAATCGTGTTGCCATCAACATTTTGTTAAAGCAAATAAAAGCGGATGATGCCTATTTATAATAAAATTGGACAAACGCTTTAGGGATTGATACTATGGCTTAAAATAAATCGATATTTTACTGAAAAGTGACCCGTTATACTTTGCAGGGAAAGTACGATAATGAGTTAATTAAATAAGAATCCATATGTACTCTAGAAATATTTGTACAATTGTGTCCCGTTATGCTTTGCATGGAAAGTACGATAATGAGTTAATTAAATAAGTATCCATATGTACTCTAGAAATATTTGTACAATTGAACAGGTAACATTCACGGTGACAGCAACAGACAAAGGCTCTCCATCCAGAACAGGAACCACCTTCGTTAGTATCACCTACGTCATCGTTACCACGACAACCACTACCACGACAACCACAACCACTGCCACTACCACGACGACGGTGAACCCACTCACAGAACCAGGAGCCATCGCGGCCATTGTTATAGGCAGCATAGTAGGAGCCGTTTTACTTGGTTTGCTGATCTACTTCTTATGGCGATGGTGCTACACTGGCGCGTGTTGTGGGCCTCATCCGTGTGACTTTACGAATTGTTGCCAGAGACCACAGCAGTACGTACAAAATAATATAATATTTCTTTTTGGACAGTGTTTTTTTCTTTTTTTCATTTTAACATTTTAAATCGGTTCCTATTGAGCGTTGGATTCGCCTACATTTACGATTTTCTACATTTTCTTATCGCAAACAAATGTAAAATACATCTTAATTAAAAAAAAAATGCAAAAAAAAAATAAGAAAATAAATAAAATAGAAAATAAAAAAACATCCACACATTGTTTTAAGTTGTTTTGAAAATAATATTATTAATAACATTTCTTAATATGATTCTTAATTGTGAAAACTGCTCTATTTAGGAAATTAGAAGTACTACATTTTGATCTGCTCAGATATGTCGAGCTAAATGGTTTAAGGATAACATTAGTCTTTTGTCGAAACATCCTTTCATGTAATAGTTTGTTCATGTAAATTGTATACAAAGGAATTTATTCAAATGTGGTCAAGATTGATAAATCCTGTAAATGCTAACAACGTTGTGGAATGTATATGGTCAAATGAGAAACATTTAAACATGACAACCAAAAAGTTTGAAATTTAATAATCAACATGAAAGGCACTTCACACAAAATTTGCATCAAAATATTCTAATTAGGTCGTCATCATGAAATCATTTTTGTTTACAGACAGAATTATCCGCGACGCCAGGTTACGCCACAGGAGAGGTACTTAACGTTATTACTACTAATCACCATGTAGATTCGTTTAATATATCTAAATGCATCGTTTACATCAAGTGTTTCTGATAAAAAAAAACAACATTGCACGGTAACACAATAGTCATTTTCTTTAAAGAAAACGGTTAATCAAACTATCAGACTTTTTGTCGTTCATTTTAATAAAAGGATTTTGTTTTAATGTTCTTAACCATTCCATGTACTATTTGATTTCTGGTTATCCAAAATGCAACCTCACACAAACCAATTATAAATATGGTGGATAGATTTATAAATATAGTGGATAGATATAGTGATATCTTTGATTAACCACTACTGTAGTATCATAGTATCCACCCATTACATTAACACATTAACTACCTTCTTTATCATTGTTTTGCCGCATATCCATGGTCATATTAACCAATTATTATATAGGTATCTTCGAATAACGCACTTTTTATTTGTCATATACTGAAAAATATTGAAATTTCATGCCGTTGACTGTATATATCAATTTATAAAATACAGACACGTAAATTAATCTAGGAATTCATTTTCGCTTTGTTTTGTTTTATATATCTATGTTCTTCTCATTATTGACGATATCTTCAATAAAATTATATTTCTCAGACAAATAAAAACAATTATGAACACAAAAGAAAAAAATATGAATTTTAAATAATCTGATCCCAACTTTTAGATAATTTTAAGGAAAAATATAAAATAATGTTTTCTATATTTACTCTTGATATAAACATGTTATGTGCAACGCCAACTGTTTTGTACGTACTCGATTTTGAAATTTGACCATTGAACTAAATATTCACTTACAGCATCTTTTTCTTACCAATCGTTCTAGTAGCCATAATCATTCCAGACAATAACCGCATTTCCTTATTTTTGTGTGTTTAGCAGGCACATCGTAAAAGAGGCTCCAAGAGAGACTGCTGAGGAATTTAAATACAGACGAGATGGTAGGAATAACAAATGTGTTCACTTTACATCAATCATTTTAAATGTGCATTTTTCGATCTAATTAATTGTCCGTTTGAGGCCTAGCAATGTTTTTAAATGATACCTGGTTCAGACGACTTGCTCTGTAGATAAACATAGATATACATAATGAGGTAAGTTGACTAAAATAAAATCTACTATTTTTGCGTCAACTGTTCCCAGAATTTTAACCTTCTTTTTCATACATAACATGCCTCATTTCATAATCTGTAGTTTATGGTTATCCCGGGTCCTTTTCCCTTTTATAGATACAGACCTAGGATCTACGAAGCCCAAAAATGACTTCAATGCGCGTCAATGGTCAGTTTGCTTTTACTTGCCCCTCTTTTTCTAACTTTACTGTACCGTACATCAGGGTTTGAATCCATCGCGCGTATCCATGAGGTGTTGAAATAGGAAATTCCTTGCATAAATATATCTTGTTTGGTCATAGGTTCGGTGCGGAGTTAATATAATTTAAGAAAAATACGCGTGATTTGCAACACTTAATTTTGATCGTTAATACATTTTGAAACATAACAATGAACATTTCAACACACAACTAATCTCTGTAATAAGTCTCTGTAATAAGTCTATGTAATAAGTCTATGTAATAAGTCTATGCAATAAGTCGCTGTAGATAGACATTGAACTATTGGCGTTGATAGAATCCAAATAACGAGATACATAGAGATGCATGACATGTTTCTATATATCATTTGTTTAATATCCCCAGATCATATTAATCAGTTTACCAAATTCATAGTAAATTGTTTGCGCTTTGTTGCAGGCGTTCAACCGGACAACGTGATTATATGGACTTCCCCAAAGCCGTCACCCCTTCCGATGTCCCAGTGGAAATGAGTCAAAGCCGAAGAATAATTGGATATACCCCCATGATGAATAGGCCTGCTCCGATTGGCTACCTATAATCAGCGTGTGCGCCATGTGTGCGCCACGTGGGCGTTTGATGCACTGCGTTCGATCACATGCTAGTGGACCAATTGATACATTTCTTTTCAAACTTAAAATACTTGCCGATATATTATTCAATGACATTGTTTGCATCGTCTTTCTTTTTTCTTCTGTGGCTAATGTAAATAGTGTACACCCGTTAGAAACGGACCCATTGTGACGCACCTACGGGCGCCAATCCAGCCACTGACCACGGTCAATGTTACTGAACAAGTGAGCGCGTCCCAGGGTTATATTGCATCGCTAGAAAAGCTAGCTTACCAGTCCCCCTCCCCCTCCACTTATTGTTTGGCTGTTACATTATATAGGTTGTAGGGTTACATTCAGCTTACTTCGAAAAGGATATATTTGAATTAAAGTGTAAGCTGTTTTATCCTTGATTTCATATTTGTTGGACTTGATTTAGACAAGTGATGTTATTCAAACGCAATCGTTAAATGGAAAAAGACCAAAACGCATTCTAAGAACTCTGGACGTATATTGGTAAGGTAGACATGTAATCAGAGAGACACATTAGCTCAGATAGTATCTTAATACAGTTAGTCTCGGTAAATAGTTCGACTGCACAGTGGATTAATGATGGCTGTACTACAAACATCGACTGTACCAGTTCTTTTTATCTTCACACTAGCTTGTGAATGTCTTCACACTAGCTTGTGGAATGCGTTATATTCATATGCATCAGCAGTGAATAAACGCTTGTCCATTTGTATGTATGTATGAACAATACTGTGTTGAATAGATATACATCACATGACAGGAAATCAACCACGACACATGTAACAGTGAGAAAGCGTGGAGGCGAGGAACCATTAGTTTCAGTATGACGTTAATACTTATAAAGCATTAAATTTCGCTACATCATTATTATTTCTTGAGCATACACTTTTTATTCATAAAACATTCAACTTCAGTATATCATGTATATTTTCTTGGAAGTTAGTTATCGAGTGGTTGCTAATTTTCAAACCACAGTTGATTTATTACCATAGAAGATAAATATCAAACAGCGGAAAATACAGTAAAAAGCATCTTCACCCAGTAATATCGTAAAACACAGTAACCAACGAAAACAATGGCTTTAAAGTAAATAAGGCTGCTCCATTGTATTTTAGCAATGAAGGTTTAGGCAAATGTTGTTATGGTCCTATAAAACACATTCCTATTAAGCTATTGATGACAAACTTAATGAAGCCTTTATGTAAGTGTGTCAGCAATAGAAATGTGTGTTATAACAAAATTTGCTAAAAATATCAATTTTTATGTTTACATTTTGGGTATGCTTTATTTAGTTATTTCGAACAGTTTTTGAACCACAAATCAAGTGTTGACAACAATGAAATTGATGACGTTACAATAGCAAATGTTGTTATAGTCTCATAACAACATTTGCCTTCCAAATACATTACAATGGAAGGATGCAGAGCAAATGTAAATATAAACATGCAACATCTCATAGGATGGTTGTTTTCATATAATTAAATTGTACAATAATGAACATGCTTATCTGGGGTTTGTTTTATCGTACTTAAAGGATATGAAAATAGTTAACACTAACATTCTGAAATCTGAATAACGATCAAACGCGTGATGACAAAAGAAATGCCATTATGACTTATACATGAATTGTGGACAAAAACACAATCATCCAAAATAAGGTTTGGTATGAAAGTCATACTTTCCTCAGATTTGCGTCATTTAGTTGATGATCACTCAATTAAAGCACGTAACAAGAGTGACAACTCTTGAAAGAGATTAGTAAAAATAATTACCATACGATTACGACCACAATGAATCAATATGCAAGATGTAGTACTGCATTAAGTAAATGTACATCTAACATACCATCATACCTTGGGTATACTATACTCAAGGTAACACCAAATCATACCAAACATATTATCATTTTCACGAATGGTGATTACAGTTGGATAATAAATGTTTACATCATATTTTCAAGTTATTTGAGTTATCTGTTTTAAAAACATATTGTGAAACACAACAAAATGGGACAGATGCCTGTAACCCTGTAGGCTGTACAAATTGGCAATATTTCGCCAGTTGTATTTTTAACCTAGTATTTCATGTAAACCGTAGCAGAAAATCTGCAAGTAATATTACGAAAAAGGTTATACACTGTATATAGAAGATTTAATATATTCTAAATATATAGGTTGATGTGCATCTCGTGTATAATTGCCTTCAATCATTATGTGCGGAAGTAATGATTTTCTAAGAAAAGGCTTCAATCTACAGCATCGTGCCAAATGTATTCAGTATTTGCCGCATGAACTCTACACGCATTTCCATTCTTTTAGCATTGCAATTCCGAAGCGCCAATTATTGCGCCACAAATATGACACCCTAAACGTCAATTAACAATTTATCTTACAACATTTTCGGTGGAATGAATTGCAAGATATGGCGATTTATTCCCGGAAATGAAATGTCACTGTTATTGTTTTGTAAGGCAAAAACACGCGAAGAAAAATCAATTTCATGTGGATTACTTGTTATACCTCGCATACCAGTCAGCGCATATATATGAATTTAGATTGATTCTTTTCAGTAATTGACATTTTGTTTCAATAGCGCTAACATTAGATATTAGCCCCATGAAATTCAAATGAAAAAAAAAGAAATATAAATAAATTTAGGCATCATGCTGTTCATTGCGGAAATAGCTTGATTGCCACAATCATTGTGTGATTCAAAACATAGAATTTCAGTGTCTGCCATAATTAAACGTTTATTGTTCGTGTCTAAATAATAATACAAATAGTATAGGTCACTAAATTTAGATAGCTAAGAAACAGAAAACTAATCTTACATCGTGGTAAACACTAAAAGCATAATAAGAATTCGGATCATCATGACTTTAGACAGATGGCTGAGCATCACAATCAAGAAAACCATATCTACCAAAATAAATTTTAGTATATATATTTTCTTTTTCAGTTTGATGGATGTTATCTCATTATTTTTTTATTTGATGTATTTTTTTTCTTTTATATTTATAAATTTTAATGATAAAATTATTTTCAACCTTTTTGGAAACAAGTAAATAACGTCAATTATATATCCGACCTACATATAATGATTCTGCATGGGAAATTAAGAAAGACTGGCCAAATTAAAATACAAATTTGCCAAAAGGTTGCATTGGAATAATTGCTTTGCAAAGACATATTGAACTCTCAAAATGGCTTAAAAGGCTTCTAAAGTTGTTGAAGATTATCCATTTGTGTCATATTTTGAAAACTTCTACAATGCACGTACTGATTTCTGCAGTTCCGTTAACTCAGCGTTGTATGTTTTTATTTATTTTTTTATATATTTTTTCACGATCGAATTACTTTTTATGCTCTTTTTTGAAACATAACCAATGCAGATTAATGTGTTTTTACAATCAAATGTTTTTGTATAGAAATAAGTTACATTGTACATGTTTACTGTTTAGTCAAGTTCGTCCTTCATGCTGCTCGACTCTGCTTCTTCAGATATTTTAGCTATTAAACTCAACTTTCTGGTTCAATTTTACTTTGGAGTTCGACGATTAGAATCTAGAAAATCATGTTTCTCTTAGGAATACATGATTCGTGTTTCCTATCTGGGAAACAGCTACTGTATCATGAACTATGACGTCCGATGGAAGATGACATCACATGACATTGTTGCTTGACGTCATATTTAGAAGAATGACCAATGAAATCACCTCCATAGGTTACCCACTAGAGGGTACCTAAATATGTTTACCAACTCCTTGCAGGTTTATCCGATAAGCCGGGAGTGATGTTTACTATATAGTTGGTTGTAGAAGAAATATGTATAAGCCATTTGCCTTGCGCTTCCACATAGTTTTATGGGCATGAAATTTCTTCAAGTGTTATTTCATCAAGCATTTCAACAATCAGCAGGCGGGAACATTTTGATAAGGAGGAGTGCCGAGCTCCAAGTTTAGGTCAAATGGACATGTGGTTTTGACCTTAGCGTCAATCAATCAATGGAAAACAGTCCTGATATACCAGTAATAGGTCACTGAAACCTACAAATTGAACTAGTGGTTTTATGACACTACCGCAATCACAGAAACGTTTTCTATTGTACTATGTCATACTATGGTAATCGAACTCAGATATATTTCAAGCACTTATCCCAATAGAGGAAAGTTGTGCTTTAATATTTTTTTCTGTTGTGTATTATTCACGCAAAACTTTACACTACACAAATGGAGACATGTCTTTAAAATATGTAAACAGGACATCAAAACTGATGAAACTCAAACTTAACCAACCATGATTTTGTTGTAAACTCAATAAAAGATGGGTGTGATCAATCACAAAACTATAATGCAAAATTCAATTTTATTCTTCATATTTAATTGACATGATTAAAGAAAGGAAAGAGCATCGGTATACATATCAAGCATCTATGAGGAGTGTTACACCACCCATACAGAAAGCACTTATATCAGTCATAAAAATTAGCATTAACAACACGATCGGTATCAATCAATATCAACTGCCTTTAGCTTAATTAGCACACATTTATTCATATTTTAGGTTTATTATTATTTGATGGTTATCATTTTAATCCTGTAACATAAATAATGAACTATTTAAGTTTCGTTAAAATCATAATAGAAACGTCTATATGATAATACAAACATTTCGTTTATATAACATAAACATTTATCTAAATCATAATAGAAACATTAACAACCCATCTCTTTCATTTTTAAATGCTATTAATCCATTGACCCCTGAAGTCACATTGAGACTCTTCAATTAAATTACAAAGGTGACTATGTTAAATCTATTTTATCTTAAATATGTGTTATTTAGTGGATGAAAACTAACAAAAAAATTGGAATGGTCAGAACCCGAAAAAGAGCAGTGTACATGTCTATACATTTGTTACACTGTGAGGAATTATCCAATACACCACTATTCTATTATGCCACCTCTCATAGGAGGCTGTTCTATTACAGTGTTATCCAGGGAGATATATATATAGTACCTTCTCCTACTGGTTCCAGCACTTTACCTCTTCATAAAGCAAGGCATAGCTCTTCAGGAAATGATATCACTGAGGAATAGTGCCAGAAAGTAGGTAGTCGTTTATTCTGAATACGGCAGTTACTGACGTTTTGTGAATTGAAAATTTATTTTCCTAACTGAACCAAATCAGTTGTTATAAGATATTACATTGAATATATTATACAGGCAAGAATAAATATTGTCTTTCTTTTCTTAAAAAGGTGTTCCACTGCATATTGTAGGTGAGATATAGCATCTTGTATATAATTATCTCAAAGTATTTCTTGTTGTAATGAATTAAATACGTGCATGATGTGAGAACAATATATCGGGTGACCTATATTCTAAAATGAATCATTAAAAATATATTATAGCATTAATTTGTTTCAAATTGTACTGGCCGTGGCATTTACATATGTAGAAACAGGGTAAGTCTTCCTCGAAATAGGTGTTAGAATTTACCTTACCAAATACAGTACGAGAGGTATAAACACGGGTACGTGTAAATAGATATATAACACCGTTAAACTGCATAAATAGCCAGAATATTTAAAAAAATAAAAGTTTGACTAGGAGAAAAGCTACTAATAATAAAACAAAAGGTATTTGGTATTGGTGGTACATTTGTAATTGAGAACAGTTCAGACATTCTGTACTATATTTCCAATAATGCCAAAACTTGGTGAAAGTAATTCTTCTAAATAATTATAGAAAAGCTAGAAAGCAAGAGACGAAATGTAAATAACATAATATTTCCCCAATTATTTCCGACAAAAGTCATGCACGAGCCATGTAGTAAGTCACGCACGAGACATGTAGTAAGTCACGCACGAGACATGTAGCGAGTCACGCACGAGACATGTAGTAAGTCACGCACAAGACATGTAGTAAATCATGCACGAGACATGTAGTAAGTCACGCACGAGACATGTAGTAAGTCACGCACAAGACATGTAGTAAGTCACGCACGAGACATGTAGTAAGTCACGCACGAGACACGAACGAGACATGTAGCAAGTCACGCACGAGACATGTAGTAAGTCACGCACGAGACATGTAGTAAGTCACACACGAGACATGTAGTAAGTCACACACGAGACATGTAGTAAGTCACGCACGAGACATGTAGTAAGTCGCACACGAGACATGTAGTAAGTCACACACGAGACATGTAGTAAGTCACACACGAGACATGTAGTAAGTCAAGCACGAGACACGAACGAGACATGTAGCAAGTCACACACGAGACATGTAGTAAGTCACGCACGAGACACGCACGAGACATGTAGCAAGTCACGCACGAGACATGTAGTTCCTACATCAATCTGTTAGCTGTGATGATCTTGTTTTACCAACCTTTAATACACTAATGATTTAATTATGAAAGGAATTAATAATTGTATACCGGTAATGAAAATGAAAAGTAACATTCAAGATTTTGGAAATGGTGACTTTTAAATCATGAAAAGATCCTATCTTCACTGATGATTTGAAGCCAATTCAATAAATAATGTTCAGTTCATGCAGCTTTTATCTCATTAAACATACATAGATTTGTCTCTTTTAACAAGTCTATGTTATCCATAATTATTTTTTTTATTAGTTTGTCCATTTGGGATTCTCTTGAAATAAGCACGGCAACACATAAATATACTCAAGTTCATTTTACCATCTATATTTAAAATAGAATCGATGTTTTCAAAAATTTCAAATAAACAAAAAGAGTACTATTCTTGTAATAATCAGTGGCATACATTTTTATTTAATATGAAAAACGTAACCAAAACGGGAACCTTGCAAATCTACACTTAGAACTGTTTTAACATTAATTGGATACTGACACCTGTTTTTCCTTCTCTTCTCCAGACCGAAGAATTAGCAATTTCTTTTAACAAATCATGAAACAATAGATGAATCAAAAACAAAAATGTAAGCCCTATATTTAAATTTTTATTTCAAATAGTCTGGGTCCAGTTTTAAACTTAACATGGTAATCTTACTGGCAGCGTAATGCAGAATTTTAATTTTTAATAGAATTGAAATTCAAAACAAAAAATGTATGTACACTGTACTAGGAATATAAAAGATCATTTCCAATCACTTTTTTTTTAATTAGATATTTAAAATTTGCGCTAACGGCTGAAGTTAAGCTAATCAGTTCCAAACAACTCAATTCAGTTAACAATTTTAGAATAATCTGCAATGCCAGCCTCACAGCATGATATCTTACATGATTTTTCTCTCCTAAGTCATTGACGCTGAGATAAGGTGGGTTTATTGTGATACATGAGTTAATGAGTTACAGGATAAACCAAATTTCTAACTGGTGAAAAATAAATCATAATTTGTATCCAACTCGAGAGCCTATTTTCGAATGAAATTAAATATATTCACTAAAACTTGTAGAATACATTTGAGAATAAACTAACTTCATAAGGTATAAATCATAACCATGTGTCTGACATTGCAATCGATAATGTGCGATACATTGTTTCTTTCATTACAATCATGTACATATATGTTATATTGTATGTTTCTGACATCACAAAAATAAACTAGTGTGATACTGTGTTTCTTACATTGAAATCATACACAGGTGTATCACAGTGTGTTTCTTACATTGAAATCATACACAGGTGTATCATATTGTGTTCCTGACATATGAGTTCAGATACATGTATAATACAGTGTTTAATTCTGCCATTCAATTCACACACCTGGGCATTATAGTATGTGAATCTGACAAAACAATCAAGTGTCAGGTATTGCTTCCGATATTACACTTCTTGTGTTTCTGAAATTACTCTCATACACATGTGTAATATACCGTAAAAACCCATGTAATTTGTGCACCTGTGTAATTTGCGCAGGTACTTTTTGAGGCTGAAAATCGGTAATACGTTTCTGACAAAATAATTAAACACGTGTGTAAGACATTGTGTTTCTGACACTACGTACCTGTAATATCTTTTGTTTTTGACATTACAATCATACACAAGCTCAACGTATTGTTTCCGACACTTCAATCAATCATACTCAATCTGATTGAAATACAGATGTTAATTTAACACCCAAGGCATATCAATTCGTAGTGACCTCGTGTATAAAGAAGATTTGTATTTCAATCAGATCGTCGATTACTTACATTACGATCATAAACGTGCTTAGAGTATTATGGTACATTGTATAATTGATATAATCGTTATTCAAACTACATTGAACAGACTGAAAAAAGGTATACAAATGAAAAACGGATAAATTCACAATGCATGTGTGTCAGTACAAAATATTGCCTCCTGTTTTGATTGAACGTTTACAACCTTTACGCATTTTCAACAACATCAGATCGCTACATCACAGGACTGACGACTAAGTGTGTTATTCTATCATACTGTATTCCGTCTTTTCGTATTGCAGAGTTATCTGCTCTTGTGAGCAGGTATTGATTGTTACGTCATTAGTTTGTGTGAGAAAATTACGTTGTTTTCTTAAAAAATGATGATGTTTCTCTCACAAACAAATGACCTAACACTCAATACCTGCTATCAAGAGCACATAACTCTGCAATATGAAAAGACGGAATACATCCTTAATTTAGCACACTCAAATTTTAATTCATTATCAACTTTCACTTATTAGCACATTGATGACCTGATGCACCCAAAGTATATGTATTAGAAAACGATATACATACTTTAATTAGTGCAATCATAATTTAGTGTAATATTTAAAGCCAAAGACCACTAAAATAAGGATACCACTTAAAACATGTATATTTACAGTGCAATCGAATCTGCTCAAGCGACCATCTGTATTAAACGACCATCTGTTTTTTGCGACCACTTTTCATTCTACCCGACCGTTTTTACTATGTAATTTACCTGTATTAAGCTACCAGCGTCCACCCAAAACTGACCCCAAAATTACGTTAAACAACCACATTTGATAAATTTTAGCGACCATGTTTGACGAAAATATCCCAAACGGTCGTTGAAATAGTTGTGTATCTCCAAATTTGCGACTGCCACCACATTTGACGAAGGGCTAACTCAGTCTTTTTACCAAGTTCAATGAACAAATTTGAAATATAAATATTACATAAATGATGTGTCACCTTTACAACTGCTACGATAAAATTGGACAGTGTTTCATAATATTTTCAACTAATTGTGAATTAAATTTTGATCAAATAATTCCTTCAAGCATTTGTATCCTGCTATACAATTTTTCTTGTGTTGCATAAACATGTTTAAAATTCACTGTAAAATGAAGGATGATAACATAAATAAAATTGACATTTTTCAACTGATGAATGATGTTTTGTTTGACCAACAGAAAGTGAATTTGCTGGTGTAAATTATATGGTGGGGGTAGATGAGTCAATTAACCCTTTCACCACTGTAGACCATAATGGACTCATCTAGACCAATGCATGGTAGAGTCTACTAAAGTTACATAGGTGTAAACGGGTTATAACAAAATTGGTTATTGAGGGGACAATTAACACAACTTGAAATATAATGAAGTAATAATCTAAGTGTTGACAGGTTGCTCAAATGAAATGTGTGTATATCTAATGAACCATAAATGGTTTTTTTACCTACTCAAAGCTTGATGACCTATTTCAAGTACTTTGAGGTAAAAGTTTTGCATCCACTATTTTTTATACACCATAAGAGACAATGTCAGAACATACTTAATCACCCCTGAAGACACAATTCAACTCTTCCAATTCAAAGGTTGGAATAGTTCATCATGAAACTTAAGGGGTGAATGAGTCAACATCCCTGTCGTGGTATTTTAATGGCTACTGAAGGTTTTCAAGGTACTCCAATTTAAACAAAACAAAATATGAAATATACAAATACATCAACACATACAAATAAAGTCACTGCACCAAACACGGAGACGTTTAAGAATTATTTGAACAAAGCTCATTTTACAACATTTACACGTGTCACCCAAAATACTAGCTTATTCCTACTTGTGATCAGCTAGGTAGCTCATTCAGTAGAGTGTCAGACTGATAAACCAGAGGTGCTGGGTTTAAACCCTAACAGAGGCATTCAAATGTTAACGACCTCTGTTACACATTGTAATTATTTTAAAATTTCTTTTTCCTTTTTACTTGTTTTCATTTAACTTTTCTGACTACATTTTTTACTAACTTAGATGAAATTTAACAAAATGTAAGGAAAAATATGGATTTTTTTCTCAAATTACTTTACCTACTGCATTTTCAAAGAGAAGTAACTAATGATAAATACAACATATAGTTTGTAGACAACATTTGTTAAGGAAAATGAAAGATGCTAAAAAATACTGTGTGCATATTATTTGTTGTATTTTTGAATCAATGATTATTTTCCAAAGAATCTTCAAAGTATTTTCTGACATTTGGTAAAATATAGAAATTCTGGAAATAATCGTGAGCTTTGTTCAACAGTTCCTTTCCAGCCTCTGTAGCCCTCAGATAAATAAATATGGATATTTTGTATCAACAAATAAAATTTCACAGAAACACATCAATTTATCATTTTTTTCAAACTCTTTTCTTTCTCGTTCATTATCTCCTTTCTTTCTCTCCCCCTCTCATCCCTTTTTACAATATAGAAATATTTTCTAAAATTTTGTCATTCACTTTGGATAAGGCTTGCCCTGAACACAATTTCAAATTTGATCTCCATAGCTGGATAGACTTACTTTATCTCTACATAAACAGTCAAGACAACAGTTCTTCTCATGAAAAGACAGACTGTCTGATTATTACACACATATTCAAAGAAATACCCCAGTTGTTCAAAGTCTGGTTAGCTTCATGATAATGAAATGCAAAATAAAACCATTGAGTATACTTTAATAAACATTGAAATTCAAAACTAAACAGAATCTTCAGATTCAAAATGCTCACAAACAAAAACTGTTAAGAAACTCGCACAAATGTTGGTAAATTTTTATATATTAAATTTTCAAAAATTAAATTTTAAATTTTTGATGCATACATTAGTGCTTACCAAACATTGAGCAGCTGGGCGCTGACTTATACATGTAACAACTCAACACAGAATATGGTCTACATCATTGACCAAATGTTTTGCAATTAGCCCGGATTTACTCGATTATAAAAACAATTTGAATAACTTGTCATATCTGAAAACCTAATAAACACAAATGTATGAAAACATTTGAAGGTAAATTTTCAGAAGCATATCTTTAAGTATGCAAAATTGTGTTTTCATTGATTTATAATTACCCTCAGGGAAATCCAACGAAGAAAACAGTTAAAATGCAAAGAATTTAAAGTTGAGCCAATCACAAATGTACTGATTGACACGCATGCTAAGTTACTTCCCTTTAGACAGGATTTTGATACTGTACATTGTTGTAATGCTTTGTTCTTTCCCTCATATTCCTCTCTCTCTCTCTCTCATTCCCTCATATTCCTCTCTCTCTCTCTTTCCCTCATATTCCTCTCTCTCTCCCTCATATTCCTCTCTCTCTCTCTCAATATTTTTAATGGAATAATTCATTCACATGTTCGTAAAACAACACATTCTTCCTATCTCACATGGCTTTTGTTCATCAAATTACAGTACAATATGCATAGTATGAGAGCAAATCTTGTGAAGTGTTGTTTATAATGGAATAGTATTTCAGTCTTCTGGCAAGAATTTGTTCTTGAGTATCAAACTCTATAACATAAGATTATGCCTGCACCAAACTAATTCCTTAGGTCCCCTTGGGTTTATTACACCCATGTTTTTACTGTAATGATCTTATTTCCAAGATCCACTGGGGTTCTTCTCTCGATAACACCAAGGAGTTGAGAACTAATTTCCTTAGTCCCCTGAGGTTTGTTATACACGTGTTTTACTGCAATACACTAATTCCATTGGTCACCAGATGGTTGTTATAAGCATTTTTCCTGCAACACATATGATATTCTTTCTCCCTTATTTTGTTGCTCCTCGCACTCATTCAGACTGGCATACTGGAATCAACGTTGATGAGTCCCTCCTGGGATGGACTTCGGTATCTAATTGGCACCTAGAAAAACACAAACCTCATTCTCATCAATGACAGACAGAAGGAATACACAGGCAACATTTCTTGATGTCAATTTGGTCTTATTTCACCGGAAAATATCATCATGATAGCAAAAATAGACCTGAATTCGACCAGAAATTGACCTGAAATAAAACAAGAGGCCCATGGGCCTAAACGGTCACCTAGCTGAGTCCTACAGTATTTATTTTTGTTGTTTAAATATGTACCAATTTGAGTACAAAATAGTTAAGTATAACGTTAACTTAAGTTTGTCAGGACCATCAGCTGATCATTTCTAGACCGAGTTTCAGTTAAATTGGCCTATTAGAACTTGCTTTTAAGTTTGAAATACTTTTTCCATAATGGCGGCCATATTGAATTTCTGATCGACCCGAAAAATAACAACACTTTGTCAGGACCATGAGTCGATCATTCATACAAAGTTTCAGTTCAATCAGCCCAGCAGAACTTGACTTTAAGTTTGAAATAGTTTTTCAAAATGGCGGGCATGGCGGCCATATTGGATTTCTGATCGACCCGAAAAATAACAACACTTGGTCAGGGTGATGTCAGTAACCTTCCCATGAAATATCAATGAAATCCTTTTGTCAGTATTTCAGCTTAAGTTGAAAATGTAAAATGTTAACAGACAGTGGACGACGGACGACGACGGACGAAGACGGATAGCAATAGGTCACTTGAGCTAAAGCTCAGGTGACCTAAAAAAAATCCTCTTTTCAGGTCAAATTGACATTAAGAAATGTTGCCTATGTAGCTAATTTAACTTGTAATAGACACATACATGGCACCAGTCCTCAGGAGGGAGACCATGGATATAAATTTTGCCTATTTAATGTTCAGTTTACGAGTAGGATGTGATAATCCTTAATACACAAAATTTCACATGTGTATTAAGTATCAGCAGGACAGGATCCTGTATGAACATTTAACTCTGACAGTCCTTCATATACATGTACTGAACTTCTGATTTACTTAGCATTGTTTGAGATTATACATGTACTGAACTTCTGATTTACTTAGCATTGTTTGAGAGTATACATGTTCAGTACTTCTGATTTACTTAGCATTGTTTGAGATTATTCATGTACTGAACTTCTGATTTACTTAGCATTGTTTGGGATTATACATGTACTGAACTTCTGATTAACTTAGCATTGTTTGAGAGTATACATGTTCTGAACTTCTGATTTACTTAGCGTTGTTTGAGAGTATACATGTATTGAACTTCCGATTTACTTAGCATTGTTTGAGATTATACATGTACTGAACTTCTGATTAACTTTAAGCATTGTTTGAGATTATACATGTACTGAACTTCTGATTTACTTTGTTTGGGATAATACATGTACTGAACTTCTGATTTACTTAGCATTGTTTGAGAGTATACATGTTCTGAACTTCTGATTAACTTAGCATTGTATTAGATTATACATGTTCTGAACTTCTGATTTACTTAGCATTGTATTAGATTATACATGTTCTGAACTTCTGATTTACTTAGCATTGTTTGAGATTATACATGTTCTGAACTTCTGATTAACTTTAAGCATTGTTTGAGATTATACATGTACTGAACTTCTGATTAACTTAGCATTGTTTGAGATTATACATGTACTAAACTTCTGATTTACTTAGCATTGTTTGATATTATACATGTACTGAACTTCTGATTTACTTTGTTTGAGAGTATACATGTACTGAACTTCTGGTTTACTTGGCATTGTTTGAGATTATACATGTACTGAACTTCTGATTAACTTAGCATTGTTTGAGAGTATACATGTACTGAAAGATTATACATGTACTGAACTTCTGATTTACTAAGGATTGTTTGAGATTAAACATGTTCTGAACTTCTGATTTACTTAGGATTGTTTGAGATTAAACATGGTCTGAACTTCTGATTAACTTAGCATTGTTTGGGATAATACATGTACTGAACTTCTGATTTACTTTGTTTGAGAGGATACATGTACTGAACTTCTGGTTTACTTGGCATTGTTTGAGATTATACATGTACTGCCCTTCTGATTTACTTAGCATTGTTTGAGAGTGTACATGTACTGAACTTCTGATTTACATAGCATTCTTTGAGATAATACATGTTCTGAAGTCTGATTTACTTAGCATTGTTTGAGATTATAAATGTACTGAACTTCTGATTTACTTATCATTGTTTGAGATTATACATGTACTGCCCTTCTGATTTACTTAGCATTGTTTGGGATTATACATGTTCTCAACTTCTGATTTACTTGGCATTGTTTGGGATTATACATGTTCTCAACTTCTGATTTACTTGGCATTGTTTGGGATTATACATGTTCTCAACTTCTGATTTACTTGGCATTGTTTGGGATTATACATGTTCTGAACTTCTGATTACCTTAGCATTGTTTGAGATTATACATGTACGAGAGTATACATGTACTGAACTTCTGGTTTACTTGGCATTGTTTGAGATTATGCATGTACTGAACTTCTGATTTACTTTGTTTGAGAGGATACATGTACTGAACTTCTGGTTTACTTGGCATTGTTTGAGATTATGCATGTACTGAACTTCTGATTTACTTTGTTTGGGATAATACATGTACTGAACTTCTGATTTACATAGCATTCTTTGAGATAATACATGTTCTGAAGTCTGATTTACTTAGCATTGTTTGAGATAATACATGTTCTGAAGTCTGATTTACTTAGCATTGTTTGAGACTATACATGTTCTGAACTTCTGATTTACTTAGGATTGTTTGAGATTAAACATGTTCTGAACTTCTGATTTACTTAGGATTGTTTGAGATTAAACATGTTCTGAACTTCTGATTTACTTAGGATTGTTTGAGATTAAACATGTTCTGAACTTCTGATTTACTTGGCATTGTTTGAGAGTGTACATGTACTGAACTTCTGATTTACATAGCATTCTTTGAGATAATACATGTTCTGAAGTCTGATTTACTTAGCATTGTTTGAGAGTATACATGTTCTGAACTTCTGATTTACTTAGGATTGTTTGAGATTAAACATGTTCTGAACTTCTGATTAACTTTAAGCATTGTTTGGGATTATACATGTTCTGAACTTCTGATTACCTTAGCATTGTTTGAGATTATACATGTTCCGAACTTCTGATTTACTTAGCATTGTTTGAGATAATACATGTTCTGAAGTCTGATTTACTTAGCATTGTTTGAGAGTGTACATGTACTGAACTTCTGATTTACTTTGTTTGAGAGGATACATGTACTGAACTTCTGGTTTACTTGGCATTGTTTGAGATTATGCATGTACTGAACTTCTGATTAACTTAGCATTGTTTGAGATTATACATGTGCTGAACTTCTGATTTACTTTAAGCATTGTTTGAGAGTATACATGTATTGAACTTCTGATTTACTAAGGATTGTTTGAGATTAAACATGTTCTGAACTTCTGATTTACTTGGCATTGTTTGAGATTATGCATGTACTGAACTTCTGATTTACTTTGTTTGAGAGTATACATGTACTGAACTTCTGATTTACTTGGCATTGTTTGGGATTATACATGTTCTCAACTTCTGATTTACTTGGCATTGTTTGAGATTATACATGTACTGACCTTCTGATTTACTTAGCATTGTTTGAGATTATAAATGTACTGAACTTCTGATTTACTTATCATTGTTTGAGATTATACATGTACTGCCCTTCTGATTTACTTAGCATTGTTTGATATTATACATGTACTGAACTTCTGATTAACTTAGCATTGTATTAGATTATACATGTTCTGAACTTCTGATTAACTTTAAGCATTGTTTGAGATTATACATGTTCCGAACTTCTGATTTACTTAGCATTGTTTGCGAGTATACATGTATTGAACTTCTGATTTACTTAGCATTGTATTAGATTATACATGTTCTGAACTTCTGATGTACTTGGCATTGTTTGAGATAATACATGTTCTGAAGTCTGATTTACTTAGCATTGTTTGAGACTATACATGTTCTGAACTTCTGATTTACTTGGCATTGTTTGAGATTATACATGTACTGACCTTCTGATTTACTTAGCATTGTTTGCGAGTATACATGTATTGAACTTCTGATTTACTAAGGATTGTTTGAGATTAAACATGTTCTGAACTTCTGATTTACTTGGCATTGTTTGAGATTATACATGTACGAGAGTATACATGTACTGAACTTCTGGTTTACTTGGCATTGTTTGAGATTATGCATGTACTGAACTTCTGATTTACTTTGTTTGAGAGGATACATGTACTGAACTTCTGGTTTACTTGGCATTGTTTGAGATTATGCATGTACTGAACTTCTGATTTACTTATCATTGTTTGAGATTATACATGTACTGAACTTCTGATTCACTTAGCATTGTTTGAGATTATACATGTGCTGAACTTCTGATTTACTTTAAGCATTGTTTGAGATTATACATGTACTGACCTTCTGATTTACTTAGCATTGTTTGATATTATACATGTACTGAACTTCTGATTCACTTAGCATTGTTTGAGATTATACATGTGCTGAACTTCTGATTTACTTTAAGCATTGTTTGGGATTATACATGTTCTGAACTTCTGATTACCTTAGCATTGTTTGAGAGTATACATGTTCTGAACTTCTGATTTACTTTAAGCATTGTTTGAGATTATACATGTTCCGAACTTCTGATTTACTTAGCATTGTTTGAGATTATAAATGTACTGAACTTCTGATTTACTTATCATTGTTTGAGATTATACATGTACTGAACTTCTGATTTACTTAGCATTTTCCAATCACTTTATATTGCTTCTTATTGTTATCTTGGTTACTGAGAAATATGTAACAAAATAAAATGACTGTCTTAATTAATTAATATACTACATTTGATATAGCGCCCTATCTAGCTAACATAAGCCAATAGCTCTAAAGCGCTTTACAGTACGTACATAGATATACAATTTTATCCAGTCAATACAATTAGCATATATATTAATCAATACGATATTGAGGAATTAGCAGGAGCTGCCTTATCAGGCACTAACTACTAGTCCTATGCCACCTGGCTAATATCTCCCTATGTGTGTGTATAAAGTATATAACCAGTACATTAACTTTTATCAGTGGAAGGCTCCTTACATTTTTTGTATTTTCTATGATTTAACTAGAAGTCATGGACAATGATTTGATATCAATTCAATAGTGATTTTATAAAGAAACTACCTCAATACCAGTAAATGTTGAGCAAGATATAATGGACAACTTTTAAATGTAAATAGCAAAGTTAGAGATATTCCGTACTCTGTATTTTGATATTTGAGTCAAAATAGTGAATTTTATTCATAATAATTCATGATCAAGTACATGCCTTTATACGAAAGTCCGTAGATTCAATCACAACAGACAAAAGGGCATGTAGTTCTTGTAATTTAATAGCAGGGTCAATCAAAGATTTTTAAAAGATTTATTATCAAATGTTTATAAGGAAAATATAAAGATATCAGTGCTAGGGTAAGTTTTTTTATTTAAAAGTTGCAAAGAAATTGAGATGCAAAATGAAAAGTTTTTCTCCTGAGGCATATAATAAGGTAACAGGCTTGCATTGGTTTATTATATCATGTGATTTGTATGTGTTTAACATGCATTTGATGGAAGCATTTTCATTGGTCATAATAAACATGTCAAGATATTTATTGAGAATCATATGACCACAGAAAAATGCAATGCCCTGGCCCTGAAAACCTTACAACATCAAAATGTATTTTTCAGTGACATATTGATTTTCGGATTTTTTTTCTACGAATTGGAAACTGGAGTTGTTGTTTATTTAAGCATTGAACGGTTCTAAATCGTACTTATTTGTCCGATATTCTGTTCACTATAGGACTAAATAATCGCTGTATGGTACATACATTTTTGGATTATAACATTAACTGAATTCAGTTTAATCTTTAAATTATCCAAACTCAGCACATCCATGTTAAACTTATGAAACATAGAGATGTATACTTAATTACCTAATAACTGTAACAAAATGCATCAACATCTATACCATGAACTATATAAGAGATTAAAGCTGTAGCAGTGATAGGGGAAATCAATAAGAGCAGCGGAAACAGCTTGTAAATATGATTTTCTTTTTAATCTGTTCAATGTGTATATTGTATATTTATCTGTCAATAAGCCCATGCCTGGTAACTAGCATACTCCTATCTATTGCAATTCAACAGAAATGCCACTTAATTGTCCATTAAATAATAAGCTCATCCTGTACGTTGAGGTAAGAGATTGTGTGTTGGCCCCTGGGCTTATTGCAGGATATATATATATGTGGTATATAATCCAAGTGCATGAATTTTGCACTGTGTCCATTTCAATAACACAGAAATGCTGTATATCAAGCATTTCAATTCGGCTCTAATTATAAATTGTATACTTGAAAATCTGCATGAAAAACACTGAATAGGTTTATAGGATGTGTTAAAATGATAAATATATATAATACCCAGAGAAATCGACATGTACTAGCTGTATGTAAAAGACTGTAAAGTTCAGGCCAAATAAAACTAATTGTCAGATTTTATGTTTCATATTTTCTTTACTTTTAAACAGCATTTTCTTTTTTTAATATCATTTTTAACGAGCATTTTCAGAGTTAAACTGCTGTTTAATACAAAATTACTTTAAAAAAAATACATTTGAAAATACAAACATAGATTGATAAAACAGTATTTATTTGCGGTGAGTAGCTTAAAACACAACTTTATTTTTGTTTGGCCAGAAGGCGCGTATGAGATGTTGTGCTGAAGGATTGACTCGCAGTCTCTGATTAATTAAGCTTTAAGCAAAGCATGTGGTCCGTTAAAAAGCACCCTGACAGGACTTATAAAAACTAAAACCTTTACCAGAAGGCCAAAGTAGACTTTCTGAATCTGAACTCCCATCATATCTCTGCAAAGAAAATTTAATTAAACAATTTCCAGTAAATGCTTATCCTACAGAGTCCCAAAAGAATTATAGATTTGATTCCAAAATAATTGTATACAAATAATTTGTCAAACTTTGCCTCAATGATAATGATACACTAGTGAGATATCCCAATGGTTTAATCTGGGTGAGGCTTAAGCTTTAGGATCCCTAAATGGTCAGTCTAATTCATTTGAGATGAAACATGACATCTTATTGGTCAATTAAAACAATTTGACAACCACGATATACCATCCGCACATTTTTCATTTGCATATGAAGTCCGGATGGCGATAGTAAATGACATCAATGACCCCAACACGTCATGAAATTGATTACACAAGACAACACAAACAATAGCGTGACCCGGAAAGGTCTATGTAATTCTGCCTCATTTTGAATAATCCTGGCATCACCAATTCACAGCAGAATGACCGGGAATTTGAAGAAAACACTCAACAAGAAACCGCCAATGGCGATATGGCCGGATTGCTACAGTACATTTTCATATAAAGCATCACATGCGATAAGCATCCTTTAAGATACATAAGCCACTTAAGTTTAGTTGATGTACAACAAGGAGTTACATTGTACTTAGTAACTGACCTTAACCATTCTTCTATAACCTGGTTACTGAAGTTGAAAATGTGGGTCAGAACCAGCATCCGAAGCATCACATATGATAAGCATCCTTAGATACATCAGCCATGCAAGTTTAGTTGATGTACAACAAGTAGTTACTTATATATAATTAGTAACTGACTTTAACCAGTTCTTAACCTGTTCAGTGAAGTGGAAAATTTAGGTTACAACCAGCATCCGAAGCAACGCATGTGATAAGCATCATCAGATACATAAGCTTTGCAAGTATAGTTGATGTAGGACAAGTAGTTTCTTAGTAACTGACCTTAACCAGCTAGCTCTTAACCTGGTCACTAAAGCGGAAAAATTTAGGTCACAACCCTAGTGCAGATGGGGCCTGACCTCAACCAATCTTTTTAACCTAGTCAGTCAAGCGGAAAATGTAAGTCAGAAGCAGCATCCGAAGCATTGCATGTGATTAGCATCCTTAGATACATAAGCCATGCAAGTTTAGTTGATGTGGGACAAGACGGACGAACAAACAGACAGACAGACTGACAGACCAATCAATAAGCCCTGATTACGTTGCAATCCGGCCAAAAATGTCTTAAAATTACTGTTTCTTTTGGTGGTTTTGGCTTATATGAATGAGAATGGGTATAACCCTACTATATTTTGAAACTTGCGGTGGTATATCGTGATCATACTGTCACAAATATTCGATTAATGGCTCTGTTCAGCGACGCCAGTAAAACGCAATTCTCTATTTCAAATAACTCAAACAATTGTTAAGCACTACAACTAAATGTGAGCACAAAATAACAGCCTCTTTTCATACTCTTGCTATCTTGTTTTATAAACATTTTAATTTTACATATACATATAAAGTATTAATTTAAACTTTTCCATCACTAAACAATATTTTCCCCAACCATGCTCCAAAGAAGATTATGTCAAAATATTATACAACTACATTTATATTGCAGTTGTCTGAATGACAGAAAAACAGATTAGTGGCCAGACAAGCTGTAGCTGATGGTTATAGATTCATAAAATTATTCTCCATTAGATCTATAAGCATTAGCCTGCAATTAAGAGAATCTCAAAACGCTTTCAATTTAGAAAATGTATTTAAACAATTTAATAGCTTTACTCAAACCGAACAAATTGCCATGTAGCTGCCAAAGCTTATAGCTACGTACACTTGGTGAATAATATCAACGTGAATATTCGACAGTGATGACACACAAGCACATATATACAACACATTGTACAACGGGAAATTCCAAACTTCTGCAGCTAAGTCTTTTTTGTCCAGTGTTAAATTTGCCCTTCACCTTTAATAACTACGTTTATTATTTTGTTGACAAATGTTTGCTGTAATGATGAATTTGCAGTCATTACGAAGAGCGAGAAAAGGCGAAAAAAAAAACAGCAGTAAAGATTTCTGGGTTTACTGAATACTCTAAATGTACATTTTTTAGCAGTTATCTTATTTCAGCAGTTATCATGCTTTCAATTTTTCCCTACGTTATAATCATGCTGAATGAAGTCTGTGTATGATGTTTCGTTTTATGTCTATATTTAGAGTTCATCAATTCATCAATTCACTGAACTGTTTAACTTTTTGTGCTAAAATTTGTGTACACTACAATATGTTTTTTACGTTATGTATCCTAAATTAGCGTTGGTACCTACCTGACCTAGACTGAAACATTTGTTGAACACATATATAGACACTTACCTCGGCTAGACTTGGACACAAACACAACATCCAGCGTCGACATAACTGGAAGTTTCCAATAAAGACACTTACCTCGGCTAGACTTGGACACAAACACAACATCCAGCGTCGACATAACTGGAAGTTTCCAAAGAACACAGTCTCGTAGTACTGAATGAAGGCAGCTATACAGAAAAGGAAGCCGAGTATGGTGCTGATGGTGACGAATATGTGAATCTCGTATAAACTACTGTCCTCCTACAAGTACACAAGGGAATACTCAACATATGTTACAGTATTCCGTCTTTGCGTATTGCAGAGTTATCTTCTCTTGTGAGCAGGTATTGATTGTTACGTCATTGGTTTGTGTGAGAAAATTATATCGTTTTCTCAAAAATTGATGACGTTACTCTCAAAAACCAATGACAGAACAATCAAAACCTGCTCACAAGAGAAGATAACTCTGCAATATGCAAAGACGGATTACCGTATAGCAGGACATCTGCAGGGATGATATTTACCCATTTTTCTGTATATGGTGTCATAAAGCCATTTCATTTAACTATTTGACAATTTATATGCCGAGTGTTCCGTCTCTGTGCTTAAACACAGCGAAAAGTTAGTTCCTTCAGATGTCCAGATCGCGAAATAATAATCTGTGTAATAATAATAATAATTTGAGGTTCTTATATACCGCTTTATCACGACTTAGTTCGCAGGTCGTCTCAAAGCGGTTCACAAATTATTATCCATGGTTATAGGGCCTTTGTAACCAGCCAATATCTTTCTCAACTCCCTGGGGAGAATACAGCCGGTGCTACCATTTCGACGCTCACAGCTAGATTCAACAATTCTAGCACTGCCCAATGCAACCACGTTTTCATTTACAGCTGAGTAGACTTGAACAAGAGGAATAAAGTATCTTGCTCAAAGATACAACTCAGTGTCGTGCTGTGACTCAAACCCGCAACTCTTCAGTCAGGAGCCCGGCGTCCTAACATTAGATTACCGTGCTTCCACTACCGTGTAAATCTATTTTCTAAGTTTTGGGTCAAAATTTAAGCCTGCATACAATATATACTTGCTATACAGTATTAGTACTTCTTATCATGAGCGATAAATATAATCTATAACTCTTGTGTGGTGTAGACAGAGAAATCTCAATCAAAGGGTAAGATTTTTGAAGTTAAGCGTGAGACTTTGCCACGATATTACAGGTTACTTGTGACTAGTCAACTTGTCAATGAGTAACTCTGAGTGCAATTTTGTTTTGTAGATACTGACCTTGTACTGGTCGTGTTTGGTCCAGTCGAGGGCGTAGCCGAGGATAAGGACCACCATAATAACCATATATAGCACTAACGTGAACAATGTTAAGTTGAAAAACTTCCTTACCTGTACAAAGGTAAAAATGTCAAACATTTATTTAAAAACATTTAGTTCTCATTTTTTTAAATGGCAAATGTTTCTCACTTGTTTGAAGTAGAATGAAACTTAATCTGTATCTGCAAAATCTGGTAAAATGCGAAGCTTCCAAATGCAGCTTCTGCATTTTTTTAAATTTTTTTATTCAATTGTTTTGATGTCATAATTCATTTAACCTAATAAATATAGCTACAGTACTACTTCACTACAACTAAAGGCGACTGAACACATTGAGTAACATATATACAGTATACACTCTTACTATAAGACCAACATACAAATATAAAACATTGTTTCATTTCTTTACATCTTATAGATCCTATATATTGATTGACATGTTTTGTTTCTATCACCAATTAAATATTAACATTTATTAATCTTTCAATGAAATTCCATTTTCGGAGTATCATATTCTGTTTTTATGCTGCAAATATTTTTTAATTATGAACAATTCATCATCACTATACATTAAGTTTCAACACAGTTCCAAACCTGATATACAGTTGTACATGCAACACCATGGTAACGTAATTGTACCAGAATACTTACTGAGGTGGGCCGTCGACTGATGGAAGCTCTGATGCCAGTACTACCAGTTAATATCATCTGAAATAAAACCACGACATCTGCTGATATTAACAAACCAATCGGCCGATTCTTTTTTATGAATTATTAGTGCTTGCCATTACCACGGAATTAGATGTTATCTAAGTCTGTGCCATTACTAAGTTAATTTGTCAAATAAGGGTTACTATACTACATATACCAGGTACCATCCTCAATACTCCAGGGGTTCGCTCTCTTTTACTCTCTGCACTCCTGGAATATGTCATAACAAATCCAAAGGCTCAGTGTACATGTGCGACCCCTTGTGGATGAGACGATCACCAATGGAAGGGAAGTAACTCTCTAACAAAACTTGGATAAACAGAACCCTGGCTAGACCATATTTATTTTTATAAGAGGGATGGATAAACTGGGGAATGATGAATGCTTATTTTTCTCTAAAGAATTGTTTAGGGCTTTTCCATAATCAATGGTATGGGGGAGGTGGATATCATAGGTGGTGTATGTGTCTCCGAAAAAGCGTCCCTACTCCTCCGATATGGTTGTTTCCGGAACAGCCCTTACAACTTGACTAACTGTAGCTTAGTTACCTAAATGCGTACTTTGTACCCTGGTAGCTCATTTTTAAATTAACAGGTGGACATTCTAGAGCGTAATCACTCGAGCCTTCATTTGCAATTTGGTTGGTCTCTAGTCTGAATTGCAGATTTGATTATACTCACAAAAAATCCTGCCAGTACTCCTGCTCCATAGCAGTTGTCCTTGCCTAGATGGAGGTGTACTGCATCATCAGGATGCTCTACCAGAGGGATAACAAAAATCTCCAGGGTACCTGTATATCACAGAAAAGGGTTTATGTAAATGTTTAGGGTTGGAACATAACTCCAGGGTACCTGTATATCACAGAAAAGTGGTTATGTCAATGTTTAGGGTTGGAACATAACTCCAGGGTACCTGTATATCACAGAAAAGTGGTTATGTCAATGTTTAGGGTTGGAACATAAAAGTAAGGAAAGCGTAAATATAAATAAGAGGATAAAATAGCTTTGCTATCTATTATTATGAAGTTTGAATATTTCTTTTTACATATTTAGTGAAAATTTATTTGCCAAGTTCTACAGCGGAATAGTTTTGTTTGGTTTACAGGCAAATACAAATGTGTTTTCTTTTCCCAAAAAAATGAAATAAGGAAAATCTACTCAATCTCAATAAAAATATTTCTATAATTTCCAAATTTGTGTAGGAACAGGCTACTGTAAAATTAAGGAAGAAAAAACACTGATATTACAAATTGTAGTTTTATTTTTACAAAACGTTTTTACAAAGCAATTATCTTTAATTTAAACATATTTTTCTTCAAAATAGAAATATCTATGAAAGCATAAATAGGTACTGTTTTAAAAAAGGAATCAATATCATAGAGATTGTCCTCATTTGATTTATCAATTTCAACTTTCCATGATTTGGTGAAAAACTGACAGCACTAAATGTACAGCATATCATGAGTGTTGTAAAAATCTTAACTAATTTTTTCATACGTAATGTTGATATCTTATACTAACCTATTGAAAATTTCATAGACCAGAATCTGACCAAAACATTTTTTTTCTGAACATTCAGCGCTTGAAATTTAGAAAATATGTTAAATGATTATAGAAAAGTCGTTTTCCGACCATTTTTCTCTCTTTTATATCTGTCATTGAATCAATAAGGTCTGTGATTTAAATGATTCCAAAGGACATAGTGTTTACTATGGTGACTGACTCAATTTTTTTTTTTTAAGTTGGAACACTGAAAACTTAAAACTTATTAATTTCATCATTTTTTAAATACATGTAAAAGCCCTTTATTGATACAATTTGGACCAGAACCAATGCCTGATACTGCAGCCAGTGGCCCAAAAATAGGAACATTTTGTAATATTAATATAACTTGTTAAACACTAAATAAAAACTATTATTTTGCAAAGACATTGTATTTTCATTAATATTCATGTTTCTTTTAATACTGTTGGCTGTATATATATAGTTTTGTCAGAAAAATAAAGCTATCTTAAAATTTCTTATTATTTATAGAAGTTACATGGAAAGTTTTCTGAAAGAAAAAAATATATTGTCTACCATAAAACATTATTAACTTTATTTTTTTTTTTTTGGAAATGAAAACATACCAGGAAAGTGATTTCCCATTATAATTTTCGGTGTTGCCCAAAATTTTAAACTCAGAAAAAGACATATTTTTGCACTTATCTAAAACTAATAAATTACAATTATCATGTCGGTTTTCATTTGTACTACTTTCTGCCACCAAAATATATGCCAAGCGGAGCGAGGCGAAAAATGTTTTCTGCAGATGTAATACTAAACTATTTCGAGCACTGCCGAGCGTAGAAAGTATTTAATGAAAATGAACCACACTATTCCTAATACTCAAACAATTGGTAAATCCTCATCCCCTCCTAAAAAGAATTTTACCCAGAATAGCTGTGATGAAACCATTACACAGCTGAACCACTCCTATCATGGTCGGCCATGTGTGAAGCTGTGGTTCTCTGGACCGACTAGAGTCAGAATTCAAGGAAACCTCGTCCAGCTCCCCATCGTCATCATCATCTTCCAGTGTCTCAATCAAGTCAGAGTTTACTGATGCTGCGAGATTGTTTCTTACCATGACTGCTCAATTCAATGAGACGGGGTACCAGGGCTTTCTGCGAACATGTTAAATGTAAAACATAATCAACAGATAAATATAAAAGTGCTTTTACATCAGATATTACTGCATTTTATTACAGAGGTGCCATGTATATATATATACTACAGATTATTGAAAGAAGGCTTACTAGCTTTGTCAAGGAAAACAGAATCAGATTACTAGGTCGAATAACTCTGGTTCAACCGTTTGGATCGCGATTAATGAAAGCGGCCCAATATAGCCTGGAATCAACAGACCAACATTGGTAAGTACAGTACGTACGGCCAGCTGACTATTGAAATAACGTTCCGCTAGTAACTATACCAACGAATTAAATTGATTTTGATATAAAATAGGACACATCTTAGAGCAAATTAGAATACTTGTGACAAGGTTAACTTCCATATCAATGTAAGCATGAATCGGAACATTTCTAACCTTCAAAAACCATCAAAATATCCGAAGAAACTCTCTGAAGTGAAAGATTTGTCAGCAGTCACATGCGTTTCCTGTTTTCATTTTTTGAACGAGGTTGACATTCTCACTTCCGCTTCCGGTGGCAATGTGCTTGTATTTCTTTTTGTTATCAGCTTACAAGGAAACATTAACACTGTCTTATTTGTTGTTGTTTTTTGGTAAAATTGAAGCGTTATGTATACATTTAAACAAGTGATCTATTTCAGAATCGTTCATTTACAAGTAATTGACGAAAAGTACCTTTTTGTTTTTGAGAACTCCCCGACTTCCGGCGTCGATGGTAACCCAAGAGACAATATTATTTATGTTCCGGTTTGAAGTTTCGTCTGTATGAAATTCTGTGCGTGTGCAGGGAACCGTGTACTGTGTTGCCACTTCATGCCAAAACAGTGATTAACTTGCATTGGATGAGTAAGTATAATTATGAAAGATATAAATTGTTCTGTAGAAACGCAAACCTGACAAATATATGGATATCAAAACCAAACATTTGATATAACAGCTGTAGGATTAGCAAGTGCCCTCTATCACCTGCTGATCGTCACTTCAGATTTACGTATAAACGAATGAGTATATGATATACAGATGATGTATATTCTGTTGTGTTCGCTAAGTGTTTGTTGGATTTACGGATTTTAAGATACTATACCTTTACTATATCTCTGAACTTCGATGTGTAAGTTTTTGGCAGTTTATTGTTTACCCAAAACTACATGATCAATATTAGGGCTTAAGTACTTAGCCTGCATGTACAATTGTACAGTGATAGAGGTGCTGTCTGTAATATGTCACACTTCTATTTGTAATTTTGTAATGAAGTACAGTGAGGGAAGAGGATGGATATATGCTTCATTAACACTAAAATTAGAAGGAAAAGAAAAAAGAAATTAAAAAAACCCACCTTTGACTTTAATCATCCATTCGCTGTTTTATACTGCATATATTTTTGTCATGTTCAGATAATGTTCAGGGTATTTTGCTGGTATTTTGAAACCCGTCACATACCTATAAATTCCCTTAAGTTGGAAAATTTACAGCAAACTATAGCATCTGAATCAAGTACCTCATCTGTTCTTCTTCTTCTTAGCTTAACCTTTTTTGATGTTTTTATTTAATTATTTATTTATTATCAAACTTATTTATATATTATGAATAAATTTAATTTCTTCATGCTGTTTTCATAAAAATGTATGGTCTCTCGAAACCAGGAAGGTTTCACAACTGTCAGCTGGATCATTAGCTTTCAGTCAAATAGGAGTGTAATACAACTTACAAGTAGATAATTACAATAAATTGTCTAATTATCCTAATTACTTCTGAAAATTATACTAAGTCATTTTAGATATGTAAACCATTAGTGGTTTTAATGGACTTACTGTCACACAGAATTAATATGAAGACAAAAAAAAGAAAAGCTATGAATTTTTTAAATATACATGAATTACCATTGAATGTAAAGTACAATATTCATTGCATTCTTCAGTAATTATATTTTTGCTTGATCAATGAATAAAATATTAAAATTGGTAACATTATAAGACTGCATGGATGTAAGATGTCATATATTTCAAAACCATTTTCTGTAAGCCTCAATCCTGATCCGCTGAGAGATTAAATATATTTGGAGACAGAAATTGGGCCCCATTATCCCATTTAAGTGCCTTCGTAATTGAAGCTTTTCGAGTTGAACACAGAAGTTCATTGTAATGACAGAACATTAATTTGACATTTTATATTATATTTAAGGACAAATGCAGATCTGTAAATCAGATTAATTTCAATTGCATTCATTTCTCACCAAAAGACGGGTGGATCACACTTTTCTTTCCACTAGCTCCACAACCAATGCATAGTAATTATCATTTATTAAATTTATATGACCACAGGACAATTAAGTTATAGTAATAAATGACTGAATGTCAACCACTGGTGGAGATATGGTAACACTAACAGATGATTGAATGTCTATAACACTGGGAAAAATCCTACAAGTTGAGATTTTTTAGTAATTTTCCACAATTTGAAGTCAGTGTTATAGTATCAACCATAGGTGCATGCTCAGGTCAGGTCAGGTACTCTCATACTCGATACGTCAGGGTATAAGCGGCTAACTATTTGATTGGTCTCAGCTAGAAAACTGACCAATCTCTGTGCTGATTCCTATCCTTTGAAGATCAATTACAGAGGAACGACATGCCAGAGTTCAAAGTTTTACCATATTACGCGACTCACTGCAAGATTCTTTCGATGAACATCAAAGGATCAAACTTGTCTTTTTGCTCATCCACAAAGTGGTGCACACTTATTACGCCTTCAATTTTATTATGACATATATTTCAGGCTTCAGTTTTTCTATGACATATATATTCCAGGTGTGCAGAATGCGAAACTGAGCATACGTAACCCCTAGAGTATCGAAGATGAGGTACTCTGAGTGTTTCAATCTAATGTTTGAAGGTTTTCAGATTCAAACATTGATCTACATTTTCCTTCTCCTAGCTTAGCTGTTATAATTTGAAGCCTGTGACATAATAGTTACTCTTTTTGCAAGGGTATAGTGTTGTGTTTGTGATGCATAATGGTTGTTTAAAAGGGACACCCAAACCTGGGTTGTAAATTTATAATTTCGTCTTAAGAGGCAACAACTTAGAAAAAGGAAGGATTAAGGAATATAGTGTGGAACTTAATTGGCTGCCAGGCAATTGCTGATAACCAGATATACTTGCAGCTCAGTTTGTTAGAATGTCCCTCCACTGATTTTAGAGGTTCCTGGGTTCAGATGCTGGCATAAGAGCCTCATTGCATTTCCCCTCTGCTGTTACAGTTACATACATGTATGACATCTGAAATTTAGTATAAAATTTTGAAACTTACAAGTCTGGAGTTTTTGTAACAATGTGCTTGAATTGTTATCACACATACATAATACAGTTGTATTTTAAATTAGAAACATCAATCCTCAAAGTTTGGATTGGCAGACACTTTGCCCAATTTGGCAGTGAGTTTCAACTTAAAATGCTGTTTAGATTAAAACTTTAAAATTGTCATGCTATTGTGCAGGCATTCATTCTTATTAAATAATTCATAAACTAATATATTTAAATTGTAAATAAAAGTTACTGGGTTGTGTGCTAAAGATGCCTTCAGCTTAACGTCTACTTGTTTTCTTTTTAAAGTTGTTATATCTGCAACATTTTTTCTTTCAATTTCTATGAAAAATATAATATTTACGTCTATATACATATGAATGCAGTGGGCATATATAATATTAAAATATGCCTTATTAAAACCCATTACCACTGGTACCAAAAATAGGTGATGAAAAATAGTTTTTAAATACTTTACAGCTTTTTAATTGTGTTAATTTACCTTAACATCTAATGAACAAGAGGTTTTATGGGAAAATGTGTTCATATAGGCACAATTCAACTATAATTTTGAATAAATCACTAAAGCTAATATATAGCTTTTGAAGAGGGTTTGATTCAATTAAATCTGCTGAAAAAGAAATTAAGATGAAGAACAGAATCTACAGATTAAGAATCTTGAAATATTTTTTGTAGCTAGAGTTGGCTCGTGGAAACGTTATGAACTTTACAGATGGGTTTGCTCATATGAATTTTTTAGGGAATACATTTTGTACATGTGTATGGGTGTCAGGAATGTCAGTGCTCAGGTAGTAGATATTGAAATTGAAGCACACCCTTGTAAATATTTGTGTACTATAGTGAGATTGGTATCTCTATAATTGGTTTTAAGATATCTAAACAGTTTATTTCTGTATCCTTGTAAGACATTGTATACCTTTGTAATACATGCTACAGGTTCGTAACTTAATTTCCAGGTGTATGTACATGTCCAACACAAAGATCATTCTTAAGGTGATAAATCTTTTGATAGCGAGTATATTTACTTTGGTTTGTGATTTATGTACAGAAGAATAACCCAAAATACACAATATATCTAAGTTATTAGTGGTCCTTACCTGTGTTTTCAGACGTCCGTATTGTGGTCTTTGTAAGATTGGGACTTGATTTATAGCCAGTTCTTGGGACCTAAACATTTATCTGACTCTGGTCGGACAGTTTCGACAGTAGAACGTGCGAGGGAATTTGTATTTTAATCATTAAGCATTGTTTGTCATTGATAATCGTACACTTGTATTTCTATCAGTACACAACCTGCAGCCATTTTTAAATGATAACAAGCATCCCTGGGGGTATAATGTTTGAAATATGGCAAGATTCTGTACATGCATGTACTAAGTCTGAAGACTCAACATTCAAATATCAGCTTAAAGGTAATTCTCAGATATCATACATATATACACTCTTGTAAATATTAATTGTTATATTTTCTAGAGGACCAAGATGCCACAGCCAGCCCTCCAAGACCCTCGGTCTTATGTCAAGGCCCAGCGACTCCCACTGCCCTCACATGTGGGGTCCAGGATCGAGACCCGTGGGACCAGCGACTACCGCGCTGCTCAACCGATGCGGATTGAAGTGAGAAATGAAAATTATTTTCGTCGTCTAGAACAGATGAAAACAATGGGATTCAACGCTGTAAAGCATGAGGCATACATAGGTATTGGCGACCCTTTCTATTTGGACGAGAAAAAACTGATTTTAAATGCTCTTGGACAACTAGAGGAGGTAAGATAATGATTTTTTTTCTTAAGACAGCTCTGACTTATTATCAGTTTTAAAGCATCTTATTTTTAACTAGGACATCATCAATGCATTAGTGGGCTTTTCAAATCACTCTTTATCCTTGATTCATATTTGTCCATTGGTCATTTATAATCAAGATGTACGTATTGTATACTGAACAGAACTTCTCAAATTTCCTATGTGGGTTAATTCTTGTTGCTTCACTTTACTTTTAATTGCTCTAAATATATTCAGACAAAAGGGCTACAAAACTGCCTTAAAAGTAATGGATGGGGTTGGGTCCGTTCAGACATATTTGTTAGACTTGTTCAAACAATTTTCAATCATCACTCTTTTTTTTATTAATTTTGAAATTGGATCAATTTAGCAAAAATTCTTGAAAAAAATCTCAAAAATTCCTTTCAAAATTACAATTTTTTTAAAGAAAGCAATTACCATAAATCTGCAAAAATTCAGTAACCCATTTTTTACATTTTCAAGAAAATTATACTTTGGTCATTACCCTTACCTCAAATTTTTTATGCTGAAAAGGTTGATCGACAGTTAATGTTGCCAGGCGGATTCATTTATGTAAATATAATATCAAGTCAATAATTACAGTCTGATTGTTCATATGCTGATTTAGTTATGAAATTAATGGAGTTGTTCACACAACCTTCTAAACGTTAGTTATTTTTTGGGATTTTATTTTGAGAAATTTAAGTTTAATTCTGAATTTCAATCTTTTTAAAAAAAATAGTCCATAATGAAATATTCACTGTAAAGGAAGTCAGTGTTTAAACTTGAGGGTGTTTTTGGATATAAGATATCAAGGTTTCTTGAACGTCCTTGCTGGTTATAAAGGGATATGATAATGAAGCACTACTCCCAGACAGATATTTGTGTTCTTGCCACTTCTTATCCAACCGTCTAGCTAGTCATTCACATGATTGCACTTTTATTTTACAAGTTGTATTGAGATTAAACAGCCTAAATGTCTGCCTTGTCATGGTACTTTTCACACCTGAATTATAGAATACATTTGATGAATGAGGAATCAAATCCAGTTAAACCTTCAAACCTCAGGAGAATAAAGGCTGGGTGTGTTTGTATTAAATGGAAATGTATTCTGATATTCATTGAGCCACTTTACCACGCAATTCAAAAGAAATCTTTAAACTTATGAAATATGTGTAATGTTCACTGAATTGAAAATGAAGAAAATTTGAAACCAACTGTGTATGGCATAGTAGAAACTAAACAGTATAACCATATATAATCACGGAGTCAGTCCTCTGATACAGATTTAATATAGAGTTTACACTGTAAGTGTAACCAGTACACATTTATTTTATCTGCTACAGGTTTATTTTGTCTGCTACAGGTTTATTTTGTCTGTTACAGGTTTATTTTATCTGCTACAGGGTTTATTTTATCTGCTACAGGTTTATTTTATCTGCTACAGGTTTATTTTGTCTGCTGCAGGTTAATTCATCTGCTTCAGGTTTATTTTGTCTGCTACAGGTTTATTTTGTCTGCTACAGGTTTATTTTATCTGCTACATGTTTATTTTATCTGCTACAGGTTTATTTTATCTGCTACAGGGTTTATTTTATCTGCTACAGGTTTATTTTATCTGCTACAGGTTTATTTTGTCTGCTGCAGGTTAATTCATCTGCTTCAGGTTTATTTTGTCTGCTACAGGTTTATTTTGTCTGCTACAGGTTTATTTTATCTGCTTCAGGTTTATTTTGTCTGATACAAACTTATTTTGTCTGATACAGGTTTAATTTATCCAGGCTAATTTTATCTGATACAGGATTACCTAGTTTATCTGCTACATGTTGAAGTTATCTGAAACAAATTTATCTTATCTGATACAGATGAAAATAGAAATGATGAGCAACAACAACACTTCTGAATCTGGTACAAAATGTATTAATGTTTGATTTACATCCTAAGTGCTGACATGTTTCGGCCAAAGGGAGGCCGTCATCAGAGCACAGTATACGTAACATGATGTTTGCAACTCTGGTACAATGACAATAAAGGTCATGTGACTATAGAACAATAAAGAATAACTGTGACGTCATCAAGTTGCTAAGAGTTACAGTCTGGTAGGGTGAAAAGGTTTAGCCATTTTTGATTGGTGCATAATAGAATCAGTGCTAAATAATTTCAGTATGATTAGTAAATGTGAATGAATGAATTGTAGTATTACAGTATTTCCAATGCAAGAGATGATTAAAGGAACAGAAATAAGGGATAGTAAACATGAAATAAAATGTATCAAAAGTGCTCAAACAAGCAAAACTCAAATATATACCTGTATCTGATACAGGTTTAGTTTATCTGAAACAGGTTTAATTTATCGGTGATAGGTTTGATTTATCTGATACAGGTTTATTTTATCCGACAGATTTATTTAATCCATATTTATTTCAAAGATATCAACATATCTGTATGAAATCTTAACACAAATCAATTCTTGAAACGGATATGGATCCTTTCCTGCTTTATTAAAAAATAAGTTGTTTTCAATTCTTAATAATTGGTTTGAAATATTTCACACTTCCTTGGAGGAATTTGTGTGTTGACAATGTTATCAAGTTCTACAAAGTAGGTCATCATATATATGTCCATGTACAATGACATGTTTCTGAAGTATAAGATCTACAATATAATGACACAGTAAATGTTCTGTGGCTAATGATGTGTCTGTTTTGGGGTCACACGTGTATTGACGTGTGTTTGTTATTGTGTATTGTATATGATACAAATCAATAGCTAATATGATATCCAAAACCTCCGAACCAGTCCACCAGTCGGTAGTTTGTCGAGTGCCAGCGTGATACTTGTGACCACAGATTTCATTGTTCTGTAATGTGATCCTCTGTTAGAACAATAAGTGATTGTACAGAGCTGTGTTTATTGATACATTTTGTATATTGACGTGTGTTCTGTACAACAAGACGAGGTATTCGATTTGTAATGCAGTACGTATTATATAACCAGATATTGGTCATTGTTATTTTAAAGTTACATATTTAGGCACAGAAACTTGATTGTAGCCAATATCGTATAAAACAAAATTAAAATGATGGGGGAAAAAAAAAAAATATTGGACCGGAACATGATCAGCCGATACACTTTTACTGTTCATAATTAACAGTGTATAGAGGCCAATCAGGTTCAGGACTGGTCTTTTCCTTTTTTTTCTTATTTTTTTATCACTTTTTTAAAACCTCAAGTGCCTGTGATTTTGGAGACCCATATTCATTCATCACTACTGCAGGAAATGCCATTAAATCCCCATGATACACTTTATTTATATTGTTAAAATGTCATGTTTTAAACATTAAATCATCAATTAAAATCTCAATTGTTTACAATTTCAGGTAATTCAAGTTCTGATAATACATAAAATATATAAAATGTTATGAATTTTTCTTTCATGTTTATTGATAGTAATGATAAATGAATCTTAATTCATTTTGTTATGAAGCATTTTAATATTGATTTGAATGGGCATTAGTCAGCAATAAAATTGTCATGAGAATGATAAATGATCATGAAATAAATGCCAAAACAATAACCTGATGGTCATTAATTTAAAGGTAAAATATTAATGAGTCACCATTAAAAATGTAGATAGTCTTAACTAATTAAAGGCCATTAATTCAATACAAAATATATTTTTTATAAGTTCATGGTTTTTTACACCATAAAATATGTATTACACAGCATAATTAAGATGATTAATGCATAGCAAATTGAATGACATGCAATATGGCACCCATGCAGAAAAAAAATAATAGCCACTAGTTTAGATTTTTCGAATTTGGAAGTGAGATATGAAATCAAATTATCATACAGTGCTTTGATCTACATTGTATACCAGGAATTTTCCGCCCAGTCAAATTTTCGCCCTTCGACAATTAAATCCATTTTTGCCCAATATTAAATTCACCCCTCACATTTAATTATTATGTATAAATGTTAATTTACAAATGTTCATTATTGAAGGCAAAAAAAGACGAACATTTCCCAGTATACAGTATAAATATATATGCATGCACATTTATAAACAAGGAATGATATATGATTCTAGTTTCTGGTTTGTTTTGAGGATTTTCATTCACATGAATAAAGTTCACATATTAAACAAATTTGCAAAATACATACATTATATTCAGGGAATTTAATGTTCATCAAAACATCACATTTATATGTTCAATTTTCTCATTTTTATTGCATCTTCATCAATCGCCTGCCAGGGCTCTCAGCACTTTGATTAAATAGAGAATTTAAAAACCCTGAAAATTCCACTTTAAAGTGCTTTTAATTGATTTGGAGAAACATGTTAGAACAGCTCCCTGTCAGCCTTCAGAATTACATCTCAGTACAATCAATGAACCCATGTAAATGAATATTGAAGCTGTGATATGATCAATATAGCCAACACGCTTTATGGAATTTAATCAAACCCAGCTGCACTTACATGAGGTAATAAGTTAATAGAACAGTATTAAGCATATTATATTTCCTAAATAATATATTCTGTTTTTAATGAAAATGAAAATTAAATCAAAGCATAGAATATTTAACGATCGCATAAATATTTACCTGGTATGATTGTGATAAAATCTTTATTTCATATTTTTAATTTGTTAAAGGTAATAATTTCTGATGACAATATTATAAATCATTTTTAAAGAGGCTTCAGATGTAAATGTATTTTGAACCTTTTTATTTAACAGGTACTAGTGTATAAAAAAAAAACTTTTTCGTGTTTTAAAAATTACTCATTGCCCCTACATATATCAGGGACAGATTTTAAATGACCACTTATAATTTATTTCACATGAATTAAAATCACATGGTATAAATAATTTAAGTGAACAAATTGATTTTTTTTTTATCTCAAACTTTCTCAAACTTTTACACTTTTCCCATTCAATATTGAGTGATTTCACATGATATATATATTTATAATTGAATGTATTATTTTTCTAGAAAAACACTTAAATCTATCTAAATATTTTAACTTCTTCATCAGCACTTNAACAATGTCGGGAACAAAACCTCTACTAAATTGAGACAGGTTGAATTCGAATAGACGCTTGATAAGAATTTCGCGTGTTAAACAGCCAACTTCCATGGAACATATTCTACCAAAAAATAACATTTTCTTTACGCTGATGTATACTTCTACAGAAAACCAACCAATCAAGGACGTGCACATATCTGTTCTTGTTCTTACATTAAAACCTTGGATTGATTTGACAATGAAGTTTTGTGCTTTTTCTAACATGTAAATTTCATTTTGCTTTAATTGCCACAATTCACACCCATACAGTGCTGAGGGATATACTTTAAAATTATACTGTATAATGATTTGTGAATATTGAAAAAACAAATTTCTAAAATAAGTTATGCTTAAGTATCCCCATAGCACTCCCAAAAACTGTAACCAATCGGAAACTCAACCGTTTTATCCGGCATGACTATAACTTTGACAAATAATTGCTGAAAAGAACACCATTCAGGACTTAACAAAACATAATGTTATGAATGTAAAATTAAATCAGTGGGGCTTGACCGCTAGTTAAAATAATATAAAATATTACCGGTACCGTAAAACCCCATGTAATTTGCGCACCTATGTAATTTGCGCTGAAATTTTTTGAGGCTGAAAATCCCCAAAAAAGCTTCTACTCAAATATTTTGCACACCAACATTTTTGGGGGAAAAAAAGATATAAACCTAAACTCAGGTAACAACACAGTATGTATCAATTGTATCTTTTATTGATGTTTGACATAAATAAATGTGTTGATCGTCGTTTGTCTTTGAGTTCCGTGTACCAAGGGAGATTATCTCGTGTCCAAGATGGCGGTTGAAATTGCTTATACCTATGTATTTTGCCCACCCCCCCACTTTGGGTATTAAATTTCTGAAAAAAAGTGCACAAATTACATGGGGTTTTACGGTAGTTAAAATGTGTACATTATTTCGGTTTTTTTGTTTTAGTACATGTACCCAAATTGCTTCAAGTTTCATAAATGCATATATATCAGACGAAATTGACACAATTTGACTTTTTTTTCAAATGATTTTCCTACCTTTAATTGTAATTATACTGTTTCATCTGTAACAGTCATTTTGTCATAAAAGCAAAGAGTAAAGAATTGCTTGTTCTCTTTGGTATAAGAACCTCTAAATTCTGATTATACATACTGATTTATTTTTCTTTGTTCTCTCTGCTGCCCTTGTTGGAAGGACACTGAAATAAATGTTTATTTTATTCAAGTTGTTGATAAAATAATGTATGGTATTTCCCCATTTTCTGTCTCTTAAATGCCAATTAATGGACAAGAAAAGCCCAAGAATGCGTCTGTTTTTGTTCTGCATTTTTTTACACTGGGTGACATACATAATGTAGTTTGTCAAAGACATATCAAACCTTGGGTCTCTGATTTTGTGTACAATCTTTGACACTTAGTGACATGTTGCATTTTAGATTCCCTGTGTACTTTCGAAAACATGTAAAATGAAAGGAAATATAATTACGGTCAACTTTAAACAAACACAAAATCAATCTTTGCTGGACATGGACATAATTTGGACGGAAAATAAACAGTTTAGTATATTTGTTCAGTAAACATAAGGCCCTTACTCTAGAGATAAGATTTGATAGAACTGTCTGGGTTGAGATATATTTTGATAATTTATCTGTCAACCAAACTTTAAAGACGCAAATTGGCTCTCAGTTTAATCTTGATAAATAACTAGAATAACAAATTAACCTTGTCACCTAAGTCGTGGTATTTTCTGACATTTGACAGTAAGCTATTAAAAATCTGTCAGACACGTGTAAGTTTGACAAAAGTCAACAGTGTTTTGATAAGTATAAGCATGACAATTATTTCTTTCAACCTGTAACTTCTTTCCTCAAAAACGGATGGTAGGAATTAAGATAGAAAAAGTGAAAAAGAGACATGTTTAACACTTAAGAATATTTGTATTCAGTGAGTCAGATATGTGTTTTATCACATGGACAAATGTCTTGTAAAACTTGTTTGTAAGGCAGTAAATATGCATATAGGTGATCAGATACATTCATTCCAAATAAAAGTAAATTAAAAAATAAGCAAAAAAAAAGAATTCCGATTTATTGATTGCAAAGCTAAAACCAAAGATATTCATGTCAGTTTTCCCCACACGTGTATACAGATAGATATATAGTTGATCAGCATTTTACAAGTTTTGACTGTCATTCAGATAAAATTACCAAAAAATGACGAAAACATTTCTACCGAATTTTGTTAAAAGCTGCACTCTTGGTTTTTAAAAATATGATGAGTTATTAAGAAAAAAAAATCCTTTTGATTTCAGTCAAAAGACATGGAGACAAGCAGTAGTTCTGATGAAGATGACAGAGAATCTGCAACAGATGCTGCAAATCAAAAAGGAAAGGGGGTAAGTCATTCCATGCTATGTTGTTGGGTTTTTTTCTTCAAATTTATTACTTGACAGTTAAACACCTACTGACTACTGAATATCATGTTTTGTACACAGGAAACTGTAAAGGTTTGCTTTTTGTGGAATTCTAATAGTCTTTATTTTCGAGGTAATGATTCTTTCATAAAAGATACAACTTAATAACTTAGCAACTAAGTAAAATTAGTAGGAATCTCATCAAACCTTATTGCAGAACTAAGTACTATGGATAAACAGATCCAGCGAAATTTAAAATTTTTGCAAATCTGCAAAGTTGTCAAAAGGGAACATACCGACCCACACACAAAAACAAAATATATATATGTAAAGAAATTATGTATATTTTATCAAGATGCTTCAAATGAATGAGGTGCAGCCAATCAAATGTAGTATCAACAACTCTAAATGGTACATACAGAAACAAAAGACCTGTGCTGCTTTTGAATTTTTTATTTTTTTTATGTGCAGGTATCTGCTGCCAAGTTTGTGCTGAGAAGATCACGGAAAGACCTTAACACACTTAAACAAGAGGTATCACACAGCAGGTATTGTATTTAGTGAACATTTTACGTATCTTAACTCACCAGGTATTGTATTTAGTGAACGTTATGCGTATCATAACTCACCAGGTATTGTATTTGGTGAACGTTATACGTATCATAACTCACCAGGTATTGTATTAAATGAATGTTATACGTATCGTAACTCACCAGGTATTGTATTTAGTGAACGTTATACGTATCATAACTCACCAGGTATTGTATTTAGTGAATGTTATACACATCATAACTCACCAGGTATTGTATTTAGTGAACGTTATATGTATCATAACTCACCAGGTATTGTATTTAGTGAACGTTATACGTATCATAACTCACCAGGTATTGTATTTGGTGAACGTTATACGTATCATAACTCACCAGGTATTGTATTTAGTGAATGTTATACACATCATAACTCACCAGGTGTTGTATTTAGTGAACGTTATATGTACCATAACTCACGTGGTATTGTATTTAGTGAATGTTATACGTATCATAACTCACCAGGTATTGTATTTAGTGAACGTTATACGTATCATCACTCAACAGGTATTGTATTTAGTGAATGTTATACATATCATAACTCACCAGATATTGTATTTAGTGAACGTTATACATATCATAACTCACCAGGTATTGTATTTAGTGAACGTTATACATATCATAACTCACCAGGTATTGTATTTAGTGAACGTTATACGTATCATAACTCACCAGGTATTGTATTTAGTGAACGTTATACGTATCATAACTCACCAGGTATTGTATTTAGTGAACGTTATACGTATCATAACTCACCAGGTATTGTATTTAGTGAACGTTATACGTATCATAACTCACCAGGTATTGTATTTAGTGAACGTTATACGTATCATAACTCACCAGGTATTGTATTTAGTGAACGTTATACGTATCATAACTCACCAGGTATTGTATTTAGTGAACGTTATACGTATCATAACTCACCAGGTATTGTATTTAGTGAACGTTATACGTATCATAACTCACCAGGTATTGTATTTAGTGAACGTTATACGTATCATAACTCACCAGGTATTGTATTTAGTGAACGTTATACGTATCATAACTCACCAGGTATTGTATTTAGTGAACGTTATACGTATCATAACTCACCAGGTATTGTATTTAGTGAACGTTATACGTATCATAACTCACCAGGTATATGTCCTTGATAGAGCGGACATAACCCGTCACGTTTCTCCAGAATAAGGACCAAATTAGGATATATTAAGCCCACATCCCACTTTTCATTATCTGCAATGCTATATTTTTCTGACATTGGGTCTCTGAAGCCTGTGTCTTCCACTTTTCTCTTGTTTCAGTACGTCAGTTGCCCTCTGCTTATCCCTGGTGATATACAGTTCCAACTAGGAGTTCAATATATGATGCATCTTCATTGCTTTTTCAGACACTTTAAAATCCTATCTCTTTCATTTGTATAAGCTTAACAAGGGTCGTGTGATTTCTACCTTCAAATAGAAGTGCTGAAGGGGTTACGGTAATTTGCCTTGACATGTACAGACAGTAAATACAAACACCATTTTATCTTTTAATAAAATCAAATGTTCAATAAATAGTAATACAGCTTGATGGATATTCAACTAAATGAATTAGTTTTGATACAGCTAATTTCCATTGGTGCAGTTTATATTATAGTACCTTTTTTCTTATCCTGGCACTTACATTTTGATTTGTTTTTATGGTAATGCCGTACGTGTTATAAATGGAAAGTACAGAACTGAGAGCATATATTTGACACAAAAATGGCCCAAATGGTTTGTATGTTTCAAATAGTGAAACAATGATGAAAAGTAGCAGGAACATCAATACACTGAAATTAGCTGGCATGCTGATGGTGGTAGTGATGGTGGTAGTGATGATGATGATGATGATGATGATGATAGTAATGATGTTGATGATGATGATGATGATGATGATAATAATGATGTTGATGATGATGATGATGATGATTGTGATGACGATGATGATAATGACGACGACGACGACGACGACGACTACAATGATGGTGGCGGTAGTGATGATAATGATGATGATGATGATGATGTTGATGATTTCTTTATCTTTTTACAGGAGCCTGATTCGCAATGTAAGACTTGGACATGGACTGTTTGACTTGATAAAGAAAGAGCGAGAAGCGAAGGTAAATTTTGATCTCTATTGTCATCAAATGCTGATACATAGGTAAATTAACTCATTCACCCCTGAAATATCATAATGAGCTATTCCAACCTTTGAATACGAAGGGTTCAAATTTGTCTTCAGGGGTGAATGAGTTAAGGTAAAGAGTACCAACATGTTAAACTATTGTCACTATATGTTTGGTCCTTTTTGAAAGAATTGTTTCATAAAAAACACATTTTGCAATGCATTTTACAGAATAATGCTTATTTGAAATTTGAAAATGCAGGTGTCATATCTACTAAGGACCTTTACACTGCCAACTGCAAGCCAACACTTTGCCAATGTACCTTACATATACCCCGCCGCCATGCAACCCCAATCCCACTACTCCTATCCCTTATATATCGATGAAGTGTCGCCGACCCAACACCCCTCCCTCCTGCCCCTCCTCACCAACTCCACCTCTCCCTCTACCCCTAATATATTATTGAGTGAGTTACGTCTTTCTGGCACTTCGCAACAAAAATTACGTTATTTCAGTTAAAGGAATTATGTAACTAAATTAAGAATTCATTTTTCCTGATATACTTATGGGGACACCATGAGTCACAAACCCTTTTCTTCTAGTTGTGTGTTCATGATGTTCTCTGTTTTGTTTTGACATGTTGTAATATTTTAATTTGAAATTGAGAGGTAATATATTTAATCTTTTAACCAGCAAGAGGAAGAAGAAAAACAAAATAAACGAAAAGCTGAAGCGATGCGAAATGAGTGGCAGCCTCCAAAAACGGAGACCTCCAGTGATGAAGAGAGCTCCGACGAAGGTCTTCTGGCCGAGGAGGACCTCACCAGGTAAACAACATGGAGTAACGCTATAACAGCCAACATCAAGAATGTTTGTGTCGAAGTATAGAAAGAGTAGATTTTGGAGACGTTTAGTGATAATTATAGATTAATGTTAGCTTGTTTGTTTATATTCTAGGTTTAGCTACAAAATCGTGTGTGAAATTAAATATATGTTAGAGGATGCTAATGAATGTTTTGTGTTTGTCAGTTTTGTCGTTACGTATGACATAATAGCATGTACCTCCGTATCTATTTAATCCTACTGATATCCTGCACGTTCACTATCACGTATTGGAATGATATCATACACCGATGGTTGTGTCCGTGTTCTCATTGCCACAGCATGTGACATAGATCAGTTTATTATTTAACTTTAGTTATTTTACAAAAATTGTGAAATAAGTTTTTCTTACTTGACTTGTATAAATCACTCTTGTTGGCCTGGTTAGAAGTACCTGGTGGATTTTAATATGGGAGGGAACCAGAGTAGAGTACCCAGACAATTCCTAGTTGGTCAGGCAGGTGAACCATTTTTAAATACCTTGTCGTGTTCGATACGGGAATCAAATCCTGGCCCTCTTCGTGAAAGCCGAGTGAGCTATTCACTGCATAACTCGACCGACAATGAATTTTTTGTTTTAATATAATTAACTAGTTCATATTTTTTCAAAATATCCCTATCGTCGACAGATACTCCTAATTTTAAACCTGATTTTATTACTTTTAGAACACTCTGTGATATTTTACTCTACTTACTTTTTAGACATGATTTGTAGATTTTGACTCACAGTCCCCCCCGCCCCCACACCTTTGAAAAAATGTAAATGGTTAGCATTGTGCCTGTAAAATGACTTTTGGGTAGAAGAAGAATTGAAAATTGAAAAAGTGTGAAGAATAAACCATGATAATGATTAATTAAAGTGGACCTCTGCAGGCAAGAGCTTATAAACTTTGATCATTTTTTATCTATGAATTCCCGCTGTAGACCAATACTATTGGTTTTAGACATTTTGTATGTAGATTTTGGAAATACACCAAACTGTTAAGGTGTGTGTAATGATTTTTTAATTTCAAGTTAAATGTTTGTCCCTGTGCCTGCGGTTAAAGTATCAAAGCTAGATTGTTCACTTGACTGACATTCACCCTGTTGGGACATTTATCAGATTATTGATTTTTACTGAGAACATAGACATGTATATACATTGTGGATAAGAGCGACTATTGATCGCTTCGTCCACCTCCAGTTTCCAGCTTTAATTAAACTATCTGAAGTGGGTTTTGAACTAGGTAAAGAAAACATCACGATATTAGAGAACATTCGACAATATTTGTTCCTGATATTAATAATAGACCTAATACTTTATAATGGGAATTCTATACTCTAGGTTTTAAGGTAATATTGATTCAGAGATACCTAGTCTTTTAAATTAAAGGTATTGATTACTGATTCGTAAATAATTAATCTAATGAAAAATATTAAGGGGTGGTCCGTCTTTTGAAATAGGATTAAGAAATACTGAATTAAAAAAAAAAAACTTTATCTTTAAAAATGCATCCAGAATATTTAGTCTGGTAAAATATTGAAAATATTGAAAAGAGAACAAATCATTGTTAATGCTGGTCTTTTAAATTGAATTCTTGATTATTGATTTTTCACTGGTTAATGAGGCAAAGCTCCTTTATGGACAGGCACCCTTATAAAAATATTAAATATAAACTTTATTTATGCAACAATAATTATGAAATAATTTACATCAAACAATATTAATCAATTCTTGTTAGCCCGGGTGTAATTAGCATGCAGGGCATCATATTGTGGGAGGAAGCCAGAGAACCTGGAGAAAACCCACATGGTTGAGCAGGTGACCCTATAACATTTTAACCTCCAATCGAGGAATCGAACCCAAGACCTTATGAAAGGCAAGTGCACTATTCACTGTGCCGTCAGACTATAAGGATCCTTTTTGGAGAAGTTACCCTGGAGTTATCACTGGTGAAATCTGATAATACTATAAACAATGATTGCTAGGGCGTGGTCAGGTGGCGGTGGATAATACATGCACCTGTCCGACTATGTAGGTTTTCTCTGAGTACTCCAGTTTCATCCCATATTAAGACCCTCCGCACGCTTCCATCCCGGCCAACAAGAGTGATTAATATATGTTAGAAAACTTGTTTCATAATTGTTGTAATATAAAATTTAATTTATATTTTAATGATTGCTAGTGTTTAGGATTGGAGAGATCTAACTGTACTGTGTTCTGTGTTGTCTCATAGATCCTTTGTTAACTGTGTGTGTTTCTGTTTACCCACATCAGGAACTTCACTGACTGACCGAAAGTCAAAACAAAGTTCCTTACTTAAAGATTTTGTGCTTTATTTCATTAATTTAGTTGAGTAAGATAGTCTTTTTGCCGTGAAAAACGACGCGAATAAAACCTCCCTTATTTTCACCTCAATTCCCTTAAAATGATTGTAAAACTCACAGATTAGTCTCCAAGAATTCTGGCATGTATGCGAAACAGTAAATTTGTTCATGTTTGTAACAGTCCATTTATCGGAATAGATAATGACACCGTTTTAAAGAGTTACTTTAATCCCATGATGTTTAATTCCAATGATTTTCAGTCTGCGATGTATTCAGAGGTATTCAGTTTTATAAAGTTCTCTTAGTTCTATTCATATTGTTTATTACCATGATTTCCTATAGATATTATTTTATTGTTTGTTCAATTTTCCAGTAATAATGATAATCAAATGGATATGAATTAATGTAAATCATTGATCATTTTTTTGTTAAATGATATATTTTCCCCTGAATTTGCAAGCAATTCAACCAATATCTCAAATTATAATTAAATAACAATTTTCATAGTAAAAAGAAAGCAACATGTCACTGGTATCATTTTTATGATACAGAGTTATCATGTTTATAACAAATTACTTTTAATTTTCTTTAGATAAACAAAACTTAGACAACATCCTTCTTTTCATTATTCAAGGGTCTATATATATACTTCCTTAATGCGACATGGTGTCTTTTACAAAAGAACTCTACAACAATTTATATTTTTTATCAATTAATATATAATGATGATTTTGAATTAAAGGTACTTGAAATATAAATGAAATCCTGCAAGAAATTTTATATCCTAAGTTAAATTAAATATTAATGAAAAGCATTTTTTAACTGGCCTAGTTTTTAAAGATTTCATACATATACTGTACTTTAACTTATCCTCTAATAACCCCTGGAGGGTTCTTTTAAAAAAGACAATGAAATAGCTTTTGATTACATTTTTAATGAACTGCATTATATAAGGGTGGATTTATTACCAGGCATTGGGTTATTGCCAGATAGATACAGTATAGCTCCTCAAATTACAATTAAACAGAAATAACTCTTGATTAATACAAAACACAGGTATTGTAAAGTCTGTAAGGTACATGTAGCGTACCAGTTACCTTGAATACGTTCAGTCTACAAACATTTCAGTCCGTCAGTGAACATTTCGGTCAGTCTGAACATTTCAGTCCATCAGTGAACATTTCGGTCAGTCTGAACATTTCAGTCCGTCAGTGAATATTTCAGTCAGTCTGAACATTTCGGTCTGTCAGTAAACATTTCAGCCTTTCGGTGAACATTTCAGTCTGACAGTGAACATTTCGGTCCATCAGTGAACATTTCAGTCCGTCAGTGAACATTTCGGTCCGTCAGTGAACATTTCAGTCCGTCAGTGAACATTTCAGTCCGTCAGTGAACATTTCCGTCCGTCAGTGAACATTTCGGTTTAATATTTCGGTCCGTCAGTGAACATTTCGGTCCGTCAGTGAACATATTTCGGTCCGTCAGTGAACAGTTCCTCACTTAAGACATCATGTGCTAATTATACCTGTAGTTGATGCTAACAAGTTTTGTGTGTAAATGTATTTCTCTGAAGATACATGGCAGAGTTTGGAAAGCCAGACAGCGATGATGACGATTACGATGATGTCAAGGGAGGTAACACGTCGGAGGATGAGACTACAGAGGGGAAGGGCCTGGTTCAGTTGTTATCACGGTTTGTACAGCACCTTGCATGTTAATTAACACTAACAGTGTTTAATTAAATCAACCCTGCATAGTTGTTGAGTAGGATATATATATATATGTATCATAAGTGTATATGTGGTATATATTGTGTCATCCTTGCATTGACTATCGGTAAGTTGTTCATTTCAAGTTGGTACTTTAAATAAATATAGAAAAGCTATTATCCTAGTTTTGAAAACAATTTAAACCTTAAAATCAGATCAATGTTGGACTGAAATAGATCACATTGACGAAACTAGTCTTTTCTTCTCAAATTGAAATATAAGCTCCTTCATCTTTTCACAACAAAAAAAATGACCTGACTGCTTTCAGAAATTAAACTTTCCAAATTGATCAACCATATACATGGGCCAGTATTCTAGATGGACCATAGCAGTTTTGTTGATTTAGCAACAAGTTTGCTTATTGTTTTCTCCTTTTTTTACCATATCAAAACAATTCCATAGCCCATGTGCACATTCTGATTTAGTGAATGGCTATGTCCAATGTCTTTGTATCATATTTTGCCAATGGAAAAAAATATGGAAAAAGGAGTTCCTCATCAATATAGAGACTTGAAGTGCAGATTAATGCCTTAATATGATGTCATCCATCTTTTTTTTAAATGGAGGGGGCGGGGGGGGGAGGGGATATATAGTGTAACCAATGTCTACCGGGCCTGTCCCATTGCTATTCATTGTCACAGTTCTACCAACTTCTTTTCTTAACAGGTTTAAATGAAAGTTCATGCTAAGGTCAAGCATGAAATATTACCTTGGTTGAGTTCCAATTTCAGGGTGCCAAGGTCAATGCGAATTTCACTGTTGCTTTTTAAAGGTCAACCATTGCTCTTTGTTAACAGCGTCATTGTCAGCAGTTTATCGAATTAAGGTTTAAGATGGCATTCATGTCTTCTGTATTTTTTTCTGTTACTTTTTCTGATTTTACATTTATGACTATATCTGTTGTAACCATGAAGGATTAAGATTTCTCACAGTTTTTCACTTGAACAAACCTGTTGTACTTAAATTGAATGCTATGTATATTTTATATAATATCAGATTTCGCTACTGAGTCTACTTTTGGACTAAGAACGATTCTCTTCTTCTTGTTTCAGGATCACGCAGGACGAGGACGAGGACGAAGTCGTCATAAGCAAGTCAATCATGACCACGTCACGGCCAGAAAGCACAAAGAAAAAGAAAATAAAGATGCCTCGCCCCTACACTCCCCATCATACTAACCTCAGTGAAGCACGCGATCAGGTGTCCAAGTAAGTATACCTGTAACCATCACAAAATTACCGCCATTATATTTCTTTAAGCCTGTCAAAATTTTCATGTGACATGTTATGGGATGAAACATTTTATGGGATTTTATATCTAGCATTTTATAGCATCTGTCCTTCCGTCTGTCCATCCACAATTTGGTTTCCGCAAAACAAGTTAGTCAAATATAATTAAATCTGACAGGACTATGATGAGTCATGGTCAATATTTATGTATAGTTACACATTGTCTAAAAGTGAAATATGTCTATAATTAATGAATAATGGAAATATCTTTGGTTTTAATGGTGCAAAATGAATCAATTATTGGCAAAAAGGGGCAAATTCAAATTCTATATCATAATTTGAAATATGTGCAAATAATCTTTTTAAAGGTTATAAAGGATATATAGCTTCCTTCAGCTGAAGTTAAAAAGTATGTTTTCACCATTCACGACATTCCAGGACTAGTTTGTCTCAACTTTACTGAGTAATACAGTACTATGTTGATTCTTTTCTTTACATTTCCATATTTTCATACATTATAAACAATAATGCACCAGAAGTATATGTGAGATAGGCATCAGAAGGGCATATATTGTTCTGCCCTGCGGAACTCTTGTTTATATTACTAACCCAGGTTGTTTGCAACAAAATGATTTTAAAGAAAAACATTTGGATTAAAAAGTTCAGGATTTCATTTCTGCACATTATTTGAAAAACAGAACACATGAATCATTAATTTTAATCAAGAAAAAATCCTGAAGTTACATATTAAAGAACAGCATCCAAAAGTAACAAATAGAATATGTTCTAGGGGCTTATAGTTACCTCAAATACCATACAAGAATGATTATATTTCTGATTGTCATTTATTGTCAAATATATATATCTGTCAAAGCCAATAAAAATAGTAACATTATGTTCGCTTGACCTGACAAACTATTGTTGATGGTCTGTTTTCTTCTTTTTGAAGATATGACGAAAATAAAATAAATTAAGAAATGCTTTAACTCCATTGCGAAATATACAAGTGGATATTTTTTTACATTTTCAGAGATTCACTGTTCAGACAACTATGCACATTAAACTGGATTCTGGATGCCATGAAGCAAGATTCTCTACACAACCTCCCTCCCATCATGTCAAGCTGGAAACTCAAGTAAGTATCTTCATAGCCTCCCTCCTATCATGTCAAGCTGGAAACCCAAGTAAGTAGTTACATATCCTCACTCCTATCATGTCAAGCTGGAAACTCAAGTAAGTATCTTCATAGCCTCCCTCCTATCATGTCAAGCTGGAAACTCAAGTAAGTATCTTCATAGCCTCCCTCCTATCATGTCAAGCTGGAAACCCAAGTAAGTAGTTACATAGCCTCCCTCCTATCATGTCAAGCTGGAAACCCAAGTAAGTAGTTACATATCCTCACTCCTATCATGTCAAGCTGGAAACTCAAGTAAGTATCTTCATAAACTCCTTCCCATCATGTCAAGCTGGAAACTCAAGTAAGTATCTTCATAACCTCCCTCCTATCATGTCAAGCTGGAAACCCAAGTAAGTAGTTACATATCCTCCCTCCTATCATGTCAAGCTGGAAACTCAAGTAAGTATCTTCATAAACTCCTTCCCGTCATGTCAAGCTGGAAACTCAAGTAAGTAGTTACATAACCTCCCTCCCATAATGTCAAGCTGGAAACTCAAGAAAGTAGTTACATAACCTCCCTCCCATCATGTCAAGCTGGAAACTCAAGTGGGTATCTTCATAGCCTCCCTCCCATCATGTCAAGCTGGAAACTCAAGTGGGTATCTACACAACCTCCCTCCCATCATGTCGAGCTGGAAACTTAAGTAAGTAGTTACATAACCTCCCTCCCATAATGTCAAGCTGGAAACTCAAGTGGGTATCTACACAACCTCCCTCCTATCATGTCAAGCTGGAAACTCAAGTAAGTAGTTACATATCCTCCCTCCTATCATGTCAAGCTGGAAACTTAAGTAAGTAACTTCATAGCCTCCCTCCCATCATGTCAAGCTGGAAACTCAAGTAAGTATCTTCATAACCTCCCTCCCATCATGTCGAGCTGGAAACTCAAGTAAGTAGTTACACAACCTCCCTCCCATAATGTCAAGCTGGAAACCCAAGTAAGTAGTTACATAACCTCCCTCCCATAATGTTAAAGTTGGAAACTCAAGTAAGTATCTTCATAACCTCCATCTCATCATGTCAAGCTGGAAACTCAAGTAAGTAGTTACACAACCTCCCTCCCATCATGTCAAGCTGGAAACTCAAGTGAGTATCTACACAACCTCCCTCCCATCATGTCAAGCTGGAAACCCAAGTAAGTAGTTACATAACCTCCCTCCCATCATGTCAAGCTGGAAACTCAAGTAAGTAGTTACACAACCTCCCTCCCATCATGTCAAGCTGGAAATTTAAGTGAATCTCAGTACAACCTCCCTCCCATCATGTCTAACCAGATTAGCTGTTCTCAACAACCGTCCCATCTTATCTAGCTGGAAACACATGTAATTTTCTACATATATGGTCTTTCAACAAAATCATATTTTTGTCTAGCAGTTAACAGCATATGAAGTCCTATCTGTGTGATTTTCAGTGATATTGGCGGGATGAGAAGTCAAGAACAAAAATCCAGAGAGAAAGAATTTGACGGCAGGTGGAAAGACTTTCTATCAAATCCAGGGGCCAAGGTAAGGTCTCATATACTTAGAAACATAGTCCTGGTTACTACTAGTCCTAGTACACTTAGTGACACAATATAATCTACAACACTGCTGCTGCTGTCTATAACTGTATGGTTTCATGGATTCTTGCTTCTTGAGCTCATCTCTGTCTAGTTCCTTCGTTAAAGTTAAACGGTTAAAACTGAAATATAAATATGATGTAGGATTTTAATGGCCATTTTTGATAGAAAAAAGTTGTTTTTTAAATAGACCCTAGGTTTGACTTCAAAACTGTATATGTTGGTTGCCAAACTCCAAAATGTTTTTGTCATAGTAATAAAAATAATAGTAATTCTGATATTACAATATGAAATGAAATCAAATGTATTAACACAACATTGACATGCATGTTTAGGATTTGCCATCTATGCTATCAGAAAAAATAACAGTACTGAATCTCTTAGATAATTTTTGTCTCACATATATGATGTAATAAATTAAATAATTTGTTAATTTTACTGCTGTGATTTGTGGTATGGTGAATTGGCACCATTTCCCCTTGAGGATTTAAGCTATATTTCATAGGTATCAACCTCTGAAACCTCCTATGATGGGGATCTCCTTCAGTCCTCATTTCAAATGAGGGAGAAAGTGTGTGAAACACGACTGAAACTGCTTTTCTCAATTTAGCTTTCCTTATTTATGTATCAAAATAACTCCAAAAAGTATTCATTTGATTCAAACACGCCTGTTATGATCATTTCACACCCTGCACTAACTAGGAAGGAAATCATTTGACCACAGAATGTAGATTTTGAGTTTGAACTCGAATGAGGAGTTTCAAAGAAGATTGGTAACTTTTGGTTAAAATGAGGGATTCTATGTCTAATGAGGAAGAGTTGACAGCTATGAAATTTTCCAAAAAGTCATGACATATTTTCTTGGGAAAACAACAAAATGTTATGAAAGCTTTTTCTTCATTGCAAACAAACAATATTTGATTTTGTGTTTTAATTCTGTATTTAAAAAAAGGAAAGTTTTGTTTTTCTATGTGCTGGTTTTCTAAATTTTGTGAAAATGCCTCAATATACTCCAATTTGAAAAAAAGGCACAGGATGCCTGGACAAATAGTAGACAAATTACTGATAATAATCATCAAATTATACCAGCAGCAAAAACAAAAAAAACTGAAAAACTAAAAAGAAAAAAAGCAACTTGATCATAGTGTAAATTAAATTTTACGAGAGTTTCAACAAGGCATTGTTAAATACATATTGTTGTATGTATGGTCACAGATATGAAATCAAAATCTTTGAAACCCATTTTTACAGAGAAGGAGAAGGAGGGGAATGTGGGCAAGTCCCATGCAAAAACTTCAAATGATTAGCATAGTTGAAAGATTCCAAAAGATTGAAGTTCCAAGTGAAGAAAAAGAAAATGTTTGTCATCTAGTTTGTCGTTCTTAATGTTATATTTAAATTTAATACCCCGGTAATGTTGCACGTTTTTGCTGCCATTTCAACATGTGATATTGAAGTACTGCTATTATAGATAATTTAACGTAAATATTTGTTTATGCTCAAGCAGGGGGTTTATAAATAAGTGAGAAAAAAAATCAAAAAGATTGGCAACACACTTGCGGTCATATTTAAGGAATATTTATTCATTTTTTATAAAAGCAAAATAGTTTTGCTCAAAGCACATCATTGCGCTGTAATTTCAATGCTAACCAATTTCAAACAATCAGAAATTAGAATTACAAATACTTCACCAAGCATTGCCTTAACGAACATCATCACTTTTTGTGTTGTCTTGATTTTTTTATGGTTATAAGATATTATAACTTGAAAAAGAAAAAAAAAATCGGAAAGGGCCAAATTTAAATTATCATATAAAAGCAATTTCTAACAGTCTCCTTTTTTCGGAAACAGACCGGTAGCTGTGCATGAATATTTACGTCAATCAGTGAGACATAAACAACAACCTTTACTATGTACCTTGTCTATCGGGCTAATGTCACAAGGAATACAGTAAATATATAGAAACTTTTACCATAAATAAATAAAAAGATATTTTAACATATTATGTTTATTTCAAAGAGTTAGCATTCAATATTCTCAGTAATATAGTACTACGGGAAAACTTTACCAATAAAATAGGTCCAAGTTTTGTTTGGGTAATTCACACAAATTTGTATGCTGCTCATGCAGTAGCAAACAAGGCCTTGTGCTTAAGTTAGATTACTGCTTAAATATGTATGATAATGATATTGTATGTCTTTGAAGACTTCTACATGAAGAGAAAAATGTAAAAAAAATAACACTGTTGAAATGTCAGCCTTGATTTTTACGTTATTTAGTTGTTGAAGTTAAGATTTTGTTTCTTTTCACAAGTTTGTTATTTTAAACACAAATTGGGTTTCATGAATTTGCAATTCTCTATACAATCTGACAGAAATAGTATTTATATAATTTATCATTTTTTAAAGTTTATTTATATTTTAATCAAAATAATTTCAATCAATGTTTGTGAACAGATCTAAATTCTAACATATTTTGCTAATGCACTGGTTTCGTTCATGAGTTTTCACAAGAACCAGAAGGAAGTAAAACAATTTTTTTTTTCAAAATATTATGTTTTTGGCAGGAGAACTATTGATTAGAACTAAAAATCCAAAATTATCCTGATTACTAGATTGCTTCATTCTTTATTATGAGAATACCTTCTGTCCACTTCATTCACGATCCAAATATGCGCCATCATATTCCTGTGACCTTAGTCGAAAATCAAGGAGTAACTCATACAGTTGATAATATTTCAATGCTAACCGTTTTAAGAAATGTAGGCAGTTATTTTGGTAAGATGAACAACTTTTGATTTTAGATTTCATTTTGTGTTAATGAATGAACAATAAGGTCTACGTTCTAGAGATAAGAGATAAATCAGGGCTATTGGATATATGTAAATAATTATCATTGATGGCGATATTGCATTTTATATTTAAACAAAAGTGTTGATTTAAGAGGATTATTTCAAAGAGATAAAAGTGTATGCCTTTATTATTTATATTACATTTTTTTTCTCATTCTTTGTAATACAGTACATGTAATTATTATAATTATTTTACAGACAGTGTTATTTTAATCATTTTGCAATGTACAATTTTTTCTACTTCTATACATAAATATTTAGCAGTTATAGCTCTTTATATGAAAGCTAACATATTCTGTTTATGACATATTTGTTTTGTGTTCCTTAAGGTTTCAAGTAACGAATTAAGATTAACTGTATGACCTGCTAAATTACATTTTAAAGTTAGAAAGTACTTGTAAGTTTTATCCTGAATATTTCCTTTTTTTGTACAGAACACTCAATTAACTGTTTCTAATCACATATTTACATTCCTTATATTTATTCGTTTTAAAATTGCTAACCAATGTTAGAACTTTAGAGCTTTCTTATTTAACACACATTTACATAGTTATATCAATTTTTGTTTCAGTTTAATGCTATTTTTGCTGTTTTGTTGCCTATTGTATTATGCTGCATAATTTTGCTTACTTTGCAGATTGGATTTATGTCATCTTTTTTATTTGTGAGTAATATGATAAATGTCATGGTATTTTACCTGTCAGTTTTGCACCTGTCCATTACTACCCCAAGTTTGGTTAGCTTAACACATTGTTATGGAGCACAATTCGGATTTTCAGCTAGGACAAATCAAAGTTTTTCTTCCATATAATGCAAATGTGTTAATGCAACAGATATATATCTGAATATAAAACAAAACTATTCTTAGTGTTTTGAATATGTTTTAAACAATTGCCAGTTTAATTGATAATAGATCTACTAATGCAGTAATTTAAACTGCATAATCAGTATACAGTAAACAGATATTTACTATTATCATATCACATTTTTTCAGAAAATTTCAAATAGCTTGATTTGATATGTCTTAATTTTAGATAATAATGAGTACTTGTATGAAAGTGTAGATTAGAAATAGATGTATCTCTTTTTCTTGTCAAAATATACGTTGAATTCTCTAATCATTGTTTTTTTGCATGGATATAAAAGTTTTAAATTATAAATAATTCATAAAAACGATTTTTAGAGCATCCTTCATTTTTTTTTCCAAATAAAGACTACATTATAAGTTAAAAGTAATAATCTATAAAAGGAAGAACTTTTTATATATCTAGGAAAATAACTTAATGTCGGAATTTGCATTATAGTCTCCGACCCACTCCAGATTGTGTCTAACTAGCCATGCTTTGGGTATATTGAACTGGAACATCAATACACAGAGTTTCGTGTAGCTGGTCAATTGTGTTTTCTTCTCTCATAACTGGAAATTTATATATTATTTTTGCCCCATATTGCTGGTAAGACTTGGTGGTGATTCTGTGTAGCTACGTAGGTATAATCATGGCACAATACAGATTGTCAAATAGTGTGGTTCCCTTATGCATGCAGAAAGCTGGTCAAATATTTTCTGTCCATTTGTAGTTTCTCAAACTTTGTGCTGTCTTTATCCTGTTTGAGGGTAATTTTTGTGGCCGTTTGATATTATTTTTGGTTCAATGAATCCACAAACTCAGTACGACACTGAGGATTGTTTTAGAAAAACAACAGATACAGGAAAGATTACAAGAACAACCTGCACATTTTTTCATGTTAATGTAGCAATATTCTATTGTATATTTGCCACAGATCTAGACTTGGCTCCTAATGGAATGACCGTGAAATTTGTCGAAATAAACACACTTTCAAACAGTGATAAAATGACCGATAAAAGTTTTTCTATCCTCTGAGGGCTAAACATTAATTCTGAAATTTGATTTTTTAAATATTTTTGCCAATGGGGACAACATTGAGGAGTGCACTTTGTATGGATTGAGACACCAACTATTAGCTGTAAGGGTCGGGATTCCTGAGATCGTTATGAAATATTACACTTGTGGTTTATCCTTGTTGCATGCAAAACTGTAGTGCCACTGTCTTCTGTTAATGTTGAATGTGTCATTGAGGTAAATGTGCGTGGGTCTCAACAATTCATTCAATAATAGGCGTATGCAATCATGACTTCTGGTTCCGTGAACACAAATTTCATGCAGGTTCGGAAACATAAGTAAAGATCCGACATGCTTTATCGTATTGCATGATCACTAAAATAAACTTACCTGGGAACTCCTGAAGAAGTAGGAGTTTCCTTCCGTGTCATTTTCTCAGGGATAACGAAGAAACAAAAAATCAACCCCGTCGTTGCCCCGATTTTTTTCTCTCCTACCTGCTCTTACTTTCGTTGTTGTTACCCTTAGTTGTCTGTGTTTTGTCTGTTGTCAGAATGATGTAACAATTATGTTGGGATGTTCTTCCATCTTCTTCTGGTTATGCAACACTTTAAAAGTCTTGCCAAAGCATCTGTGGACATCGACTGTATAATTATGACCTTAGCTGTTTTAAGTACATACGATACCTAGTAAACAAAGAAATCTCCAACAAAAAGAGACACTGATTGTTGTCCCCACCCAACCACCACCACCACCACCACCCCGGATGTAATATTTATGTAAACTCATCTATAGAATAGCTTGGCCATTTTCTGAAGGTTGGATGCAAAGTATATGGTGTGTATGATTTCCACATACTGAGGATTGAATCTATGTTAAAGGATGTTTCCATTCCAAAGTAATAGTTATTAAATATCAACAGCCATACAGACACATACTATTGTAAAGTCATTTTAAAAAATTGTCATTTTCTTCCATACTTAATATGTTCAGATTAGTTCCTTATCTATTCCAAATATTCTGATTGTTAAAGTCAACTTCTGATACTCATGGACAAAGGAATCAAAGTACGAAATCAGCCATCCAATTTTATATGGAGCTGTTAGTTTATTTTAAACAGTTGTTGAAAGCTTTCCAATAGTATACATGCGCTCATTTTTACTGTTTATAACATAAATTACAAAATAAAATCTTGATTTTCTTGACGGCCTCTTTTATATATTAGTAATAAACATCAAATTTCTGATAGTTTCACACGAATCACACTCCCCTAATGTAGTTGACAGATTGATATTGTTTGTGTGATCACCTGTTTGAAGCACATACACGATCCACAGGTAAAATGTCAAGTAAGAACATCGATGGTCTTTAATCTATGGTTATGTTGTCATACAACCCAATCACACTTCTCTGACATTTTGTTATACCATTATGAAAATTAATTAAGATAATTACTTTTTCAGATTGACATTTGAGTTGAAAGCCAAGCAGATGTCTGTATTACATTATCTTATATGATTGTCATATATGTATTGAAATCGATTTCATGATCAGACTTACCATGAGGATGGTGGTTTTCAGTATAATACTATCAATATGTTGTTAAATTTTAATGGGAAAAAAATGTATTTTCTATTTCTTGATTAAGCGTTCCTGAAGTGAAATTTATTTTTTCAACTTTTAATGTTATGTTGAATTTTACAAAATCTTAATCATTTACCAAGTAAATTCTGTTTTGAATTAAGAAGTAATTTAACCATCAAAATATAACAAAAAAAATCTTTACTATCAATATGATATTTGTATGTAAATTGTGTTCAAGTCCAAGTAAAACTAATGCTGATGTTGTCAGAAATTACTTTATTCATTGCTAACATCGATAAAGATTGGATCTTCAAGAAGATCATTTGACTGGAAAAAGTGCAGTTTACAACCAGAGTTGTGTCAGCCTATTTTAATATTTTGCTTTTGTTACCTTTTGTGAGTTCAGTCACTGGACTTTTAATATTGGTGAAATTCTTCACTTTGTTTTCTGGTCAATAGCAACTATAGCATTAATAAATATTTTCTGAAAATAACACTTTACCTTGTTACAGTGGAATTCTGTAGTGGTTTTTCTTGCAGCGAGACATTGAAAATCCTTAGTAAGTAAAATAACTACAGGAGTGTTCTATAGATTCTATATACCTATTTAATCAACAGATCAAGAATCAGCGTCGCAATGTTCCTGGGAAAATGGGAGCCAAGCGAGGCTGGCTGACGTCCAAGAACTCGACATTATCCCATCCCACTGGGCTAACCACCCCCACTACTGCCATGGGTTCCCTCCGGCTTGGTGCCTCACAGGACACTACACAGGAGGAATCTGTACCGTCGTCACGGGCAGACCTAGACGAAGATGACGAACGGCCTCATAAAAGTAAGCTGGCAATCGGTTAAATCAATATTTAATGCTGCTGTCTCATTTTTCAAAGTATATAAAGTATCACGAAGAAACCGATTTCCAAGTACACGAAATACTTACTGTAATTCACATATTTAGATGTCGGTTTTGATCAACTGCAATTTTGTTTTAAGAATTTTGGTTTGTAACGATAGTATCCACTGAATTCCCCCCTTGTTTTACAGGCAAAATAATCTGTAAGCTTTATTTTCCCAAAATGAAGATAAAAAAAGAAATATTTCCCGATTTTTCTGAAAATGTTTTTTCCCTAATTCATGTAGGTACAGTTTGCTGTAAAATTAACACTCATCATATTTCTTGTGTTGTTTCAGGTCTGTTTAGGTTTGGAGAGAACCACAATGCTAATACTGGTCATAGGGTTGACGAGACGGACGGTCACCAAGGACGTATGGATGACACACAAACCACAAACTCTGGTCAACGCAAGAAGGAGAAAAGGTTAGAAGATTTCTGTTGTTTGTCAAGAAAGATCATGAACATCGCTTGTGTTCTGGATGTCAATTACAAATATCAAATAAAATAAGTCCATATTTGGTTTTAATTATTTTTACTGACAATTATTGAAAATTTCTTTCTTGGTGTCTATAAATATCCCAAGATTATTAGACTAATTAGATAGCTTTTTGCTATATCATTACCATTCAAAGACAGAAATTTTATTCTATCGATTCAGTTTTGAAATTTCTTAAAGGAATTTCCTTTTGATATTCAAATGACTATTGCTATTTTTCGTTTCCAGTTTTGATCATAGCTAACATTCAAACAAGTTTTGAGTAAGTGTTCCGTATCAAAATTATTCAGCAGTTCTAACACCATTCAGCGGAGGAATAACAAGTTTAGTACATTCTATATGTACACATAAATGGCAGACAATAATTAATTAAAACAAATTTGACATGCCTAAAACAAATATTAATTATAATGTTATATTTGAATGGTTTACTAATAATCTTATGCATGTTCTCAAAAATAAATAATTGTATTTTTTCCCAAAACAAAAAAAAAAAGTGTTACAAAAATCTAAGGTATTATAAATTGAAATTAATTGATAACACTCTTTCAGCTCATTAAAACCACTGCAATACTCCTACATCTCTTATCATCTTGCTTACAATCGACTACCCGTCTCCCGTGCTCATTCCTTACCATTAGATTTTTATTAATATTATGTTTTCATTATGATGACGGTACTATCTAACTTAATTTGGCCTCACAGATTTCGAGTGTGTAAACGAAAATGCCCTTTCATTTTATATGATGTTTACCTCATTTTACTGGACCTGATAGGCGTCAGAAAAAACAAATAATACTGTATGTATACTGTATCACAAAACCCCATGTTAGGAGTAGGGAAACCTACAAAAGTATTTACATATAACTGATAATGATATATCTGTTTGAATTGCATGAAAAAACTAATACAAATCCAGCGCATCATCAGGTAAAAAGAATAATAATTTTGTCTAATGGTAGAAAAGAATAAACTAAATAGATCCATCGTTTTAATACCTGATGCTGCTGTGTGTTATAGATAATTGTCGGAACACGTTGAAATGCGTGCCACATGTGGTGCAAATTGTACCTGTCTGGTTCATATAGCACAACCATTGTTTAAGCTTGATAGGTCGATGACTACTAGCGCGATATGTAATCTATCATCTTCATCATTGGTTGGTTTTGTCATGTTGACTTGACGTTCACATTTCGATATTATTTCATGTGGTGATGATAAGATATGTTTCACATATTCTAATCTGTTTCAACATGTGTCATACACAGACATATCGGTACATTGTTTGTCAAGAAGAAAATAATAATCTTATGTATTTGTGCTTTATATAAGTAATACTGAGCCATTAGAAGTAAATATAACATCAATATGAAATTTCACTCGTGTTTCTCGTTCTAGATCTTCTGATATGGAAACGACAATACGGAGAAAGTCAGCTAGGCTTAAAGCCACAGAAATTTCAGTAAGCTGAATAGGATCACCAAAATATTAAATTTACAGCTTTGATTGTATTAATAAATTAATCATAATAATGAGAGTAAACTGATGTCTTAAAATTATATAGAGATGTTTAAAAGCAAATAATCTTTAAAAATATGTATAATAAAACCACAATAAAGACCAGTACAAAACCGAGAAAAAATATTGCTTAAACCGGATTTGAAATTTTTGAATAATTGCTTGCTTGACAAACTAAACACATTTCTTTTTTGTTTACTTTTACAGAAGAGTGTAGAAAAAGAAAGTTTTAGAAATTCACAGACGCCGAGAGAGAGAATGTCTGCTCAAACGTATCGTGCAGAAGTCAATGTGAGGCCTAAAAGGTATGTTACTTTTATTATACTTCAGGTTTTGACTTGGGAAAGCAAATAATTTTGACTTTAAAGTGATTGACGTATAAAGACTGTTGTTTTCAGCACCTGCTATAAAACTTTTCTGAAGAAAACAAGGATGATTCCCCAGAGGTTTTTGTATGACTGCACATATTTTGTATTGGCCTGCTGCAGAGAAACCTAGGCATAATCCCTAGCAGTGTACTACTGTGGATAAGTCATGATTTTCAAGGCGGAGGGAACGAATGGTCATGAGGACAAGAAACTTTATTTTCAGGAAAAAATCATCACTTGCTTTTGGCCTTTGTTGTTTGGAGTGACCCTTATTCAGTTGTTGTCTTCTGATGGAGGACTTAACAGTAGATGGGGTTTTGCCCATTTACTAGTTGTACTTATGGCAAGACAAAACCAAATACAGCCTGGCTTATTTATGTCAGAGGGTCTGGAGTCAAGTTATTTCTTGAGTTTTCCATGTCTGCGGAACTTAGTTTCTTTCTCCACTCGGGGATCAAGAAAATGCTCTAGCCTTGAAGGAGAAACTAAAGACCATGTTTTGGAGTAGAGTTAATTGTCGCTTTTTCAAACATGTTTCGGGTTCTCCTGTGATGATCAATATAGCACTACATGCGTCTTCTCGGTTGATTTTGTAGTGACAAGTCATCTGTTGACGGTCAAATCTACAGTTGTTGATTAAATGGAAAAAAGAAAAGCACCAGAACTCTTGTTCTGTTTTCGCTGAAACTTTTGTTTTCTCTGCTCTGCAAGGTGCACTTTTTATTTGGGCAGACACTTTTTTGGCGGATACTGACAGAATCGCAAATGCATCTTCGTTTTTCAAGCAGACATGTCAAATATGGAGCCGTCCTTACATATATCTCCTTTTCCCACGGCCTTGAACTTGTCGACCAGTCTTTCTTTCTTCTACCAATCAAGTTATAGAATATGATTGGTATGGTAAAAATCAGATTGAACCAGTCAAAGCATCTGTTTAGGTGAATGCCGATCTTGTCTTGTCTTTGTTCGGAGTATGTACGTAGCCATGTACACTGAAATACTGCTGACTGCTGTTATATTTGTTTTAACATAGAAGACAATATGTGATCACAGGAGTGTCTTTGTTTTGATTTAAGGCTTTTGGATAGACATATATTCAATTTTGATGCAGATAATTGAATTTTCATATTTATTCACCGTGTTTTTTTCCATGGTTCACAGTTCTCCCCAGTTGCTTCAATTCCAAGCCAACCGCCCTAGTGTAAAATATGGTAGTCGAGTCAGTGAGTGGAGCAGCACTTTCAGGGAACTACAGGAGGACAAGGCCCTCACCCTTCACGACACACTGGAAAACATGGACAGGTAAATATATATACGGAACAGATAACACACTTGAAATGTTGATAAATAAATCGGCCAGATTAAAAGCTTAGAGTAAATGCACACTCCAAAAAGATTAGGAATATGAGAGATAATTTTGAAACAGTGAATACGTAAATTCAAACTGGACAGATAAAAAGACACTCTGAAAAAAGATATAAACATTTGACAGGTAAAATACAAACCGGACAGTAAGACCCATTCTATATACTGTAGATTTCTTCTTATTAGTATGATATTAATTTTTGCGTAAAATGAAATCAAGTAAAACACGAACAATTCTTTAAACAGGATTCAAGATATAAACGCTTTATCCGTACATATAGGTAAAAAGATCAACTCGCAAAATAAAAACATGCGTGAACGATATGTAGCTTACATTATGTTTTAAAATATTGTAAAACAAAGGGCAAAGAAATGTTTTCTTAAGCAGTAAACATTTCGAATGCACCCAGAAACTGATCTCAAGCTTAATCGATCTCTAGAAAACATAAACAGTTTACCTCGGATCAACCAGCATATAGCTCTTAATGTATCTTCATTTTCCATTTCCCTTTTCAGACAGAAGATGTCTATCTGCCAGAATAAGTTCATAGCCATAAACTCAAACCAGCAAGAACATTTCCACCGAGCAGTGCGTCAGATGAGAGCACGGAGTGCAGCCAGTATGTATGGCAACCCAACCAAGGAACAGATCCAGAGAAAAAAGGACGAGGCTGAGCAGAGCAAAGGCAACTGGTATGTCCAATGTTGTTTGTAGCTAGAGGAGGCGTGTTTTGTTTGCATATTTCCCTTACATTGAATTGAAAAATACTCACTAGAAATACGTAGTAAAGAATCACATATTAAATAAATGCATTAGTCGATGCAGAAAACCATGCAACGTAAACATAGCTAACGATTGTACTTAATTACAACGTGGGAATCTTAATTTACTTTTTTAATAAATTGTCAAGTAAGAAACAACTTGATATATCCATTTATTTTTAAAGAATAAATGGAAAAAGAAAATTATATTTTCCAAAAAGTTTTATGAAATTAATTCCGAAAAAAAAAGCTGAAAATTTAATAGAGATTTGCATTCATGGCAGACACTTGTTATAGTTTTTTTCATTTTTTGTTTCATTCAATAGGTACTCGGATTTGTTAAAAAATATTCCTGGAGAATTACAAGCCAAATGGGAATACAAAAACATCATGTACAAACTGGCAAGATACGGATTGGTAAGTTTTTGGTTTGATTTTTTCGCATTGAAGTTAGTTTTTATATACACAGTGTTGTTATTTTTGTGTTGTTAATGGTTGATGTTTTATAAGAATTAATTTCTTTACAATACAGTAAAATAAGATTATATTCAACAATTAATAGAGTGTTGCGATGGCATGACGCATAATGCTACTTTGCGCTTTAAATTACCACAAATACTAAACATTTGGGAGTGTTGGTATTCTATAAGAACACGTTTTACACATTTATGCCATACACACTTTTGTATATGTGTTATTATATAAGTTTTACCCATTCATTTACTTTCTAAAATGTTTGAATGTCTGGTTCTAAAACATTTCTTATTTCTATTGTTTGTTGAAATGCAGGTATATAATTTCCTTACATTAAATGTCCTTTTGGTTACTTCCTCTTCTTTTTTAAGTGAAGAACAGATGTATATTATACAAACTGTTGATTTGGAATCCATGCCACGACCCTTTGCAATTCGGTACACAATGCGGAATTTGTTCAGACAAATAATGACAACCAAACTTAACTGTAAAGATAAATTGAATAGCAATTTCTTTTGTTTTAAATTTGGATCCGAATGTCTCTAATCTTATCATGATGATGTATGGTTATATAGCATACATTAAAATCTTATCAATTATTAGGTAATGATAATATGCGTAAGTTTACAAAAACGAAATGTACTAATATGCTACCCCCTATTTTCCCTTTGTTCCAACCTCTAAAACCTCTCACACGCTCTTTGGTCTATCCACATTGTGTTGAGTTTTTCATTCAATTGAAATGTGTTGGTATCAAATACATTTTCGTGCTGTGATTTCACAATCAATAATCTGAAATATTTTTTTCATCCTGAATTGGCTGATTGGCTTCGAAGAAAAATATATAAAAACATATTTCAAAATTTTGACTCTGTAAATTTGCCCTGTAAATTACAGTATAACTAGCATAATGATACAGGTATGATAGGTAATATTGAACATTAAAGACGGTTTTATTGCATATGAAATTATTATCAATTAACCATTTTTTTATACCGGTAAGAACATGTATTTCCGGTGAGAACATGTATTTCCGTTGATTTGTAGATTAATATTTGAGTTTCAGGATTGGTTTTTTTTCCATTCCACGTATAAATGAATTATATTCATCTATTCTCTATAGCAAGATGATCACAAGAAGCGAAGGAGAGTAAGTCCACAAATCGGGATTTTTGGAATATTTTTTTACGTAAATCATGCACCCCTTGATGTTGTTGGTAGCTTCCTTTCATTCCTTTGTTTGCTGTATCATTGTCACTAGTCACTTTCAGTAATTTAAGAAATATTTGATTCCAAAGCTTTTTTTAAGAACCTTTATTTTTTTCATATTGTTGTTAACAATTTCCATACAGGGAGTTTTAAAAACACTACTTCATGCAGATTTTATGTTCATTATAAAGTATAAAGATATGAAACTCTATGTCATTCATTGGAAATAAATTTGACTCAAATTAATTGATTTCACTGAAACGTGAATGTTTAAAACTTATGATAGACATAAATAAAAAATAAAAACATTTTCATTAATTAAGATTGCATTTTAGGTCTGCTTGCAATATTACCTATTTGTTTACCAAAACGAAACCTTAGAAATAGTCCCTGAATGCCTTTTAATAATGTTGCAAACGCTTTTTCCATCCAGCTTACATAGAACATGTAAAATCAAAAATGTAAACATGTAATAATCATTATTATATGATTAGAGGGTTTAGACATTGTCACAATGATTTTTATTTTGATATATTTCTTATACATTCTTTAATGAAATTAATGTTTACTTTTAAATATGCATTTTAACATAATAACAAATCTTCAAAAGAAAAATCATTTAATCAACTTTATATATTAAACAATAATGAGAGGTGTAGGAATAAAACAAATTTGTTTATTTTTCATTTTATCTTTATATATCACATTTTTAAGTAGACGTGCACAGTGTGTCATTTTTGTTTTTTTAATATGCCGGCATGAAATATTTTCGAGAATAGAGTATAACACATGGTCGTTTCGTATGTCCATCTCTTTAACAGTTCCTGGATTAATTTCTGTGATTTTTATGTCCCTCCATACAAATACTTGGAGAAGATAGTGCTGCACATGTCTCTATAATGTTCGTGCAACAGTTAATTTATAAAGTTTTACTCGGATGGATGTTTTATGACATTTTCATTTTTATGCACTTTATGAAAATATCTGGGGAATATCATTTTCCCTATGTACACTCAATACATATCTGTATATACTACAGTTGGTTTTTCTTATATCCCAGACATGTTTTTATCGCCTAATATATCTTGTTAAACTGTCATGCGCTGTGAATTTTTGACAAGACTGTGGGACAGAACATTTCCATTAAAGGAAGTAACGTAAAAATCTACATTGTCTTGTCCCAGATATAACATCGTTATCAATCAGGTAGAATTGTATACTTCAATGAAAGGTTAATCACAAGTACATCAACACTAGTCTTTGTGACAATAATTGCTGTTGTCTTCACCTAAAAAACAAGGTCATTATTAAATGTCAAACGTAGCATTATTTATGTCTCTACCATGTCATTGAATGTTAACATACGGGTCTTTATATATACACCGTAAAGTATCATCGCTAGATGGTTTATCAAGTATAATTGCGCTGTGCCTGCCGAAAGGTCAAAATAATTTATAAAGGTCAAAAGAAAATTGTCTGTACTTTTCTAACGATTTGTTGGTAAAATCCAAATCAATGCAAGGCCTCCTTATTGTTATGATGGAATTCTATTGTTCCTGACCTCCATACATGTAGCTGAGTATTGGCGTGTGGTTACCTTGTAAATATCGTTGTTATTTTCGATGCTGCATGTACAGCTTGGTGTACTGGTGTTGGTGGCTCAGCCTTTCGTTATTTAAGTCACCATACTCATTTTCATTTAAATGGATAAAAAGTGTATTCTTCCGTAATTTAGATGTATTGGGAAATTGAATTAAAATATAAAACAGTATAAATTGTTTCATGCGCAATTCAGAAAATATATCCTTAACAAAAATGGTTGATTTGCAGTACAAACTCATTTTATATATATGACTTTTTCAGTTAATGTAAAAGGTAAAACTTAACCATTTACAGTCGTGAAGATTTTTATTTTTATTCTCTGCAGAAGATAAAGCAACAAAACAGTTTTTCTCACTTAAGAGCTATTAAACTTGTCAATGTTTTTGACGGGGCACATTTATACTTTGCGAAGAGGGACATTGGTTAAATGTAGGATCGGTAATGGATAGGTCCCGAGTGCGACCCATGTACTTTTTCTCAGTCTTTCAATATCTTTATTTTGAAATACTCAAATTTATCAATTAATTGAAAAAATTTTGCATAAAATTAATTTAACAAAAAAATGCTGGCAATGTTACTTAATATATTTGAACATGATGATATGTTTTACCTTAAAATTAAATGGTTTTTCATACCAGATGAGGAACTTTTTTTAATGATTTAGTCATATCCAGACAAGGTTCATTAGACAAAAGATGATTCATATAAACATATTCATATTAAAGAACTATTTTATAACATTCCAAACAAATAAACCAACTTTGAACAAGATTGATTGCGGACTTTACTATATGAGGAATTTTAAAGACAGAATTCGAAGAACAATAATCATTATTGATAGCAACTTTATAGCAGTAACTGTGTTGCTTTTTCCTAGCCTTCATGCAAATTTGCTTTTCAGGTTGTTGTCCAGTCATTTCAGGTTGTTGTCAGAGCCTTTTATTCATGGATTCATTGATTGTTAGAAATTAACAAAGATTTTATTTCAGGGCTGCACTAAAGTGATGAATTCCACTATTTTTATATTTTGCACTTTGTTTTTGAGGTCATAAGTATCTGATTATTATTTCATTTATATATTCATTCAAATATTCTAAGAATGTTAAGCAACAGCTTTGTTGTTTCAATGTTGATTTATTTATTTAAATATACCCTCTATCAACCAAACAATCTATACATGTGTGTAACAAACTACGATTCGATAGGAATGCATAGTTTTTGCTTATTATTACATATTATTTTATTCCTTTTTATAATATTCATTAACACAAGAACTGCATACATCCCTAACAGAACTCTCTAGCCCGTCGTCGCAGTACCATCATCCAGGTAGTACGGCACCGCATCAAGCTCAGATGTCATCCATGACGTCCTATAAAGCTATCTTGGCTTTTTTGCACACAAGCATCCATCTGATAGGCTTTCTCTGTCAAACACTGACATTTGCTTCTTTCACTTACTTACTTGTATCATTTCTAAACTTCAATCATTTTCAAATTGTTGTTAAGCTTTTGGTTTGTCATTCTTTTCAGGCTTAAAAAAGGGGGAAATTAAATAACTTAAAAGTCAAATGTTATTTAGAATTTAGAATTTAGAATTAATTACAGTTGTTTACAGTAATTCATTTGGAGAAACAAAACACTGTTATCAAATTTTAAGAAAAAAAATACACAGGTTTTTGTTTTGCATATTTCTCATTCTTACTATATCAGGGAGTAATATATACACGCAAGCAAGCACAACTTTTACCTAATCCAGCCATGAACACAATCTTTTTTATACCGATACTATTGGAATATCATAAAGTGTGCCCTAGCTCGTATTCAGTTTGATTAGTGTCCTCAAGATGTTGGTTTGCATGTATTATTACATCTACGGCGCGTGCTTCTTGAAAACTTTAAATGAAAACTCAACGGTATAAATTATTATCATTGTCAATTAATTTTCCTTTCTCTAATTACATCATCTTAAAAGTTTAAACTGTATTTATATTAGATACAAAGTCATCAAAAAAATCGTTTCATTTAATGCATGGTTTCTTTCATTCTCAAGCATGGTCTTTCGATATGGGAACATTCTATATCTTATCTTATGATCTTTAACAAAGTTATTGCATGATGTCTCCATTCAAATGGTGGGAAAATGAAGAATTATCACGTAGACCAATACATGTATATATCTTTAATTCAACACTGGAACATACACCTATAAGCATGTTATCTCCAGAAATGGTGGACAGATCTGTACTCTTATTATATATCAAAAGTTTATTCATTAATCTGCTGTGTACCGTGAAATACTGACTACAATATAAACTGCCATGAACTTCACAACGTAACATCAGATGAAACACTACTTCACGCGGCAAGTTGAGACCCATCAGTCAGAATTCCCAAATAAGGAACACCCTTTTATAAGGCGCCCACTGGTAGCCAGGTACGAGATGGCATCTTTCCATCTTAACTTACCATTATAGATATTACATAAATAATTTTATTTTAATTTTATATTAATTTCATACACATTAGAATCGCAAAATGGTTATGATATCAGTTAGTAAAAGTCGCCGGTTTAGCCTCTCGTACTTTTTGTGAGAAACGTGTATACTCATACACAAGCAGAAGCCATGTATAAGGACAAATGCCTTGTTTGCTAATGGATGATTTCGTATGAGAATGTTTCATTAAAAAATGTTGATGGTTCTTAGCTTGCATCGTAAGATTTGAAATAGATCACATCATGTTAGATTTAACGTTTATGTAAGTGACTTAGTTAGAAAGCACGTGTGGTTTATTAACGTAAATTACGATGTACAAACAGCATTTAATCACGTTTTGAAAGTAAGTTTAGTTTTTCCTCATGTTAATTTGTGCTTACGTACTTTTTATTTTGAAATGAAGTACGATACTGGTTTGCTTAATAGGACAAATGACATTAGGTGTAAAGCAAACGATTGCACTATCTGCACGTTGAAAATGTTGTCCGATATCTATGTTAATGATGAACCATATGTTTTAATTGTCATAACGTAAGATTGTGTTACAGTTTGTACATCCAATACATGTCTTTGTGAAGTCTTTGTTATATGATGATTCATGTGTAATTCGTTTTGTGCCAATACTTGTCTCTGTTAAGTCTACATTGTCTTATGCAATGTATAATTTACATTTTTGTCATGTACAATACGTCATATAATGATTCTATCTTGAACACACCATTAGATGTGTATAAAATCCATTTTGATGTGTATTCTTTTTATAAAATCATATAAAAGTTTTACCTATTTAAATACCGTTATAAAAGGATTAAATTAGTTACGTTTTAGAAAGGACAATGCAAGTTGAATATAACCATCAAAGCAGTATGTAAGTTATTTATTAATTACAAAGGGTCAAGACATACTTCAACCATTGTCAATAAAGGGTAATTCGAGCATCAAATACCAATAAAGAATCTGTCGGTGAAATACTATCAATAAAATATGTTGGTTAGATATATATTAAGGAAAATATCAGTGAAACACTGTCATTTAAAGATAATGGCAGTTAAATATCATTGAAAAAGGATTAACTTGGTTAGTTATATATCAATTACGAAGGATCAGGATAGGCTAAAGACTATCATTATCTATAAAGAATCAAGTCTGTTCAATATTACTAAAGGATCGTATCGGTAACAAAACATCAATAATATCTATGAAAAGTAATGTTTAATACATTGTACTACCAATAGAAGACTACATAAGTTAAAAATGATTATATATACGATTATATTGGTTAAATTCAATCTATAAAACCTGTCAGTTTAACATCATAACAAAAGGATAATGTCAGCTTTATATCATCTATTCAGGAAAGTGTCAGTTAAGTATCACCCATTAAAGATAATATTAGTTAAAAACATATTTAAAGATAATGTTGATTTTGTAAGTAATATAAGTTTAATATTGTCTATGAAAGATACTGTCAATTTACTATCATCTTTAAAGGACATTGTCACTTGATTTATAATCCGTAAAGGATAATGTCAGTAACAAATTCCCTATAAATAGTGATGTCAGTTAAGGATGTACTCTTCTAAGGTTAAAAATACGTTCAAACCTCGTTTTGGTCTTATGTAACGGGATTTTATAAAATTTTACAAACTATGATCAGTTGTAAAAGCGAGCATGCATCTGCTTGCAGAACTTATTTTACAAGTATCAAAAAAGACCCAAAATTTTTGACACAATATTTATCACATAAATTGTAATTGTGTCGCCATTTCTGATTGTAGCAAATTGCTATTGCTGTACAAGTTTATAAGTTCAATATACTTAAAATAGTATGCCTCAAAGTGGAAAATTATACAGTACTATTTGGGATTTTGGGTGGGTTTTTTCACTTAATCGATTTTCGTTTATGCTGTATATTTTTGTGTGTGTAGATGGAAGGATCCGGACAGCAGCACAGCATGTTGAAATTCATAAAAGTACTCGGAACTCTTCGGGAATGGGAGATCTGTAGTCCCGACATCAGCGCTGCGGTGGAGTTCGCTCGGGAAAAGATCATTGATATGAGCATAGAAGATTTTGAGGCGTGGTTCCAGACTCAGTTCCCGAAAGTCATACGACCTCAAACGGCACCACCAAGGAGCGAGAAAAAGGATGAAAAGGAAAACACCAGTCGGGATAACCGTAGTATAAGTAGGTCGTCCTTTACTGTGAGAAATGCACAATCTGCCTCTGTAAAAGGCAGAAACGGTGCATCTTCAGACGCTAAAACCAGGAATGCCAAATCCGCAGTGTACCGACGTTGACAGTATTCATTTTTATCTCAATAAAGCATTGTCATCTTGTTCACTGCCAAAAGTGGTGTGATTCAAGTTATTAATTTAGTTATCGCTTTAAACTATTGCCTTAAAAAGAGTCTGTTAAAATCTAGAGCGATTACTTTATGTTGACCGGCTATGTTTATAGTGTAGTAGATACAATATGCAAGTACCGTTTTTGGAATAGAAAATTTTGTATGCATATGTCTGGTCTATCTTTGATATTCTAAAGTAACTCAATTAAAATACACAATATAAAATACATGATGATGTATGTGACTTTCCTTTGGGAACATGACATGTAGACTTATTAGGCATTTTGTGTCAATACAAATAGTAACCTTAATTGTTACAGTAAACATTAGTTTCTAGATATAACAGAACTTTCAGTACGTAACCTTCTGAGAAAAACAATATTTAACTAGTTATTATTTTGTATAAATTCCGCAACCATGATATTCATTGATATGTAACTCTAAAGTATACAAATTGTTACAAATTTAAGAAAAAATACAACTTCAGAGCTGTTACTAAATTAAAAGACAAGTTAAATGTTTTTGATAAGAAAAATAAATTCTGGTGGCACAACCGGGAAATTGTTTACCAAGTAATACCTGGAATATGTCATAGAAAAAGATAATAGTAATATCTAATACATGTATTATGAGGTAGGTGCTAGTGCAGAATTTTAGAATTATACGTAATATTTTACTCTTGTTACGATGCGTGGCGTTGATTTCATGTGAAAAATAGAAAATAATTTGAATGCACATTTAATCAATATACAAAGCAGCCAAATTTTAAAATGGCTCTAAATATTTCGCATATCCAGTATTTTGATAGCAATATTACTTATATTCAAATGTATTCACAATTGTAAAGTACGCTATAGATTGTGCAGCATAAGGTTTTAAATCGAAGAACACTATACAAATTGTAATCTGCAGTCTTTAAAATACAACTGATTTATGCTCGAAGGTGATCCTCTGAAAACCTGAGAAAGTGAGTAAAAGTTAATATCAATATCATATTATTCAGTCGTAACATGTGGTCACCACATAATTATTTAAATTTATGACTTGCACATGCAATGCTTATGGGAATTCTAACAGTTTACAAGAACCAACAGCTGATTTTTGTTAGTATGAAAAGTTGACGTTATGTCTTTCATATTCTATTAAACATTATATTAATGATATATTGGTACTTAATATAAACATATATATTATTAATAGCTTGGACTTAGTCACCAAGTTGAGACCAAAGCGTTCCTGCTGTGATGGTGTATATATTTTGTAGAACATGTTCTCGAGATGTAACAAAGTACCTTGAGACAAAGAGGATGACTGATGTTAGTTCTTTTTGTTAATGGGAAATTAAATGTGCTATTTTGTATTGTATTGTTGTAAAAAATTAATTTCATTTTTTTTTTTTTTTCAAATTGCATTATGATTATTGTCACTAATACATGTTCATGCCAGAGGATTTATAACTGGGATGTACAGGAAAGTTATTGTTATGCTGCTTGATTGTTTATGTACCTCTTCACATGGCTATACCAAATCTTTACAAGAACAATTGTAACTCCTCGCGTATTGCTTTTATCAAACTGTCGCTATATGTAGAATAATTGAGTTTAATTAATGAAAACGTCTTAAAACAAATTCGTTGCATTCAACCATATTCTATTTACATTAAACAGTCAAGGGATTGGGCCTAAGTTCTGTTCTAACAACTTACTCGGCCCTCTCCCAATAATACAATGAACGACATGTACAAATATCGAGTGATGATAAACGAATTATTTGCTTGATAGTTGATTGTAAAATTGAATGATTAGAATTCCGTCTTTGCGTATTGCAGAGTTATCTTCTCTTGTGAGCAGGTATTGATTGTACGTCATTGGTTTGTGAGAGTAACGTCATCAATTTTTAAGAAAACAATGTAATTTTCTCACACAAACCAATGACATAACAATCAATACCTGCGCACAAGAGAAGATAACTCTGCAATACGCAAAGACGGAATAGGGAGTGAGGGAAGAGGTGAAAAGGAGGATCAGAAGAGAGGTGTTCTGGTTGCATAAGGTTTCCACTTAATTGTTTCAGACCTTCGATGCATTTGTTAACATGTTACCCCATCATCTGGTGACAGGCAAAGACATTGTCGATTATTGTTTTTTGGTGTAACATAAAATCTACCCTGTTTTTTATTTTATTTTTACTGTTTTCGTATTGGTTTGACAACACATTCCATGTTACCTGTTTGTTTTTTGTAAACAAGCTATGCATATCTTGTTGAAGTATAATAACATTCTGTTGGAAGTGATTACATGTCTGTTTTGTATAATTTTCTAGATCTATGCATTTCTAATTGTTTGGTGAAAGGGGGTAATTTTTTAAAAGGTTAACTGGTTATTTGTTTATTTTAGATGGTATGGTCATGTAGACTAGCTACGTTTGCTGTGGTGTCTTTGGGGTTATTATTGGTGATATTTGTTTTTAAATATAGCATTTTTTTTACTAAAAGATTGTTGGTACAGGATCCAGATGTTTCAAGTCGTTAAATCACTTAAGTTTTGCTTTTGTTCTCCTAACGATATATTTATGGGAATTTAAATTTGCGAGAAAAAAAACACATTTATTTGTTCCTTGTATTAATGTTTAAATAAATCTTCTCGATATACTGAAAATTGCTGAAAACATACATTGTAAAATATAAGTAACCTACCTTACGTGTTATATAGATCGGTATTCAGTCCCAAACAATTTCAATATGTCATGATCATTGAACAAATGAAGTCAGGGACACTGGTTAAATGTCCCCATTGTTAGCTATAATGATTCTGCAAAGTGACGAATATTGAAACATAAAGAGGAATTTCAATACCGTTGGAACAACGTTACCTTATTTTTTATTTGGAATAATATCGACAACTTTATGCAAAGATACCATACTTATATTCAACGATTACGGATGGTATAGGGACACCTTTTACATTGACTTTACTCTGAAAATTGTTGATTCGACTTTATTACTAGCAATTAAAATGTCTACCATTGGTAAAAACTACTAGTTAACAATAATATTTTTTTCATGATTTTCCTGTAATCATTAATTAATAGATATATTGTGATCAGTATGTTTTAAGGAAAGACAAGACTTAACAATGATCACCTGTATGTCTTACATTGTATGTAATAGGTATAGCCATAATTCATAAATTACGACGTACAACACTGCCTTATTTCTGTCCTATATCTTACCACTAGGTTTAAAGAATAAAATAACCGACAGGTAATGACATGATGTATTGTATAAGAATAAATGATGTAAAAGTAGAAATATTGAGATAGTATACTTATTTTTACGACAGCGGCCAGGTCAACAAAACATATTCAAGATTGAAATTGCACCATGGAAATTTCAAACATATTTTAACAAGGTTGCTATGAAGCTTTAACATTCGGAATGCCAAAATATTTTGCTCTTTCTTACTATGTTGTTGGTTGATTTGTACGCTCTCAATTACAAAATCGAGAGTCCTGACTAAAAAGTGAAAGAAAACGTCACTTATTATGTAGGTTTGCTGGGTAACGAAAAAATATATAATGATAATATACTCCAAAACTATATATGCTTCATTTCATTGTTCTCTTTTTTTATATTGTATAAATGGAGGTTACACAACGAGTGGTTGTTGTATATGGTATTTCTTTCACTCGAGTTAGTTATTTTTCAAAAGTTACAAACAACACAAGCTTTAGCGAGTGATTTTTGTAACTTTTGAAAAATAACTAACGAGAGTAGTATCATCATTTCTGCCACCGCATGAAGTGGCCTTCCCGCCAAATTGTCCATTCAAGGGAGTCCCGGTCAAAGTTCACCGTGTCAGCCAATCAAAACGCGTTTAGAGTTTATACCACGTGTGGTATAAACAATATGTTATACAACAGTTGTAATGATTAATTGATGCCTTGGGAGTTCAATAACACCCACCTAATGTGGTAGAATTATATTTCGCGACTTTTCTCAGGTTTAAGTATAAACTGTTTATCTTCTCCAATACTTTTACAATGTATTTCCAGAAATGTGACTGGTATATGAACCACTGATAATTATCTTAGATGATTATTTATCAACCAGAGATTAGACGAGCTCATTACAGCCAAAGAGATCTGTATAAACATTTGTTATATGTTACTTTTGCTATGCTAGACTGTGATGATTACAAACTATTTTCTGTATTGAAAATACAACAAATAAAAAGACTTATTAAACATTTAAGTATTGTCATTTTTTACATATCTTGATATCAGTGTCTGTTATGGTTGAATTAAAATAGCAAAAATGGTTTGTAAAGGTCTGCACACAGGAAGAAATATGAGAGATACACAAGTTGTGAAAAATGCCAACAAGAGAAGCTGATGTGACATCACAATAGAATGAAATATATATCATGAACCCTGAAATCATTAAACATTGTCTTTGATTGTAAGAAACAGATCAACCTCACTAAGGCAGACGAGTCATGCTTTGGTGAATAGTGATGTGATTTACCTCCTGGCATCGAATTTCTTTATACAATTTCTGAATTAACCAAGTGGGTCATGAAAATCGGTTAGTAGAATGCCTAGACCTAGTCTTTTACTTTATCAAACATTTTCCTTGACACTTCATTCAAAGCTGAAGAACGTCAGGAAACGCTTAAGATTCTGGAATACCTGATCATGAGTTTGCCTTCGAAATATTATTGTAGTCCACAAAGCCTCTTCCCTTGTGGGGTGTCTCCTATGCTCTTGTTGTCTTTCAGATATCAAATTTTGTCTTTTGGTTTTGATGTTGTTGTACGCTTTTCCTCATCTTACTTTTCATATTGATATTTGTAAGTATTGGTGATACTTTCTATATAACGAAATGTTCGATTGAACAACTTCCTGATAAAACAAGTTCAATGTAGATATTCCCCATAGATGTCCGCAGTGAGTCAGGCGATGTAGCTGTGGACTTTGATGTTTAATTGATAGCTGTATTACAGTCATTCTCACATATAAGTTCTGAAATCCATCCATGAATTATGAATAATAAGTTATAATCGATCATAATCAATTTTAAGCAATGTTATATGATAAATTCATTTTATTTAATCCGTTCATTTTCGCGGCTGTGTTTCAGTGAGCGATTTTTAGGGATAATTGGGTCTTTTTGATGTGCGACAGATTTGACCACTCCCAAGAAACAACATTTTAGAGTGTGGTCACATATTAACTTGACAGTAGTCGACACCAGGGTTTTCACCTCACCAACATCAGATGGTGGCCTATTCTAAACGCCCTTCCTCCGTGTTTCGTCGTCTGTCCGTTCGTCGTCTGTCCGACGTTAAACAATTCTTGTGATCGCCATTTCTCAGAAAGTACTGGAGGTACCTTCCTCAAACTTCAAAGGTAGGTTCTCATTTGTCCTAAATAAGCAGCTTACATTTTCGGACTTATTGGAAAAAATCGAGGATTGATCATCAGAGTTTGCAAGTGTTATTTCCCAGAAAGTCCTGGAATCTTGAATTTGACAGTTCAATTTGGTTTGTATGTGAACTATGTGAACATTTATTCAGAAGAAAGAAAATATAAAACTATTATCGCTACTTTCGCAAATTAAAATTCATACGAATACGTGTTTGCTAACATTCAGTGATATACAGCAATACTACCAACTATGACCTACACCGCGGCAACTGTGAGCTGCTGTTAGTTTGGCTTCTCCAAAGACACAGCATCTACAGAGAGTAAATCACATATACCCTGATAGTTGAGTTATGGGGCAGTGTGTCACGGCATGAACGTGTGAACTTTCTATCAGGTGAGTTAACAAATGACAAAAGGCATCCAGTGTACCCTATTATCACAGTATTTATTTAAAGTTTACATTCCACATTTAAATAAGCAAATACATTATCAATAGCAAAGTAGGATGTACACTTAATAGTTAAGTGCACACACCTTAATCAAAGCAAAAACATATAGCTCATATTAAGGAAAACTACAACAGTATTACTACTTGGCATGCCTGCAAATCTGAGTAGATTTTTTTTTAATAAAACACGAGTAATAAGTGAGTGCATACCTCTACCGATGATGAGATGTAATAATTTTCAATTCATTCAGTCTTTCATTTCCGTCATGTTAGCACCGTTGTTCTACTATAACTACCAACCTCAATATTTGATACACAAGCTCTTTTTTACTTCAATATATATTTAGTCATTTTGCACTCACACACCCACATTCCAGTTACCGTGTTACATGTTATTGGAACAAATTGAATCGTCTATTAGTAATAATATCATTATAATATTATGCCAAAAGTCGTTTCTCCCTTGTCAAAAAAAAGATAATATAATTTTTTCTACCACAAATTCATTTTCGTTCTTTCAGATGGAACAACGACAATTTTCTTGAAGTACGCTTGTATATCATAGTTACACCCATCATCATTTTCTGCAATTGTTCAAATGTAACATCTACAAATATACATGAAAGAAAACGTTAAACATAAACTATAAAAGGCTATGTCTTAAACTCCAAGTACAATACAGCAATTAGCAGTACTCCGACTATGGTATCTATTTCTGTAATTGGCCATACGTAGACTTTATCATAAGCTACACACTTAGCAACCATACAAAGATAATACAGTCTCTATCATGATTACTGGGAAACCAAACAAGCTTAAAATAGATCTACTTACAAACTATACCTTCGTTAATAAATGGCAGGATGGTTTCACCATTAAAATACTTTTACACTGTTATACACTGTAAGTATAACCACAAATTTCGAGCTACCCACGCTGATTAAAAGAACAATTAACTGACGCTTTTTCAAGTAATTTGAATAAAATTAAGAAATCTGAAAAATTCGTAAGTGTGTAACATAAAAAAGTTTATTAAGTAGTCTTATGAATAATTTGATGCATATCTATGTCAACGCCTGATCTGAACTGCATCAAATCTGAGATCCATTAATCAATATTGTTAAATATTTCAAGTTTAATTGACAAACTTCAATAAATTCAAAATCATAATTGCTTTACGTATATCATTTTACGGAAAGTTAAGATAACGATTTCTCTAAATATACCCTTAATCAAATACTATTCGATTGAACAACATCCAACATATCAAAGCTAATTCTACATGACTTCACAAAAAGAGAAAACAAAAAGCTTATCAGACAGTATTTCTTGATTATGTTCTTTCATTTAATGATTAAAAACGACTTTTAAGAATCGATTAGTCAACTGTTACCTTCCCATGTTATATATGACAATGTTCGAAGATAATGTATGGCTAACTAGAAGGACTCACAATCCCTAAAAATATATAAATCCGAAACAAAACCATCCAAATCACGCAAATTTGTCTTCAGTTCAGAAAACGAGAGTCTATAACATTGAAGCAAACGTTAGTTGCGTCATCAACCGTTTTTAAGCCTATAGGAAACATGAATTAATCATCGATCTAAATGTCAATTACATCATCAGTCTACAGGAAAAGAGAATGGAGCTTTGAAACAATGTTTGTTACGTCATCAATGCTTTACAGCCTACAGGAAACGAGTTGGTAACCGTTACCCAAACGTTAATTCAAAACTGNTTTCATGTACATCGGTCAATAAATACCAAAGTTATCAGCCAGGAACAGAATTTGTGGACGGACAGACAGACAGAGTGATTACTATAGGGCACCCGTATCTCCGATACGGGGCCGTAATTTATTCTTCCTTTAAATGATCCTGTATGAATATATTTCTTTCTGTAAGACAAACCTGTGCCCAGATTCCTTAGTTTTTCAATGAATAGCTGAATACAAGAACTTGTTACAACCAATAACAAAGAAATCCGCCATACTGATATGCCCATTTGAAAAAAAAATATGAAAAATATTGAATTGTAACGGTAATCGTGTTTTTAACAGAAGTAACCAAAACCAAAAACCAAAAGTTAAGTTCCAAAAGCAGGAAAGCTTCTGTTTAATGAGCCTGAGGGTCCTCTGGCCCTGGCACCAGACTTAGACAATACAACAGACATCTATACATGTATGTCAAAATGTCCAAGTCTGGTGTTAAGGTCAGAGGACTCGGTCTAGCTCTAACTCTGAAAATTAAACTATTATTATGTTTGTTTTTTGTTGTTGTTGTTTTTTTTAATTGATACTTGACAAGAAATACAAACACAATTTAATCACAGAAAAAGTATATCAAGATTTTAAACATATATTACTACATATATTACTTTGATATATGCATCACCTCTAGCATGGGCACAAGTCACCTTAGCATAAAAATAAAGCCACGCCACTCATAGAAAAAATATATACAACATTCATTTCTTTATATCATCGTTTCTGACAAAACTATGTACAATGAGTTAATAAGAAAATTGCAGTGACTTGAACAAGAAAGTCACTTAGTTCATTTAAGACGTGGACAATTAGACACAATATTATAATCGTAACTTATAATGCAAGAATATACTCTATTCACAGAATGAATAGTTCTTCTTAAAAGTCACGGTATCTGGGTTAATTTAATATCACTTTTAACACGTGACATTTAGTTAAGATAAACTGACATCTTTTAAAGTATTGCAATTTAATAAAATTATTGATTCAGCATGCTTGTCTTTTTTAATCAGAAACTTTCGATTTTTCATTATTGTGGTTGCATTTCGAATCAATAGGACTTTCTTTATTTTTTTCTGAATTTAAACCTTTATTGCTTGAAACAGTTTAAACTTAATAGTTTACACTATAACATGTTTTGCCATTACAAGTCTCTGTAAGACATTAATAGTTTACACTATAACATATTTTGTCATTACAGGTCTCTGTAAGACATTAATAGTTTACACTATAACATATTTTGTCATTACAGGTCTCTGTAAGACATTAATAGTTTACACTATAACATATTTTGTCATTACAGGTCTCTGTAAGACATTAATAGTTTACACTATAACATATTTTGTCATTACAGGTCTCTGTAAGACATTAATAGTTTACACTATAACATATTTTGTCATTACAGGTCTCTGTAAGACATTAATAGTTTACACTATAACATATTTTGTCATTACAGGTCTCTGTAAGACATTAATAGTTTACACTATAACATATTTTGTCATTACAGGTCTCTGTAAGACATTAATAGTTTACACTATAACATATTTTGTCATTACAGGTCTCTGTAAGACATTAATAGTTTACACTATAACATATTTTGTCAGTACAGGTCTCTGTAAGACATGAATATTTTATTCATGCAGTTCCTCCTACATGAAGTATGTAATTTTAATCTTAAATCAAAACAGATTTCTACATGGCCAATGTAGTTCTGCAATACATTGATACACAAGTTTTTTTCCGTGTATACCTGATATTTATATTAAAGCACATTTCTTAGGCAGTATTACAAAAATCAACGTTGAAATAATCAATCCACATTTTATTGTGTATTTTCATATAGAACACATTATTTTATTTTATATTATTTTCAAATGTTTCATTAATGATCCGAGTCGGAGTGTGGAGATGTGTAGGGATTAGGACAGACATATACTAGGAGAGAAAAAATCCCATAATAGGGGGCAGGAATATTAATTGTATACAAATATATAAGCAGCTTTTAAAGTTCAATACATAAAATGTGACATGTTTATTGTAATTCAAGGACTAGAATCGTTCCTGTTTAAACTCACATGAACAGGTATCTAAAAACTGAATCAGGATTTGTTTACCTACCTTAAGTGGGCAAATGTATTCAGCAACAGGCAGTATTAATGCATAGCCAATTACAGGTGATGGGCGAAGTTAATGCTGAGCTATAATACAAATTTTACCTGTGAAGGGCAAAAGTTTGACTGCGCAAAGTTTCCCAGTATCATGTATGCATATGAACTAAAAGCAGTTCTTGTTCCCATCATTGCTATTTCTAACAAGTATTGCATATAATTTAAATGATATCCATACAATGTATGCTAAGTTTAAATCTTTAAATCATAATTTTCAAATTTTTCGTTAAAAATTCTAAATCATTTGGTTGGGATTTCATCTCCAGCTAGGATAAAGTTTAACCAAATAATATGCCTTATTTGTTTAATTTTCTGAAAAGTAAGTTAAAATGTTATCAGTCATTATAAAAGATTGAAAAATTCATCCAATTGGCAAAAACGAAAAACTAAAAAACTTATTATCGAAATTTTTTAACTTGAGAAATTTTGTAATATTTGTTTTAAATCTAGCTTTATTCTGTTAAAATGATATGTGGTCTAGATCTGTTTGTATAAAATACTTAACCACTTCATTTGGTTTCCAAGAGCTTGCGAGCATGATAGAAATTACTTGGATTGACCACCAAGAGATTGCAAAACACACGCAGAATCATATGCTATGATACAACTCCAACAAACCAGGTGGAGCATAAAATGGTCTGGGGTGGATGTTGCGGTATCTGTGCTGTAGCATTCAAGTGAGGTGGCACTATAAAAGATGCCGTTGGAAGCACGGTCCCACTACAAAACAGAACTCAATTCATCTCCAGCTCATATGCAGGCATACACACATAGGGAGATATTAGCCAGGTGGCATAGGACTAGTAGTTAGCGCCTGATAAGGCAGCTGCTGCGAATTTCTCAAAAAATTATATTGATTAATGTATATGCTAATTGTATTTATTGTATATCTATGTATTGTAAAGCGCTTTAGAGTGGCTTATGTTTGCTAGATAGGGCACTATATGAAATGTTGTATATATTATATGACAAATTGGTAACGGTCGGTAGTATGCATATTAACCCTTTCAACACTGTAGACTATAATGGATTCATCTGGAACAATTTATGGAAGAAGTTATTCAAGTTACATAGGGGTGAAAGGGTTAAAAGAGAATAACAGATATTTACCAAGTCAAACTCATAACATGTGACTACACGTCACTCACTGGCATATGAATCCATGATTTACCTTAAGGCAAAATTCATACCTCGGCACACTGTGTTATCATAACCTTAAAGCTACAGGTTTTGGTGAGAACAAGGACTTCATTACTTAGGAAATTGATACCGATCTGAAAAAACATAATACTGTGACAAGTGTCCACATAATGATAACCTTAATGATGTAAGAGCCTAATTATAAAATTTAATTTAACTTTTTGCTAAAACTTTAATATGAAATTAAAGGAATATATATGCTACCTCACATAAATATGCCTATGTTTTTTTCTTTAAGTTATCTCCCTTATAGTAATTAAAATTATTTCAAAATGATATGAGCTTCCTCAATTTTTGCATCTTGCAACACAATTCAAACAGGTCTTCTGCTATGGAAGTCCAAATTACCATTACATAATAATGGGTTTATCAAATGGAACTCTTCAGTAATGGAATTGCAGTCACACATACATAGCAAATAGCCTTCAGTCAAAATACCAAGACAAGAAACATAATTTTCTTATTAATTCATAATATCTTATTTTAGCAATCTCAAATTACACCACTCTTTAAGATAATGATGTTATGGCCATCTGAGGGCATCACAGCCCCTATACAATTCTTCACTGATCGTGACCAAGCCTGATCAAGGGTTAGCTGTTTAAAGCTGATTAAGTCAACAAATCTTCCACCAAGCTTAATCAAGGATCAGATTTTCAAAATCAGTAATGCTGACCATGCCAGATCGAGGGTAAGCTCTTGAAAACCAATGATCAACGTCCAAGCAAGATCAAAGCTAATTTCTTCAAAACAAGAGTTTGCCACCCAATCTAGATCAATACTAAGCTCTTTAAAACCACTCATTGCTGACTAAGCTAGATCAATGCTTAACTCTTCAAGATCAGTTTTTGCTGACCAAACTAGATCAAGTCTAAGCTCTTCAAAGTCAGACTTTGTTGTCCAAGCTAGATCAAGGCTAAGCTCTTCAAAACCAGTTTTCGACACCCAAGCTAGATCAAAGCTAAGCTCTTCAAAACAAGAGTTTGATCAATGCTAAACTCTTGAAAACCACTCATAAAGACGCTAGATCAAGACTAAACCCTTCAAAACTAGATTTCCCTGACCAAGCTAGATCAAGGCTAAGCTCTTCAAAGCCAATTTTTGCAGACCAAATTAGAAAAGGATAAGCTTTTCAAAACCACTCTTTGCGGACCAAGATACATCAAGTCTAAGACCTTCAAAGCCAGATAACTATAAGTGAACAACTGACAAAGCTAAACCAAGGTTCATGTCTTGAAAGCCAGAAACCTTGTTACTTAAAACAATCAAACAATTATATCTCAATTTTTAAACACTTTAAGAAAAACTTTTACCCTCAAAAAAAGTGAGTTACAGGCATGTTGAGGAAATAAAGCTATTGAAAGATTGGGCAAAGAGCTTTGGTAGTACTTCATACTTAACCAAACAACTGTAATGTGGGGAATATAGCTGACTGGACAAAGCACCATGATCATGGAAGTACAACCTCCACAGTAGCTCTGCAGACCAACAAACTCACAAACATGTTACTGACAATGTTTGCAATCACAGTAGCAACTCTGCTGCACCTGTTTAAGGCCATGTTGCAGATCGCAAACCACAGCTCACCATCCTATTACTGATGACCCACACAACCAAAGATCTGCATTCCAATAATCTAATCATCATTTTATTGATGATCTACACAACCATAGCTCCGCATTTCCCAAGCCTAACGTTACTTCTGGTCTACACAACTGCAGCTCCACAGCCTGCCCGGCTAACAGTCATATTACTGAGGAAGGCCCAACGATCTGATTCGATATCATACACCTCAGCACTCCGTAACCGACTTGTGCCATCAAAGCCTCCCATCAGATAAATTTTACCATCAAATGCGGCAATTCCAGGCCAGGCTCTAGGTGTGTTCATAGATGATATTGTCGTCCACTGATTCGTCAATGTGTTAAATCTAGAAAATAGAAATTGGTGAACAATCTCAGAATATCTCTGGCTTTGAATTCAGAGAAGACTCAGATTCAGATTGGTCAATACCTAAAGTGATATTTTTGCACTATGATAGAATATCACTTTTGATATCTGTCACAGTGTGAAAGATATAAGTTATATCAATTAGATAGACGTTGGTGTCTCATTGAAATTCCACAAAACGTAATAAATATACCAGTAAACAAAGTAAGTAGAGGAGGACAAAGATTTATCTCAGATATACCCCCCCACCCCCCCACCCCCTCCATGCTTTTCTCATGACATTTGACCATTTACTCTTGAATGATAACACCAAAACATAATCACATGTTACTATACTATGGTGTAAATATAAACTAATTTGTTCATGAGGTATATTGTACACAAGCCTTTTACTTCAGAATTTGTAAAGTATGATTTTCGACCGTAACCTTTGATCCTTTAACCAAGACCAATGACCACCAAAGTCTAATCAGGTGTAGAACTCAACATTACTATACTATGGAGTATATATGAACTAAATGTGTTGAGGGGTTCATGAGATATCTTTTTCAAAAGCTTTTTCCTATGGACAAACACACACCTGGACAAATGCACGGAGGGACACAGCTGATTACTGTACTGTGTACCCCCCACAACTTAGTGGAGGTATGAAGAGATAGTTACCTTTCCACCATATCGGTATACTGGTCAGTGTGCTTGTACCGCCCACCAAAGGCATAGATACAATGTTCCACACTGACCAGGGCCAGCCCTGACCGTGCCTTCTCCATCTCCGATACAAACGTCCACTCCTCCGTGGCGGGGTCAAAACACTCGACACTTGCTCGGTCAAGGTGTAGGATCTTGTCGTAGCCACCTATCAAAGATAAGTAAGGATCACCCTGACTTTTCTATCATACTTGTTTATGTCAGTGCATTTTAAACTTTATATTCACATTCAAAATTAAGAAAATTTCTTTATCTTCCTAATCATCTTTCTTTTGGTTTATGATATATATTAAACAAAATGTTGTGACAGCTGTTTCTTTTGGAACAGGGTTGTGTTTTATGGTACTATTTCCATATGGCAATACATGAGTTTCTGGCCAATGAAGGGTAGGACAGGAGACATTATGTTACATGAGTCTCCCTCTGAATACATGAGATTCAGTGACCCTGGAGGAGAATATGACAGATGTTGTACCTGCTACATAGATCTTTCCGTCACAGACACATGTGCCAGCACCAGCCCTCTTCCTATTCATACTTGCAGCAAAACTCCACAGTTCCTGCCTTTGGTCATACTTCTCTACAATACAATAACTGCACGATCCGTCCTCCCCTCCTACAATGCAATTATAAATAGTTAATTATGTTGGAAATGGGCACACGAATATATACTTAAGTTCTCTTTTGACAAAACTCTATAAAGTACATCTTTGAGAGTAAAATGTTTATTATCTGACTTGTTGTAAGAATTCATTTATATAACATAATCAAATGCAAAAAGACTTTTTTTATATTTTTTGACAGGAAATAATATTTGTCCTGTTGAATGAGACCCCCAAAGAAGAAGCGAATATAACACTGATAAATGAAGTTCATAGCATAATGATAAACGTTGACATAACCCCAATCATACATATGCATACACTGTACAACATTATTATAATCCCCATGTAATATATGCATACAGTTTTTTATAATCCCCATGTAATATATGCATACAGTTTTTTATAATCCCCATAGTACATTGCATTAATCAAATATACATATACATACACTGTACAAAATTATCATAATCACCAAAGCATATTGCATTAATTAGGTATACCTATAGCATATAACATTCTTCCAACAGCGACACAAGCCACAAAGGAGCGTGCGATCTTCATTTCAGGTTTGGGTATCCATTGTCGAAGTACTGGGTCATAACACTCCATACAGCGTAGATACAGCGTATCCTCCTGGGTGTCCGCCAGAGCACACTCGCCTCCCACAGCATACAGCACGCCGTCCACACTCACAGCACCAACAGCCGTTCGTGCAATGTTCATGTTAGTCTGCAGTGAAATGTTACAATTAGACTTCGTTATTATACCCTTGATAACACATGATTACTTCTGGACTCTCCTCAGAGCAAACTGACAGATTGATAACAGACCATGATATTTTTGTGGCATTTCTTCAGGTCCATTGGGCAGTATTTCTTTTATCAATTAATTTAACATGAATATTGTCAACAGTGTTCTAATTTAGGTGCTTGTTATGATAAACTTGTTGCACCTATATCTTTTTTATGCTGAATAAATAGGAGGTGTTTTTTCTGAAATACATATCTGCTTAAAGAAAATGTGGGTATGTTTATTCACGATTGTACTTACAAAACCGATGTGAGTTGAGATATAAATGTGCCAAATGCACAAGCTTGTAATGTATACGTACCACAAGCAACAATTAAGTAAAACTGATATTTGAAACTAATTAAATAAAACAGTCAAATTTTGTATTAAGAAACCACCCTTGGGATGTCAAAAAAGTGGTCTCTTATCAGGAGTGGTCTCGTGGTACAAGTTCAAATCACAAGGAATCACTACAACAAACTTCCATATTTTGGAGAGAGACTCCCGATTTCAGACCCTAAAATTGTGCATTTCAACCATTGAATTTGCTATACTATTCCTATTTTCTAAGATCTGATGATTTCATCTGAAGGAACAACTCAAAAGATGCAATTTAAAAGTGGGTTTTTTTTCTGTAAGGTGTACATACACACACTTTACTTATACTTTTAATTCCTAGCATGTGTAATCTCTCCCATGGAAATTTCAAAACTTTGGCAAGTATGCTACAATGAAGAACAAAGGTGGTCTCTATATAAAGATAGTTGCAGGAGCAGTTGAGTGTACATGTTTTATTTTTATCAAATTGACTGAATCTCATAAAACATGTAAGGGCACAAAAACTACATTTGAATTTAGCTTCACCATTTTTTTCTAATACCATTTTTTTACAACACATGCAGCGCAGATTTAAGTACCTACCACGGTGTTCCACTGATCTATGAGGAAGTCATATTTCTCCATACTCTTGAGCTGACAATCGGTGCTGTTACGACCTCCCATCACGTATATACACGGGGGCTGAGCACGCGGGGTCACTAAGGTCAAGGCCGTCTCATCATGATGCATGTTTATGGCCTTACTGATGAGCAACTGACACTTTGGACAATTTTTCACAAATTCAAATTTTAGCACAACATTTTCTAAATAATTGAGACCTAATAGGGGTAATTTTACATACTGGAGAAGGTTGCAGGCAACGGGTGTTCGGTTTTGTTCGTCACCCTGTAGCCAACCACATACAGCTTCCAATACCTGGTGTTCATTCGTCACTTGTAGCTTGTCACTTTTCAATAATGCAAGTAATCTCTCCTCAGACAGTTGAAGGAACTCTTCGTAGTGCATGACTTCTAAGAAGTTTTGATAGATAAACTGTCTTGTTAGTGCTTCTAAGTCTGTACACATGTATAAATCTGCCAAGAAATTTATTCCTGAAACAGTACCAAAAAAAATATCTCATTTATTAAAGATGACTTTAATTTCGATGAAAATACTATATAAATATGTACTATGTTTATTTGAGCTTGTTATGTTAATACTTTCAATAAATTGTTTATAAAAACGAAAGTATGCTTAAATTAATCAATTTTGGCAATAGAACATATAACATGAATACATATGTAAGAATATCACAAACAAAATAGGATTATTACTCATGACAAAACTAATAAAAAAGGTTGGTTTTAATTATGCATGAATAACATTCATTTATCCGATCTGACTGTACAGGATTACAGAGTGACAAAGTCAATTCAATTTTACAAAAGGATGATTCTATGTGTTTTAGGAATTGTAACATTTGAAAAACTTGACTTTAGCAATATTTTATTATTCTAGCTGCTGGCTCTTTTTAAAAGCGATTAATTTGGTCACACATTGGAATATGTGATATCGAAAACTTGAAAACAAATGGGGCCCCTGCATTTTGTATGCTCCTTATATATTGTGATAAATACAAACACTGGGTAAATGTATGGTGTAGAACAACCTTTTCAACCAACCTCAGAATTTGCAGACTTATTTAATGTTACACTTTTTTTCATACGTCTTGACAGGTGTTTGTCAAATTTGATTAATTTTGTTTCACTCTTGCTGGGAATATGGGGTGAAATTCTTTGGTCAGTTATATAATAAAGGAAATGCAGGCAGAATAAAAGACGTTTAGCATGGATGTACATGTACCTAAACAGTTTGCAGCTGTGAGTTGTGACTGAAGGAAGGTGGCACACGACTTGCGTAGATGATGTAGACCCAGCAGACTGGCCCCTTGTAGTATACCCTGGACATTATCCACAGTTATTTCAATCTCACTGGTGTACATGAACTCCAATAGAAGCTCCATCGCCCAAGCTTCAAGGCCCCGAATGTGTACATGCTCTTGTTCCGATTCTTGCATCCCATTTGTAAACATTGCAAGGAGGTATGGGCTGCACCCACACAACACAACCTTGTGAGCATCAAAATCCTTTCCCTCCACTGTGATGACAACATCACAGAGCATACGTCGAACTCGCAAGTCATGCATGACCGTAAAAGCATTTTGAGGCTGACTTTGAATTGTAAACCGCCTAGAGTCTATCATAACTTGGCTGTTATGATTCTTGGAAAACTGAGCTACTTCCATCCATTCAAGTAGAAGAATCTTCTTAAAAAAATATTTTTAGACAATTATAAACCCTCGGTCAGTATACGTAAAATTCAGTCATTATTTTTGCCACCTTTGCCATTCTTTGTCCCAAGTTAATTTTCAAGTGCACCTTAAATCTCCTGCAACGAAAAGAGTACATTAATATTGAAAGAATGTTTTAGTAATAAATAATATTTTCAAATTTTAACTGCTGTGTTTAAAGTGTGTATTTCTATTTATAACTCTGATCTTAATGAAATAAAAAAAAATCTAATACATACTATATTTTGTTCAAATGTTAGACTAACATAAAAGCTTACATCTTTAATATTAAAATGTCTTTAATGAGAAGATCAAGGAAACAAAATGTAAGCACTGCTATCTAAACTATCTATATCTACCCATCAAGTGTATGCATAATTTAGAAAGGTTAAATTAACACAAGCTGGGAATATTTGAGTGTATTTCATTGTTATTTGAATTTATTTGAGTATATTTTTGTAAAATATCAAGACGCTTTAGCACATCTCTCAGTGGCAGGCCTACCTAGCTATAGCAGACACCGTAAACTGCTTTACTTCTACCTGTTAATCGACCTACTTCATTATACTGAAGACTATGTCGATGTTTGGGTTGTGTTAAGTGCAGGAAAAGAGAGTGAGAACAGAGCTAATTGTAAAGGGTGGAGATATGACTTTAAAAGGTTTCCAAAGTTATAGATGAAGACTGCTGGGAGGTTGTTCCAGTCTGGGACAGTTCTCCCATGATCGGGAGAAAGAGCAGTCTGTTCTACAATGTTGAATGTGATAGGAGAAAGAGTGAGTGTGTCGTGTCTGTCGCAACTTATTGGCAGGGATTTTTCTTTTGTGATGGATACAATATTAAAAATGATTTTATATATCATGGTAGGCATGCAGAAAGACTATTTGCCCGGTAGCCGGGTACACATCTCAAATGACTATTCCCTCGGCAGCCGGTTACACAAAACGATTTGATAATAATGTATATTGTAAGTATCATCTGACCAGATCGTACCCAAATCTTTTGTTACGTAAACAGGTCGGGGAAAACCACTAACTTGCATATAATACGCAAACTCGCCTATTATACGCCAATAGGGGTATGGATTTGTTACTAAAAATAGCCAATATCACTTTAATCTTAACTTTTTCAAATTGTTTGTCCAAGTCTCATTTATTCAGTCATGAAACATAATACAAATGCAAAAATGAACTTTATTTGCATGTGGGAAAGTACCAAAAATAGATGCAATAATTCCGGTAAAGTTACATAAAGTTTCTAAGTATCCAACGTTTTCAGTAAACATCTTTTAGCAAAATATTATTTACCTTGTTGTAAATTAATGTGATTTTTAATAATATCTTGCAAAAGTTACTGTTAAAGTGATTTGGGTTATTTTTAGTAACAAATCCATACTCCAACTGGCGTATAATAGGCGAGCACAGGATCACGTTACAAATGTCTGAAATACACATATACTATACAACACACAAACATGTATGTTTATGTGTGTTGTGACCCGTATCAGTATAGTATATGTGTATTTCAGACATTTGTAACGTGACCCTGTGAGGCGAGTTTGCGTATTATACGCAAGTTTGTGGTAACATATGACTTCAAATTTTAAATTGTCAGTTGTTATTTGAGTCAATGTACTTGAGTCTGATTGAAAGGGTATCTCGATCTGACATCAGAAATAAAATTATAAATGTCTTTTGGACGAGCATAGTGTCAAAATATGAAAGAGCCATGGATGTCAGGCTGTTTGTTATTGAAATGTCAAATACAAACGCAGGCAATTTCCCCATATGTTTGCCGCTTAACTGACTTGTCATGCATTCTGTTTCCAAAAATTGAATTATTCTCAACATCTCATATCAGTTGTGTGACATATTTACCTTGCAGACGACCTAAATAACTTGTCTGTTTAGCAATGTTTTCACTTTCCGTCATTGCAGAATACCGGAAGTAGAATATAACACACTTCCGGTAAAAGAGTAAGGTCCCTTTGATGGTTTTTAAGGATCAATGGCCCGGTACTTTTAAAATAACATATTTGCTGATGGTTATAAATGTACTTTGCCTAAAATGCTATTAGACAATAGTTTAATAATATTGAATAGGCGAGACCTAAACAGCGGACACACATACACTTGAAATTACTGTTTCCTACATAGTTAACAGTTACATTTTATGTAGTGTCAGTAGAGTGAACATCCAGTCCTCACATAACCATAATTCAATGGATGTACCATTATATTCTATTCATGGGGGTGGGAGAGGTGTGTGTGTGTGTGTGTGGGGGGG